AGTTAGGCTCAGGCTCAGGATCGAGGAGAACTCAGGTTAGGAACGTCGGAGGGAAGGCTATCGAGTATACCAGGCTCAGGAAAGGGCAGTCTTCACTAAAGGACAGCGCGGACGAAGCGTGCGGCACACCTCCCCATTCCCCCTTTTCCCTCCGCGAGGTACCACGGACCTCGCTCGCTTCCTCCGCCAACCGTCAACTGGTACCAACGACCCCCGCCCATCGTTTTCACCGATACCAAGAATTCCCTTCCGCGTCGTCCACGCACCGGGGACTCGCAATCACCACAACGGTGGCACAACTTCGCGGGCGCCCACTCACCTCCGACCCCGACGACCATCAGGAGTACCTCCACCTAGTCCGTACGATCCCATACTGGGTCGACATGGTTCGACTCAAGAAGGCCGGCAGTGTTGACTGCCAACTCTGCAAGGCCGACACGCACCCGTCCTACGACTGCCCCTTCCACAAAACGGAAGGCTGGTATGGCCCCCCCTACGATGGAGCCGAGCGCCACGCCGCGCGCGTCCAGAAGACGGCGACAAAGGGAGCTAAGCCCTCGAAGTCTGGACAACCCAAGGGAGGCGGATCGAGTCGTCAGCGAGACTCTCTGCCCAAGGCGAAAGGGAAGAAGCGAGCGTAATGTTAGCTACAGCCTAGCCCACCCCTCCACTATCCTACACTACCCTGTACCTAATGAATAAGCGTGCACGCGTTTTCGCTACCTCTCCCACTAGGCCAGTGCGGCCCGCTCACTGGAGCGACCATGAGAGTTAAGACGCCGAGAGACTGCCGCCCTATGAGAAGCAGAATCCCGGCGCCCCTGGGAACCTACATACACTGACACTATGCGAATAATGGACAGGAAAGTGACCAGGGTAGACGAAGGCCAGTAAGACAATGGCCATACCAAGCTCCGACTTGGTTAAACGGAAATCAGGAAGGGGTAGAGTCCAGTCGACTCTCCCGACCTGACGAAGATTGTCTTAACACCCGGCAGCGCAAGCAACTCGACTCGGCCTGGCACGTCAAGACGAGGGCCACTAACACCGCTACTAACTACAGACAACACAGGAATAACACAACAATACGGCACGATGAAAACGGTAACGGCGCACTCGGATTTCTGTCCCCCAGAAGCGAGTCAGGCACAGCCGCCGACCGACACGCCGTTGACGGGGAACAGACTATGGCAGGCGGAAACAACGGAGGGACCTCACAGGAGCCTGAGCGGGCACCGGGAGTCCCCAACGCCCGCTCAGGCAATGACTACCGGTCCCCCACCCCACGCAGTAGGAGCCCAGCTCCGAACGTGGAAGTCGCCAGTACGCGCGACGGAGAGCAGTACGCTCCTCCAGAACCGTCAGGCCCACTGGGCCTGATCCCGGGCGCTGCCACGGGAGCGCAGGTCGCGCCAGAACGGCAAAACGCCGAGGGAGCACAGACTACCCAACCAGGTCAGCGAGCCACACAACGCAGCGCCGCGACCACAAGCCGACGCATAAGCAATATGGTAGAGCCCGCGGCTGGACGTGCCCATGGCCCGCCGAAAGGTACTCAACATCGACGCAAACCTCGACCTCAGAAAAAGTCACTGCGTGCCGCAGTGACAGTGGCGTCGCTCAACATACGAGGCTTTGGCAGCGACAGCATATATAACGCAGGCAATAAATGGCTGCATGTAAATCAGCTAGTCCGCGATAAGCGAATCGGAGTACTGGTAGTACAAGAATCACACATGGATGATACCAGACGTGAAAAGATAGAACAACTCTTCTCGCAACGCCTGAGAATCCTGTCATCGGGTGACCCAGACAACCCAACTGCGAAAGGAGGACTGGCCATTGTGCTCAACAAAGAAATAGTAGATGCAAACTCGGCCCGGGTAGAAATCCTCAAACCCGGCCGTGCAATGCAAGTCACCCTACAGCTAAAGCATGAGGCCACACTCACGATACTAGGTATATACACCCCCAATGATCACACCGAAAGTGAGTACCTCTGGGAGGACATCCGTGACTTCTACACAGACCCGGTAAACCGGCGCGCCCCAAAGCCTGACATCATGCTGGGGGATTTCAACATGGTAGAAGAATCCATTGATCGTATCCCCTCCCACGAAGACCGCAGAGCCACGGTCGACCGACTAGACGAACTAAAGACACACCTAGGCCTACGAGACGGCTGGAGACAGCTCAACCCAACTGAGAAAGCCTACACATTCTACCAAAAAGCCACGGGCTCGCAATCACGAATCGACCGGATATACGCGACCGAACGCATATGCGCACAGGCCAGAGCTTGGGAAACATCCCCGACGGGCGTCCCCAATACAGACCACAGGCTTGTCTCAGTACATGCATCGACAGACAACGCACCATGGGTAGGGAGCGGGCGACGAACGATCCCGCTCTACGTCCTGAAAGACAAGCGCATGAAAGAGTACATCAGTAAACGGGTAAAACAAGCCCTCACCGAACTCACCGAACTGGATGGCTGGAGATCAGATAGCGAGAACCCGCAACGTATCCTGCACAGCCTGAAAATGGACGTCAGGAAGAAAGCCATAGAACGCCAACGGAAAATGGTACCCAAGCTAATGAAAGACATAGACCGAACAAAGCACGCCCTGAGCGACACACTGAATAACCAATCAGAACTCGAGTCAGACACAAAGACAGAAGCGGCAATACTCACTGAACGACTGTCCATGCTCGAACAAAAACGACACAACCAGACACGAACCAACATCAAAGTCAAAAGTCGACTAGAGGGCGAGACTCTGTGCAAAAGCTGGTGCAGTCAAGGAAAAGAAAAGAAACCGAGAGACCTCATATACGCCTTAAAACATCCCGAGGATGGCGAAGCCAACGAGGCGAGAGTCCCAGCCTACGAGAAGAACTCCAAGAAGATGGCGAAGCTAGCGAGAGACTACCACCTACAACTCCAGTCAACCGGGCTAGAGCCAGACGACGCGAAACGCACCCGCTGCGAACAGGAGGTCCTTAGCCACATAGCCACACAACCCACCCACAGTCAGTATGACGAACTAGATGACCCCATAAATAGGGACGAGGTAATATATGCCCTAAAGACGTCAAAAAAGGATAGTGCAGCAGGCATAGATGGTCTCACATACGAATTCTGGGAGGAGCTCAAACAGTACAGCCCCGACTCATCAGACAGTGAGGACGAACCCGACGAAGACCCTCTGGACCCCATTGACCTGCTTACAAGCACATTCAATGACATCCAGAAACACGGACTGGATACGACGACAGACTTCGCCGAGGGCTGGATGTGCCCGATCTTCAAAAAGAAAGATAAGACTGATATCGCGAACTACCGCCCTATTACACTCTTGAATACGGACTACAAGCTATACACAAAGGCACTCACCATTAAGTTAGCCAAGGCAGCACCCGACCTGATACACATATCACAAGCCGGCTTTATACCGGGTCGACAAATACATGACCACACGCAACTCACCCGCATGGTCATGGAATACGCCGCCATGGCAGACCCAACAGAAGACGAAGACGGCATGATCGTGGCCCTAGACCAGGAAAAGGCGTATGATAAAATCACGCACAACTACCTGTGGACAACCCTGCGAAAATTTAACATACCAGAGTCCTTCATCCAGTCAGTGAAGACACTCTATGAAAACGCTGAAACCCGTGTTATGGTGAACGGCTTCCTCAGCGCGCCATACAAAGTGTCAAGAGGTGTACGACAGGGAGACCCCCTTTCATGCCTCCTGTTCGACTTAGCAATTGAGCCTCTCGCAGCAACACTGCGCGCATCAAACCTACAAGGATACAACATACCAGGTGCAAATGAGCGGCTAATAGCGACGCTGTTCGCAGATGACACCACCACTTTCCTAAAGAAGGGTGATAGCTTCGCCAACCTGAATAACATACTTGATACATGGTGTGCCGCATCAGGCGCAAAGTTCAACAAAGATAAAACAGAGGTCATACCTATAGGAGCACCCGAATATCGACTGCACCTGATCCAAACACGCAAACCCGACCCCACGAAGGAGCCACTACCCGACCATATACACATTGCCCAAGAGGGAGAAGCTGTACGTATCCTCGGTGCATGGTACGGAAACGGCATAAGTGAAACTTCGGTCTGGACGCCGACCCTCGAAAAACTAGATGCCACGCTGGAAAGATGGGCAACGCAAAAACCTACGATGGAAGGGCGTAAACATATTACACAAATGCACATAGGAGGCATGACTCAATACCTCACCAAAGTACAGGGGATGCCGAAACACGTTGAGAAACGACTCGAGCGCCGAATCCGAACATTCATGTGGGGGGACAAGAAACAAACTCCGGTGAACACCGAAACCCTGTATGCTCCCACAAATATAGGCGGACGAGCAGCCTTAGACCTAGTAACAAGGAACGAAGCCATCACGCTCACCTGGATCAAGGACTACCTCAACTTCGGCCCTAATCGCCCACTCTGGGCCTTAGTCGCAGACGCAATCCTCGCGCGGTCCCCCCCAAAGAACGAGGAGCAAATGCCAATATCAATCCGAGGCAATGTATTCCTACAAACCTGGAACTTCAAGTCTTCAGCAATTCCGGAGGGCCTAAGGACAATGTTCAAAATAGCCAAGAAATACGGCGTACGAAAGGAAGGCCTGGCTTTTGCACGGAACATACTCCGTGACATGCCCATATGGCTACACAATGAAGCAGACAACGGAATACGACGCCTCAATCACTCAAGGGCGAGTGAATGCCTGCGAAACAAGCACGACCTCGGTACCGTAGGGCAGGCAGAACTCATCGCTGACTACATTGGGCACCCGGACCACCAACCAGACGCACGGTGCAACTGCGGAAAATGCACAGAGGCTCGAGAGAACTTACAATGTAACCACCCACACCTCTGCTTCCAACGCGCCCGCGACCTCCTAGATAAGCTGCCAGAGAAATGGGACCCTCGACGTCCAAAGCCCGAAGACACTGAGATGCAGAACGCAGAGTCAGCAGACGAAAATGCCGGGGAAGGCGAATGGACTTACTTTGACAGTAGCCTAACAACAAAGGGCACTTTAGCTGACACTTTCCGTATATTCACACATGGCGAGCTAGCAAACTCAACGTACCTGAGGCGCCGCGGGCAACGTGCGACCGAAGAAAACACAATCACAGTTGCAACCGATGGCTCCTGCTTCGACAATGGCACTAACTCCGCCCAAGCAGGGGCCGGAGCTTACGTAGGAGAGGGAAGCGATAACAATTTCTCGCTACGACTCCCCCCTGAAATCAAACAGACAAATCAAACTGGTGAACTGACGGCCGTGTCCGAAACGTGCAGACGAGTGAACAATGACGCACCATTAGACATCGTAAGCGACTCGCGCTACACAATTGATGAGGCAAACGACCTACGACAGAGGCACGAAGATCGCGGGTACATCGGGGTTGAGAACGCGCGCGAGATAAGATCAATGGTAGTGAACCTACGGAAACGGACCAGTCGAGTACGCTTCAAATGGGTAAAAGGTCATCAGGGCCACAAGCTCAACGAAGAGGCAGACAAACTTGCCGGTTTGGGAGCCAAGAAGACGACCCCAGACGATGTACCACTAGAGGTCGACGACACACTTAGGCTGACCGGCACAAAACTGCGAATGATAACGCAGAAATTAGCCTATCAAGGCATCAGAGAGATAAAGATGAAAAGCTACACACCGCGAGCACGGACCACAGACAATATGATACGAGCAATTGACAATGTAGAGGTCTTTTTCGACGAGAAACCCTCCGAGGCGACGATCTGGAGAGGCCTTCGACATAAGGACATCCGGAGAGAAGTGAGATACTTCCTATGGATGGCCATGCATGACGCCTACATGGTAGGCACGAACTGGCTACGCCCGGGCTACTCGGATGAGATGCAAGAGCGAAATGAGTGCAAGGTATGCAGAGAAACAGAATCAATGGATCACATACTTTCGGAATGCAATGCGCCGGGCCAAGAACAAATCTGGTCGCTGGCGAAGAATCTCTGGGCTAAACGGAACAAAACATGGCCCCGCCCATCGCTAGGAGCAGTTCTGAGCTGCGCCCAGGCGCCGTTTAAAACGATCAAAGGGAAACGCAAAACAGGAGACGCACGGTTATACCGAATCCTCATGACAGAATCGGCCTACCTAATCTGGAAGCTACGGAATGAGCGAGTGATAGTAAGCGACACAAACCCTCGACCAACCCCAGCAACATCCGAGGAAATCGAGAGTCGATGGACAAAGGCCTTGAACGAACGCTTGGCTATAGACTGCTTGATGACGAACACTAAAAAATATCAGAAGAAAGCCATAAAGTACTCTGTCGTCAAAAGAACGTGGACTGGGATCCTCAAGGACGAAAGCAGCCTCCCCCGGACTGGTTCCGCGGGAAGATTGAGGTTTTAGTGGGTATCGGGTGAGGTTAGTTAGGGGACGAGGGCGCACCGGAGACTAGTCGGAGCGATGATGGTGCGCCAAACTAACTGAACCCGCAGTACTGAGTCCCACACTCCGTGCGTAACAGCATTTCCTCAGTGGTGAATTACAGGTTACGGTTTCTCGACACCGGGGTTTGAATCCCCCGAACCGCCAGCGGGCCACCTGGAGACGACTTTGTCGGCTGCCAGGCCCAGCGTCGTAAAAGACGCAACGCTCCACCAAAAAAAAAAAAAAAAAAAGTCAACACCAAATTTGAACGGCAAGCCACGCGCTCTGAACTAATTCTCCTGGTTCATGGGGAAGTACGGTGTGGTGATTGCGAGTCCCCGGTGCGTGGACGACGCGGAAGGGAATTCTTGGTATCGGTGAAAACGATGGGCGGGGGTCGTTGGTACCAGTTGACGGTTGGCGGAGGAAGCGAGCGAGGTCCGTGGTACCTCGCGGAGGGAAAAGGGGGAATGGGGAGGTGTGCCGCACGCTTCGTCCGCGCTGTCCTTTAGTGAAGACTGCCCTTTCCTGAGCCTGGTATACTCGATAGCCTTCCCTCCGACGTTCCTAACCTGAGTTCTCCTCGATCCTGAGCCTGAGCCTAACTTATGCGACCTTCCTTAGCCTGAGCGCGAGCCTGAGACGAGACCTGAAGCCTGAGATTGCCCGGCGCAACCTAGATACTGAGTCCTGAGAGGTAGTGGTAGGTGACTAACTCCTCCCTCCCTCTCCCCCCTAAGTCTCCTCCCGCCGCCGTTTTCCCACGTCCTACCCTCGCTGGCACCCGTTCCTCTCCTCTCCCGTTCCTTCCGCACCCGCCGCGTCTCCTTCCGACCCCTCGCCGTGCCCTTCTCCAGCTCCTTCCGCCCCCTCCGCCTCCTCCCGACGCCTCGCCATACCCTTCTCCAGCTCCTTCCGCTCCCTCCCCCTGGCTCTCAGTGTTTCCCCACCGTCTGCAATGCCCGCCGATGCTCCCCGAACCCGTCCACCATCGTCTTCACCACCCGGTTCTACCGCCTCATCGATCTTCTCCGTGACGAACGCGTAGTCGAGCCTCGTCTGAACCCCGATAGCGACCACGAGTGGCTTGCCTGGGCCCACGGAGCTCGGTGGTTAATCGTGCGTCTTTCCCTTCATCCTGATTCCTGATCCCCCTCTAAGCCGTCCTCCCCGCAGCGAATGCTCTTCGACTCTCGTTCCCGTGCAGTGGCCCACGGCAATGCTTCCCTTCCGCTCGTCCGCTGCTATCCCGACGTGCAGGAGCTGATCGAGTACCTCGACCAAGTCTTCCTCACTCTTCCGTCGCAGCATAGCTACGTGGGCGAACCCTTCCCTTTGATTGCCTGGGCCCCGAATCGGGTCACCGCCGAGCAGGCTGACGCAGAGATTGGTCGTCCCCTCCTTCCGGTTCGCTACTTGGAGTGTCCCTTACAGCTCTCGTCCTACCGCGCTTCGTCCGACAGCCTCGACAGCCTCCTTACTCGGTTCCAGGGCCTCCTAGACGAGTGCCGCACCGCTAACCGCGACGCTCGTTCCGAAGCTGTTCGTATCGCCCGAGGCCTGAATACGGTGGAGGGCGGTGTTCGCGACTTGCACGCCCGCCTGTCGGAGGGAGTCTACGTCCCGGACGGCTACTCTGGGGTACCTCGCCGCCTGCGGTTCGCGCCGGTTAGGGATGTCGATGATCTGGAGGAAGGAGAGGTTGAGGACGCCATGGGGGAGGAGCCCGTTGTCCATGTACTGTAGCCGTCTTCCTCCCGCGTGTTCTTATATTGGTTGTCCTTCCGCCGAGTCGTCCTTCCGCCAATGGATGTCGCTTCGCTCCGCATTGCCTGGGCCTGAGTGCGTGTGTCGTTCCGGGCTCGTACCGCTGTTCCCATGTGGGCCTGCCCCACAACGGTGAACGATTACACTCCACATGTCGATAGTGAGTTACGTCTCCCGGATACCATGCTCACTGTGGTAAGTTTTTCGTCTTTGCAATCTTCGTATGTTCTCACCGGCTTCGCAGGCTCGTACCTCTTGGAGCAATGCGCAACACTACTTCTTGAAGTCTGAGATCCAAGAAGTCGCGGATACATGGAGGCAACTATTGGATGCCCGTGACCATGTTCAGTTGGGGAAGTTCACCACCGAGCGAATTTGGCATGTGGCGAGGTTACATGAGGTAAATAGCCATAGCCCGCCGCGGACTTCTAGGCAGACTGACATATCTGACCTCTGCTGTGCAGTTCCAAGATTCGTGCATTACTTGGCTCGAAAAGCAGCAATCTGCGCTCCGTCGTGAGCAGGATTGTCTCAAGAAGGAACGCTTGAACGAGTACGTGCGACACGTACGATCGTTATTTCTGTTCGCTTCTCACCACACGGCATACTTAGCATCAGCGCAAGACTCCTTGCGCTCGGCTGGGCGCCTGAACTAGATATGCTCAAACAGAAGGGCAGTGAACGCTTGTCAGGTCATAGGCTTGTCTGTATGACAAGCAAGCTCACCGATCACGGTGTGTATCTGCAACAACCCTGGCATACGACTGTACTCGTCTCATCAGTATGTCTAGGCTGGCGGAGAATCAAGGGCGAAATGATTGACTTCATGCAAGGCATACGAAAGCAACGTCTGGACCACGAATTCAACGAGGCTTTGGCTAAGCGCTGGGTCGTCTTTGAGAACACAGCGAACGAGCTTCTCGATGAATACCTCAATGGACACCAGGAGATGCGGACTTATGGGCTGAACCTTGCAGACCTAGTGCGCACACCAGAATTTCGGGATATCATGTGTGTGTGTACGGATACACAGGTGGATAAGCAGAGCTTTATGGCTTTGCGGGCGCAGATGGAGACGATCGTGGAAGGGTGGAAGTTACGCGCATGCGATGCCCTCCGCCAGATGATACGACATACTGCGCAGGCTTCGATGGACCCGGGCGTGGACACGTTGAAGCTCGCGACGACAATGTTCGAGTGCAAGCGTTGCCGGCGTTATCTTGTTCACCCCAACCTCCTCGCACACAAGTGCTTGCGCTCCGGCCGTGCTCCTATGTTCGCTTTCTCCAACCACCATGGTATATATGAGGCCTCTGCCCGCACGTTCTTCCCGGCAACTTTCCAAGTCCGAAGTCCAAATTTCGAAGTTGTCTCACCCAGGTCGGCTCGCCGAATCATTCGAATCTGCAAGAAAGATCCGGATACGGTCACAGCGAAGGAATTGGACTCATCGGACATCAGGCTTGTACGAGATGACACAATCATCATGACCTGGCGTGCTGTGGTGAGTTGGCTCAGATGCTCTAGAAATGCTCCTGCTGGTGCTGAGACCCGAGTCTCCGGTAGTTTGTTGACATCTGCAAGTCCAAAGATGATTCCCCAACATGGCGAACAGCAAATCCGACAGAGATCGCCTGGGCCAAGGAACGGGAACAGTGGCTCATACAGACGAAAACTCAATGGCGATGTAGTAGATGTGGCGGACTGAGCGATTTGAATCATTTGGAAAGCATGTGCACCCACATTCAAAGACGGTGAGCTGTATTGTTCTCGAAGTCGAATTGTTGTGGATGGGCTGACGAATGGGCTGTTAGCCATGGCGTTCTTCAGCCCAGCATCGAAAATGGTGACATTTTAATGCAGCTGGACCCCGATACTGAGTACGCCAGTGGCTCAAGCTTAAATTGTAGTAGAAGGTGTGCTCGATGGTCCTATGATACCTAGTGGTGCTCAATATTGACGAATATTTGCGAAATGCGCCTAGGTCTTCAAATCAGATTCTGCGAGTCTCTGACCAGCCAAAGTGTACTACAATCCGGTATTTTTATCAGTAACTGTCAGTTCAATGGGCACAGAGGCCCTCGAACCTTGAAGCGCACACTGCCTTACACAGTCACCAATTATAGAACTGACTGTATAGCATGCTCCAAGGTTGAACGTGAACGTTTGAAGCTTACTAATACACATGTAGGCCTTCGCCACTACCGTGTTAAATCACGTGGTATTCGCGTGACCGCGTACCGCGCTACGCGCCACAGTTTGGCCACAATCCGAGTTGTTTGTTCATTGAATTTCATTCGTTCGCTCGCCCATCTCTTCTTTGAGTGCCCCCCCTAATATGCTGCAGAAGAAGTCTAAGCGGTCGAGATTATCTCGGTCATCTACAAAGTCCGGGGCACAGAACATACGCGGACAGTCTGGACGGCGACTCGGGGATGGTCTCAAGGATGGCATGTTCAACATGCCAATGGATATTATTCATGAGGTAATATTGCATCGTTCGTTGGATGTCACAGTTTGAATATGCTGACTATGTACAGATTCTGCTGTACTTTCAACCGCAAGACTTGCTCAGTGTTTCACGAACGTCCAAGGCATTCCACGCATTCCTGATGAAGAAGAGCTCCGCCCGTTACTGGAAGGAATCGTTGGAGAGACTAAAGGGCCCTCCGCCGTTCCCAAAGGACATGATTGAGCCTGCATGGGTCGCTCTCCTCTTCTCTCCACATTGCACGGTAAGGTATATTATACTCGCAGATACGACTAGCCTGAGCAGTTTCGACATTCTGCCAGGCATGCGGAGAGGGCTATGCACCGGAGGTGTATTGGTCATTCTTTATGCGACCCTGTGAGACTTGTAGGTCTGAACTGTGAGTGCAACATGTATAACGACAGGGTTGTCTCAGATGGCTGTCTAACGACCCTTACCCATGAGCAGCATTGTGAGCCGGCATAAGCTTCTCAGCGGCCGTAGCATCCACAAAATTCCGGCGACTATATTGAACACGGTATAGTTGATAACAATGTTATTGTGTAGTCTGCTCACCGTGCTTCACAGGGACATGCTTCTCGAAACGACGAAGGTTACTGTCTTCGATCCGAATACAGGAGGTCATAAGCGACTGGAAGCGGTTGTCCAAGTCCGGAAATGAAGACAGCTTGAACGAATTCATCAAGCAGCAGACCCTGCGTGTCAATGATTTGTCTGATGTACTAACTGCCACTACTTCACATTGCTGGATATGTATTGATAAGGGATGTAGTTTCAGTCTGTGTGCCTAGTCTGGTTAGAGCATGAGGAGAAGCTGCGCACGGGAGCAGTCAATGGCTTGCGACAAGGACGTCTACAGTTGTACGTTAGCTGTATCAATATCTCTTGTACATCGCTGAAACTTGGCCTAGCGTCACGTCCAAACTACAAGCGCTAGGATGGGGGCCGGAGCTGCGAATGCTGTCTCGAGAACAAAGCCTAATTTTGGCAGACCACAAACTGATGCATATACCAAAACCTCTCACAAATCGCAGTGCGTAGTGCATGAACTCTTGGTACTTGCGCTCTGCATTCATTCACTCATTTCACTGACTCCCGTAGGTTGGCGCAATATCCAGAGCGAGCTGGTGAAGGTTACAGTCATCGACGGCTCCTTGAGACACCCCCGGTCCTTGAGACAGCGGGCTTCAGCGCGTGCTCAGTGAAGCCTGCTAGCCTAGAAAAATGACAACAATTTGCTTACCGTTGTCATGTACCTACTGAGACCGTGTTTGCGATGGTGCGAGCGCTGGTCGCTGCACGGTATGTCGAAGAACATGGAAAACCACATTTCATGAATTTCATTACCCGATTTAGCAAGTACCATTACATAATCATACCGGCCCATAATCCCTACTATGCGGAACGACGCGAAAGTGGGGGTTAAACACAAAGGAAGTTTCCTTTGTACTGTCAGTGATCATTCCAATGGTTTGTAAGGGTATTTCACTTGAGGAAAGAGTCTGGAAGAGCCATCTGCACTGATGAGCACTTGGGATAGTTACCATTTTAGGCAGGTGTCTCAAGGACCGGGCAAGGTCTTGATAAGAAAAATCGCGACTGATCTCCTTAGTGTGCAACGCTCGCTCTATGGATAAGGATACAATTTTTTTGTAGGATGCCTTGGACATGCCTGATTGTGCGTACACTGTCCGATCTCGAAGAGTACGCGGTGTTCCGATGCAAGACGCCAAACGCGATTTGGGCGTCTCAAGGAGCCGTCGATGACTGTATGCAGGGCGTACGGGACGAACTTCTGGCCCGCGCCCTGCGACAGCGTCTGACTGGTCGCTGGAGCGACTTCCAATTCGTGTGGGAACGACCCCTTCAACAATACATGATAGCACATCCGGAGCTTTGGACTTGGGGCTTGAAATTGGCAGATCTCGCATTCATGCCAGAGTTTCGCGGGCACTTGTGTGCTCCTACGGGCAGGCTGGTAGACAGAGATACTTTCAGATACCTACTAAGGCATACGGGCACAATCGTGGAGGGGTGGAAGACACACGTATGCGACCAATTACGCCAACACATGCGAGGCAAGACACGCGTTACGAAGAAGGTCGACCCGCTAGAGCTCGCAACGACGATGTTTCGATGCAGCGTTTGCGCGGCCTATCTGTTCTTCCCGAACCTCCTGGCGCATCAGTGCCAGCGCTCGTCGCCCGCTGAGCAGAACACATTTGCGCAGTTCGTGCACAGCAAATCGGACGGATATCGATTTGAATATGGGAGCGCATTCTCCCCTCGGCTTCGGGAATACGAACCGTCGGAGCAAGCGCGCCAAATTATACGGTTTTGCGGCAAAGACCCGAATACAGCTACAGCGAAGGATATGGACGAGCTCGACATAAGACTCATTCGAGGCAAAGTGATTATGACCTGGCGCACAGCGGTGAGTGTGCTTGATCGCCCGGACTTGCTCGCCATTGATGGCTGGTGCATTAGATGATTGAACAGACACAGTTCGACGACGAGATATCGAACTGGCGGATCGCTGATCCAGAAGCAATTGCCAGGTCGAAGGAATGTGAGAGGAAGATAGTAGAGGAGCTTAGTTTGTGGATCTGCATTCCATGCATGCCGCAATACTTGTACTACTCCTCGTGGCATACAATAAAGAAAGATCTCGAGGTGGAGTGAGTCGCCCTCCTTCGTCCTGCGATTGGCCTGCTGAATTGTAGACTTTCAGTCATGGCATCGAGGAACCTAGCGTCGAGAAGGGACACATGATGTATGCCAAGACACCTCACGACATGTATGGGAGCGGTGTGTTCAAGTTCAAAATGCCGAGCTACGAGGTGCTGTGGGTGTCGGCTCGGAGTACTGGGACCAAACGCAGTTCGTGATCTTGATATGGTAGCAGTTGTGTGTACTATCAATCTGCCTGTGGAATGTATGATATAGATATAGGACGTGTTTTGCTCAGATTCATCCATTGGAAGTAGTTGTGAGTCACCACCTATTGTCGAGTCTACTTCACGCACGAACGAACCAAGTTGAACCAAGTACGCGACTGCCAGTGCATTTCCGTCGACAGCCATGACGTACCGTAAAAGGCTATATAACGGTTGTTCGAGCTCCCGTGTACTGGAACCCATGTGAACCCTTAACATTAACACCTAATCCAGCTCCTCCAGCTCCATATCGCGAAAGAAGAGGGGGCCGATGCTCACTGCGTCCCCTGCAACTTTACCCGCGACATGGCCGACTTGCTTCCAGTTGATCGCCTCGCTCCCAGCGAGGTTTGCATGCGCCTCGAGTCTTTCAAGCTCTGCAGCGCGACGCCATATCGCTTTCGCGACGTCCACTGCGGTGCTGGCGACGTCTATCGCCTCATTGCTGGCGGTGTACGCGGCGTCGCCGACTTTGTGCCAGTTAACCTTGCGCCGGCTGAGCGGAACCGCGGCACGATCCTCACGGATGAAGGGCTTTACAAGAGGATAGGCTTTGGCGCCGAGCGAGATGGCCTTCAGCGCCGTGTTGCCGACCGTCTCTGCGTCTTGACCAACTTTCTTCCAGTTGATAGCCTCGCTTCCGTAGACATCATCACTGTGTTCACGAGTGGTCAGTGACAGTATAACGGGACTCGAATCAAAACGACGCACTCCTGAATAGGGACAGCGAATGCTGCGACAAGAGAAACGACAGAGAGAATGATGGGGAGTGCGATGGTGTAACGCATGATGGAAGCCGAGTGAGATGTGAAGGGGGGGAGAGTCGTGCGTGTTCGTTAAGTAGGGCTCACAAGGACGTGTATAATGCAACCAGCAAGGCTGTCATGACAAGTATCAGCACAGCGCTCACATTACACGTTGGTCGACAACACGACTCACCGACCAGCACCAGTGCTGAAGTATACCCGCACGCTAGAAATCGAAGGGCTGGGAGCTAGAAAAGCGAAGTGCTCGGTGTCGTCCTTTATGTGTCGCTGCAAGCGCCGAGTCCAGCGCTCGGTGTTCGCTGCATACATACCTCGCGCTGAGCGAACTCAGGCTGTAAGGGGTGGCCGCACCTGGCCGTACGGTGCTGTGGCATACTGTCTGTCTGTTCGAATCGCATCCATCTGATTGACATCGGCAGCCGGGAGGATGTCAACAACTCACATTCAATACAGGTACTGCCAATGAGAGATGACACCTGTGTTGGCTCTACCGCAGCGCCCTGTCTCGCTCTGCGCTCGAAGATCCCCTGGAACCTGAACATGTCACGGTCAACGTACAAGTGTCAAGGAAGCTTCAGAATCAGGGAAGAAGTCTGAAGACTGCCCATTTAGAGAAGGCAAGGAGTATCCCAGTGCACTGCCAGTGTGAGCATTCCCATGTCAGGGAGAACTGGACGATGCGACATGCTTCTCATCAGAATGGAGGCCGAATAGTCATAGGTGGTCGCCACCTCACGTCACCGCGTGAGGACCGACAGCAAGCAAGACCGTACATGGAATGGGCCTGCAGGCCTGGCTACAGCGCTCACCGTGATGCGGCGGACTTTAGCTGTGTCCGACTACGACAAGCTCTTGGGATTGCATCTTAGCGTCTACGAGCACAGCGCCAACGACCTGCTCAGCACCGCACAAGTTGTCCCGAAAACCTGCATGAGAGAGGAATCCGAGTATCAGTTAAGTGTCAGAGTTTTTACCCAGTAGAGTTGTGGTTACTGCGCACACCCCAACACGACAACTACATGCGGAAGCGCCCGTTGATGCCAACCCAATCGGTGGCGGTAGTCTCCCGTATTAGGCAGACCATAAACACATCCTCTTTGAGGATAGTCGAAAAGGAAACGAGTCGACTGCATCGGTCAATGGGGCGTACGGTGGATTTTACTGCTAGAGTGCTTGAGATATCAGGCCAATGATCCTTCGGCACAGTGTGTTGAACGAGGCTATGAAGTTGAAGAGGCGAAGCAGCAGGGAGGATTATAGTACGTACTCATAGGTACTCATGCGACGGTACTGACAGCCTCCGAGTCAGCTTGATTGTACATACAGCTTTGATTGATCAACAATACACGTACACGACAGGAAGTCCCCAGATGACCACTACAACAACAATATAGGACCAAGCCCAACTTGGTCCCGTTTCCCTAAAGTCCAGCTCCATGAGCCGCTAATCCAATTCATCCAGCTCGGCGTCGCGAAAGATGAGGAGAGGAGCGAAGGACGCGACGGTCGCGATCTCACTCTCGACATGGCCGGCCTTGTGCCAGTGAGTGACCTCATGCACCTTATCCTTGATGCCGTCCCAGCTAATGGCCCCGCTCCCAGCCTGTGCGTACCTCTCACGCTCCGTAAGCTTCTCCGCGCGAGGCAGGATGTTTTCGACGAGTGCTCTGCGCGTGATGAGCGCCCTCAAGACATCCCCCCCGGCGCCGGCGACGTCCAGACCCAAGTTGAGAGCCTTATTTAGGCTGTGCCTGAACTTCTCTCCCTTGGTCTTGGGCTTTTCCTCGCCCTCCTTGCCCTCGCCCTCCTTGCCCTTGCCCTTTCCCTCGGCCTCGGCCTTGCCCTTGCCCTTGCCCTTGGGATCGGGCTTGGGCTTGGGAGCGGGCTTGGGCTTGGTGAGCTTTTTGGGAGCGGGCTTAGGCTTGGGAGCGGGCTTAGCGGGCTTGGGTACGGGAGCAGCCTTGGGTTTGGGAGCGAATTTGGGGATCTTGGGGATCTTGGGGATCTTGAGCCGTCGAGCTAGGTGTGGGTATTCCCCTTTCTGTTCTTGCTGTCGCTCCTTTTCCTCCACGGACTTGTCGAGGGCCCACCCTCTAGCACCGAGCGAGATTGCTTTCCACGCCGTGCCCGCCGTCGACTCCGCCTCTTCCAATTTGATAGCTCTGCCGCGAAGGTCGTCACTGCGTGGACGAGTCAGTAGCGCCGCGTTGATTGGATCACCGTCACGTACCGGTCTATCGGCGCGGCGAAGGTGGACGCAATAGCAAGAACAACGGAAAGGACCGTTAAGCGCATGGTGAGAGTCGGGGAACAGACAGCTTTATGTCGTAAGGGAGGACGGCGTCGTGCGGTTTCGTAAGATACAGGATTAGGAGGATGGGTATGTCGTAATAAGTAAGGCTATTGCGCTCAGAAGTTAGCAGAACGCGTACTCGCGGACTATGTCATTACTCACCGACCAGCACCTATACTCGTGTAAGGAACGAGGCTCGCGATCCAATGCGCGGGAGCTAGACGGGTACAAGAGCATGTTGATGGCTCATATATATCTCGGACGCCGGTGCGCTGTGCACGCTTTCGCCCAGCTCGCTCCGCACGTACGGCGCTGCGCCAAGGCCTAGTGGACGGGGGACCGCGCGGGTCTGTCCAAAACCATCATTCTGCGCCTGGTTGTACCGGACTTGCCTTGGCGAGCAAGGTACGCAGATGAGATTGCCGGAACCAACGGGCCCATGTCGTATCGTTTAGCAGTCCTCCATGCCTGATCGACTCATCAATGATGCGCATATCATGTACGCATCTACCCGCGACCAGGGGCTCGGCCTAGCAGACTTCGACTCGGAGCCCCATAAAGAGATGATGTTTTAGCTCACAAATGAGTTGCCGTGAGGCTTTCCCGCCATTGCAAAGCCATGGTCAACAACCAACAGGACGCATTTTTTAACAATCCATCATAATCCTGCCCGCAGAGCTGCTGTCGGTGATCGGGGGACCATGGCTGTGTCCGGCTACGGAAGGCTCCGGGCTTCCGGCACCGCATCTCAGCCCCTACGGGTGTGGCGTTAACAACGTGCACGAGACCAAAATCGCCACGCCCAAAGCCGTCGATGAACCTACATCGGAAGGTCACTGTCAGATTTGTCAACTAACAGTCACCGTGCACGCAGCCACCGCAACTACGTGAGTAAGCGCCTGTTGATGCTACATTTGATCGAGGAACGCACCGTTCCAATTTGGCAAACTGCGGCATCAGTCAATTGGTCACTTCCAAGGCAAATTCGTGAGTGCCCCCCCTCGCGTCGCGCCTGAGCGCATCGGTTCTTGAAAGTCAGCTGAAAGCCGGCGCAACAACGGTATAGCGTTCAGGGATCTGCTCTTCGAGCGTCTCGACTACGATACCGTCACGTTACACGCGCGCAGCACAAGGCAGCACAGCTTTCCTGCTCAGATCGCAATCTCAATCTACGCGACAACGCAACATTGAGTGGACGGCTCACCTGAGATCGTAGAGAAATGCTTCAGGAAAATCATCAGCCTCGATGCTAGGGGTGCACACATGTGATGGCTTCCCGTAAATAGGACTATTACATCGTGACTGTTGTGAGTCGTATACACGTTCGAAGGAGCATAGCGCGAACAATGGCCTTTCGCTGGCTCAAATGGCCAGCCTGCGTTACACATGGCGCATCATGCGTGCGCGCATGCGATCCGATGCCTCGCGTGCACGCAGGTGCCGAGTGGTGTATGCTCCAGGTCCGCCTCATGAGCGCTGAGCGGCGGTCAGCCAGGATCATCCCGAGGTCCAGAACTTCTCGCGGAGGTGCTGATGAGTTACACATCAGCATATTGCCGGCCGTCGACACTCTCCAATTCTGTGGGGAGAGTGGATACTCACCCAGCTCGATACATGTGCGTACCAATCACACAATGTTTCCTTTGCTACTTAGAAGTGCAGCGTTTTGACCAGATGTCGGACTGTTGCATTGGGACGCATGTGATCGACACCGACCGGTCGAAGAGAGCACCAGAGCCTATCATCGCCTGCAGTCCGAGTCTAGTGTCGACCCTGACCTTGATTGAGCTCGTACCGCAGCAGTCGGCCCGGGTTCACGACGGTCCATACACCTTGATGAAACACACAGTCAGCAACCCGCTTGGGGTGATATACGGCACTCGTAGACACGCGGACACGAATGACATCTGTAGGCTCAGGCCCTAGTCGCTATCTGCACAGCCTGCGCCATAGTCGGAGGGCAGCTCGACATTGAAGGTAAACCCCTATCCGTCGGGAGTCAGTGCATGACTTGGAGTCGAGGCGCGACAGAAGACTTGGTACCTGAGTACTGAGTACTGAGTGCTAGTGAGGTTTGAAGACCAGGCCCGGGCATATGCGATCCGTACGCGATTCCTCCTTAGCAAAATGCCAATCTGTAACCGTCGCCAGCGAGGACTCGATCATCAAACACATTGGAGTTGTAGCCGGGGTGCGGACAGCATGGAGCAGCGAAGCGATAGTGAGGGTGGCGATGACAGCGCGTCGAACCACAACAGCTGCCCGAACAAGATACCGGAGTTTTCCGGAGAACTGTACAGGCAAACACCGAAGTACTGCCGACAAGCACTTACGGTAAACATGAGACTCACTGAATTCCGCCGCTGCACTGGTCTGCGTTTCTTTCACTGCAAATTACAGGGGATTGTTCTCGCCCATTCTTCGTCGGATGTCTGCAACCTGAACATTGCAATTGGAAGCAGCGGTTTATGGTGCCATGCCACGGTTCGAAGCCCGCTTACTAGCAGTTGAATGGATAGATTACTACCGCCGTGGCAGTACATACAAGGGTACATGTAGTCAATGCTGGCCCAGAATTCGCTGCGGATTCCAGATGATCTTCGCCCGTAGGTCATACACTCACTACCAAGACCAATGCGCAATAAACCCGTCACTCATGTACGTTTCGTGTAGAGCGACGATGAGCGTCGAGATTGTTGTTACAATCCTCGTTGACCGCTAATGCATGTACACGAAGGCCCCACAGCGATCTTGCTTTTACTACAGCAATCGTCCTCGACAGCGATCGTGCCAAACGACGTACAAGCAGAAATGAGTAGACCAGCTATCATATGAGCCCCAGTCCTCGAAGTGAGTCCGATCCCCCGATGTCATGAACTCCTAGTCCAACTCTCTCAGCTCTTCTAGTTCGATTTAATCCGAAGGAGCGGGGCGACGGTCAGAACGCCTCCCACAATCTTTTCCGTCAACCTTGTGCCAGTTGGACTCCTCCACGGTTTCCTTGACGCCATGCCAGCTGACGTCCCTGCTCTCAGCCTGAGCCTGCCTCTCGCGCTCCGCAGGCTCCTCCGCATGGTTCAACATGTTGCGGACTAGGTCTCTGCGCGAGGGAGGATAATCGCCCTGTAGACGTCCTCTGCGGTGCGCAGGAAGTTGATCGCATGGTTGGCGGCCAGGTACGTGCTATTCGCGCACTTTCCCCGGTACCAGGCTCACTCGCCTTGATCTCCTCCTCGCCGGTCGGCTGCTGGGTCGGCTGCTATGTGGTTTGCTGTGTCGTCTGTTTTTTCTTGGGGGGGGGGCTTCTTCCTGGCTTTCTTAGGCCTTTTGGTATCCTCCTCGAACGTGTTGCCAGGAGGTTGTCTGCCGAGACCGTCAAGCCCAACGGACCGAGCTGGCTCGACAGGCTGAGCGGGCGAAGCGGGATTCTGGTTGCGGAACTTCGTCCAGGATCCCATACTATACGCCCGGCGAGTATTGTTGTACTGTTTTTCCTTCGAGTCGGTGTTGGCGATGCCCCACCCTTTGGCACCCAGCGAAATCGTGTTCAATGCTAGGCTTCCCCACTTCGCACTTCGACGCTAGTTCACTTGCGTCCTTTAGGTTGAAAGCTCTGTTGTCCCGTATAGTGCCCGACGTAGACTAAGGTACCATCGTCGTACCGGTGAATAGGCGCGGTAAGAGTGAACGCCATCCTGATAGCAAGGAGGGGAGGACGTTGATGCGCATGATGACAAACGGGTGACGGACAGGTGAGAGTCGCTTCGACGGACGCCGTATGGTTTCGTAGGACGGGTATACGTCGAGAGAAAAGGCTACAGCAATCTGCGGTCAATGTGGCAAGCAAGATCCCATACAAGCCAGATTCCCTACTCACTGACCAGCACCTACGCTTGTGTAGGGAAATAGGTTCGGTAATCGAAGGACAGCTGCTAGAGGCGCAAAACAAACCGACAATTTCAATATGCGTCTCGGCTTGCACGCGGAGGATACGTTGCGAACGCCCCGAGCTATCGGTGTCTAGCTCCTTGCCGAGGTTGGGAGGAGGTGGCGCGATGCAGTCCAGAATAATCAGTCTGGTTGGTCGGGCCATCCTTGACGGCGGGCAAGGTATGAAGATAACATCGCGGAGTTGAGGCAACTTCCTCATCTACGTTTGCGGTCTACGGCTCTACACCACCTGTGTACGCAGTCGCGGAATGTGTGACCGTCGACTTCAGGGACTCACCGGAGGAAGCTAACTGGACGGGCAAACAAATGTGTACACAAACCTAATAGCCTACAATAGTCCTGGTCTGCAAGCGTAGGCAAGTAGTCGCTTCGCGTGGCGACATCGGTCAGTTCAAGTTAGCATGCTTCGCAAGCGGACTTGTGAATACCCTGCCGAGTCGTGCATAAGCGTAGCAGCTATTGAACATCGGTCAAAAGTAGCCCCAACAAGGGATCCGGGTGGCTGCTCTCCGAGCTGCCCAGAGTCGTATCATGTTGCAAAACCACGTAGACAGCACAGTGTTTGCGTCCAGATTGTTATCCGGTCTCTCAAACAATGCGAGCGCGTAACGTGAGCGGACGGCTCACCTGAGATCAGAAGGAGATGTTGAAGGATACCTTCAGCGACTTTGGTGTGGGGTTGTTCACATGTGGATACACATGTGATGGCATTGTGAGAGCGGGACATGACTGACGTCTGATCGTCCGAGGACCAAGATCACGGCACAGACCCGAGTGAACAGCTTTCATATTGTGAAGACACAGCGTATCCTGCATGGGCGCACGACTTGGTGATCAGCTGACGAGTGGTACCACGGTAAGGCTACCACATATAAACGATAGGTACTTGACTAGACTTCAGTACGTCACTACAATGTGAACGATCAGCTCAGACACATCGGAAGAGGACATCAAAGCATCCTCGCCGGCAGTCATGTGCGGACTCCACGCCTACAAAAGCGCGCAGCGCAGTGTCCCCGGACCATTATAGTAGCCACAAGATAGTAGGCACTACCTGCGACCCGCACGGTAGATCATTTTCTGGAGGCTGCCCGCAGAGGCTGCGGCCGAGACAACCGTCAGACGGCTATCTGCACAGCCTGTCAATGTACCATTAAGCCTCACATCAAGATGTAACAAGCCCGGGTTCCTGGAACTCGATCGTACCTTGGCAATGTGGCTTCAGTCCGTTGATAAGCCATTGCATAATAGTGCATAAGCCTTGCGCCAGACGATCGTAATCTTGTCAGAACATTCACTATTGAGCCTCACAGCCCTGATTGCGACATAATACTTGAGTCCGTTTCAATACCAGGTAGACGAAACCTTTTGAAGCGCCGTGAGCACAACTCGTTGATCAAGGTCGCCAGAGGGGCGTCAGGGATGCTACACGGCAGAGGAAAGCGCCAATCGTAGTGGTGGTTTCAGCAGTGAAGCTTTGAAGAGATGGTGGCGGCGAGCATGGCGGTGACGCGTGACGAACCACGACAGTTGCCCGAACGAGATCCCGGACTTCGCCGGAGGATTTACTGTATCGGGCCGGGATCTCAGCCACCGTACCTCTATTAAACGTTGCTTGCTTTCCTCTTAATATATTCGCACATAACACGCGGGGAGCGATTTCTAGCTATGCGCTCAAGCACTTGCTGTGTTTCGCCAAATAATTGAATACGCACGCAGTATTCTTGGCCGAGCGACTTAACTTGGCCAACTTGTCCCAGCCGGACAGTATACGTCCTGCTTGAGGTACTTATGCTTCAGCTTCCACTGGACAACAATGCAAGCATTTTCCTGGCCAGCCTAGTAGCGGTATTTGGCGAGCCTGGCCGATAACTGCGTCGGAGCCATACACTAGGACGCGCCTCACACTAGTTGCAAAAACATATCGAGAATAAGTACACAAGAGGTAGCAGCGTTTTACATCCAAGATGCAACGAAAGTTCACTCATCATTGAGCTTACAACCAACAGTCTACTCCCGCTTCTCAGCTTCCCTTTGCACCTTCGACGCGCTAGCGGCTACATCAGCAGCAGTCCTGGACTCTGCCGCCTCCGCTTTCTTCTTGCCGTAGCCGAACCAGCTCCCAAACCATGAGCCCCAGCTCTGCGTCGTCTCGTTCGCCTTCTGCTTCGCATCAGCGTACGTCGCCTTGGCGGCAGCCTCAGCGTCGCCCACCTTCGCCGTAGCGGCGTTGTAAGTGTCTGCTGCTGACGCCTTGGCCGCGTCGTACTGCTTCGTGACCGTGCCACGCGTGTCAGCCGCATACTCGTTCGCGGTTGCTTCCGCACTATGGAGCTTGTCCTTGCCCGCGGCCTACAGCGCTCGCGTTGAATGGATGAAGCACAGTAGAATATTTGTGGAAATATGACGCACCTTTAGGTCGTAGTATCCCTTCTGGCCTTCCTTGACAGCATCCTGCGCGGTGCGCTTCCCTGCGTCGCTCAATTCCCTTGCCTTCTGCGCTGCCTCCTCCGCATCCTTCTGGCGCTTCTCGTGGACGTTCTCCCCTTCCATGTTCAAGTAATACCATGCTCCAACGGATGCCGCGGTCACGCCGCCGAGGATCCAGAGCATGTTGCTCTTCTCGGGCTTGGGGACGTCTGACGGCGTTGGCGAGTCGGTTGGCTGAGTTGGGTCAGGAGTGACCGCGTATGTGCGAACATGCTGTAAAATTGCAGATCAGATTACCATCCTCACTCTCATATGGTTCGTGCGACATACTGGGTACGCTGCACGCGCGAACACAGGTGTCGCGCGCGCGGACGCGGCGACAGAACGAGCAGCTTGAGACCGGAGCAAAGCGGTAGACATGGTCGTGGTCGTGAAGAAAATAGATTACAGGTCGTGAAGTGAGCTATCGGGGATGTGAGGAGGGAGATGGTGAGAAGGACGGAAAACACGCGCCACGCCTTTTGAGCGATTGTGCGCAGACAGTCTTCGCGATGACGACACGTTCAGACGTCGCCCGACCCCGCGTTGACGTCACGCCAGCCACGCCCCATGCTCACGCCCACGTGCCCGCGTCACACCGCGCGTCGGCGTGCGGCGTCGCGACGCGTCGAGTCTCCGCCCAGCCGCCTTGCAGCCGCCAACTTGAACTCTCTGGGCTGGGGTCAACGTAAGTAAGCAGAACGCACATTGCATGGCATTTCGCATTGCGCAAGCAAGCTAATGCACAACTAAGATACACGAGATTATGTGCACGACAACAGTGGCAACGTTGTCCACGAATAATGTGAGGTCCGGTATCCCGAGGTGATAAGCATAGCATGATGTTGTAGCTCCTCAGCTTGAGCTCGGTCAAATGAAGTCGCTACAGAGTTCATGTTCTCTTTCTCAACGTTCGCTTTCTCGCTGTCGCCTTACCTGTGGGTCAACGATTCAGCCTGTCATTCGCTGGATTAGAGTAAGGCGACTAACTCTTTTTCTCGAGTTCCGCTTCGTAGGCCAGACGGGATGTCCGAAGGCTCTGCATAAGCTTCACCAGCTCGCCCTGAATAGTTCGCCAGCCTGTGGAAGTGGGTCAAGTTGTGAACGCATAGGCGCAGAGAGTTCTGCCAATACGCACTGCGGTCCGTCAAGAGCTCAGGTACTCGCACAAGAGTATGATTGGACAAAACAGTCATTCTGTTTTGCTGCAGCCTTTGCAGCTCCGGCTCGAAACCGAGCGCTTGGAGCTTAGAGATGATGCTGAGCCAAACTATCAGCGACGCATGGGACGAATGGTCCAACCCAACGTACAACTGGTAACGTTCTTTTTGCAGGCGGTCCCGTTCACGCGCGCGCAAAGCCTCCTCATTTTCGAGCCAAACCAGGCATAATGATTGGAACTAAGTCGTGGAGAGATGAGTCATATGGAGGGCATGGAACTCGTGGCTTACATCTGATAACTCTTTGATGCGTTCAGACTTTTCTTCAATATATCTGTCCAATGCTTCCGTGTCTTCGTCCTTTGAAAACGTCTTCCAAGCATGGATGGCTTCCCGGGCTTCATCGCGGAGGCAGTATGCTCTGCCGTACCGAGTGACCCGGCCCTGGGAAGCTTGATCAGAACGCTCGACTTGTATGCTAGTAAAACAGCCAGCTTACCAGATTGAGAATAGTTCTAGGGATAGCACAGATGCGATCGCTGTCAAGAAGCTCGTACTGATCTATCACACTGTTCGAGTTCGCAACGGCATGTCAATGGCAGTCCCAATGACGCCGATATGTGAACTGAACTCACAGCCGCGGCTTGCAAGAATCACAAATGCGCATCAAGAATGCCCAATACACTGGCGCAGGCCTTTTCTTCCCGCATGCCTTCACGAACACAGGAAGATGATCATTAATCACCCGAAGACATTAGTCCACCGAACCTGGTCTAGCTTACCATGCAGACAGGGAAGAGAATCAACGCAATGAACGCTGGCTCAATCAGCCACTGAGGACATGGCGGTGCGCGCTCAATTGTCTTTAAGGCCCGCTTCCAATAGTCGGCGGAGCTCTTCTTGAACAGGAAGGCGTGGAAAGTCTTCGAAATCCGCGAAAGACTGAGCAGGTTTGTGGCGGAAGATACGAAATAACCTAAGTATACGTCGGCAGGTGTCGTCAGAATAGCGAGCCTTGACTGTTTCAAGCGGCGTTATTCATTAGACCCGTTCTCACCTCATGGATTATATCCGTCGGCATGTCGCTGAACATGTCCTTGAGTTTGAGGCCACCCCGCCGGCGGCCTTGTACGCGTTGCTCACTGACACGCGCGGTCTCTGAGCGTGCTTTTGCATCTATAGCCGCTTTGGGAGTTTTCAAATCTTTCAACCGCTGGGATCTTCTCAACGACATATTGAGAATGGTGGCAAGCAAAGATGAAATGAGTGAGTGAAATAGGGAAAAGCGACTCAACTTACGCGCGATCATGTTGATTCTGTTGAAGAGCCATACACGGTCACGCGAATTCCACGTGATATGCCGCGTCTGTGGCTACTTGCCTTGGTGTTTGAGTGGCACTGGCAGGGTTATCACATAAGTATGCGACAAGACATCCGATTCTACTCAAAGCCACATACATACAGTGATACATACTGGATTTCGGTCTGACGGTGACCTGACCAAGTGTCCACGGTCGCCTAAAGTGCCTAAGGTGGTTCGGGTCACTGTGACAGCCGAATAGGTCGCCGCACGGTGTGGGTATCCCACCACTCAATAAAGGTCTCGTATCGCTCTGCGTGGAACCGGTATTTCGCAATAAACGGAATGCCCCAGGTAATCATATTTGCTGTCGATGACACAAGGTCTTTCAGTGGAGCAGGAAGCAAACAAAATGGGAGCCGCACCGTCCGGGAACGAGAGACGAAGTCTGCCCTGGGTATGTCGGTACTTTCTTTTCGTAAACAAATCAGGTCAGATTAGTATCGGCCGGCATGTCCAGTCTACAACAGATATAGGCATCGTGCTCGCGTGAAGGTTGTCGCTCCATCTTATCGGCATCTCTGTGCCTCTCCTTGCACACCTCATGAACGCAGTCACAGTTCAACGTTCAACATGACACGTGTTTCAATCGCGCAAACGACCAATCACCATAACCCAGGGAGATTCACCGATTCCCAAACAGCGAGAAATCCAAAGTAGCATTTGATACAGCAAGTAAAAGGTCGGGACAGTGCTGAGCTGAGAAAAAACATAGCGATAGCAATCCGCAGAGAGAACACACCATGACGTCGATACCTGTACGTATCCGCCAGTCCCATCCTACGTCGATTCCATAAGCATCAGATTCACAGGTCGGGCTTGGACGAGGGCAAGTCCGTCCGCCTGTCGTAGATGTCCAGCGCAGGTGGCACGCCGTGCGCCCGTAGGTCCGCCGCGACGCGCTCCACGCCCGCCATGACGCGCAGGAGGTTCCGGCCCGTGAGGCCAGCAAGATCGAACCTATCCCAGCCACGCGCATACAGCTCTGCGATCTATTCACACAAAGTATTAGTGAGAAACAAGGAAGGGTGTGAATAGCACGACAAACAGGTACGTACCAGGGAAGGGTACTTGGAGACGTCCTCGAGCCCCTCGGGCGTGCTTTCGATGCCGTCGTAGTCGCTGCCAAGGCCAACGCTGTGGGCACAGTGAGTACGAGTGTGTTGAGAGATGCTGCGTGGTTTATACGCACTGTGCCCTGCCCGTGACGCTAGCAATGTGATCAATGTGGTCTGCGACGGCCTCGAGGTTTGCCTTGCCTTCGTCCGCGACGAATTGCGGGGCGAAGTTCACCTGCACAAATCCCTTCAGTCTCCTTACGCCGCGCTTCTGGTGGAAGTACAAACCATGATAACAGCGTCGACCTTACCATCGGTAGTGCCGACCAGCTCTAGAATGTCGTCGGGTACATTACGCGCGACATTATGCACAGAGCGCGCAGACGAGTGTGACCAAATAACAGGCGCCTAGAGGTAAGCCAGTCAGTACAGCCGCATCCTGGATCTCAATCTGGTGAGCGAATGCGCACCTTTGTGTGTTTCAATGCCTGCCGGGCGGTGTTGTCTGAGGTGTGACTCAGATCGACGATGACACCGAGACGGTTCATCTCCCCGATCAGCGTGTATCCGAGCGGACTGAGCCCGCCCCACTTCGTTTCGATCGGCTTGAGGTATCCGCCAGAGTCGGCGAACGCGTTGTTGCACATGTGTGTCAGTGTGACATAGCGCACGCCGAGTTCGTGGTATTGTCGCAGGACAGCGAGCGAGTTGCCCAGTTGGTGGGCGCTGAATCGCGGTGCATTCACAAGATGATGGTGAGAAAATGGGGGTGCGGCTCACCCTTCCACGCCGAGTAGGCTGGCAATCTTACCGGCGGAAATGGCGGACTTCACTTCGTCGGATGTCGTAGCGAGTTGGAATGTCTGTAGAAATTTGAGTGTGCAGGCCTGCTCCGCAAGCTCACGCTCAGACTCACCTCAGGGTATCGGTTGATGAGCAACTTGGCAACATCGATCTGTTCCAGCGTGTCACTGCGTAGTGCCCGTGCTCAGTGACGACACGCAAGTCAACAAACTAGACACATACCGAACACGCCAAGTAGCATTTAGGAAGTCTGGGCCGTCGTCCAGGCCAGCATGTGCGGGACAGTTTGTGTATACCGACCTGAGCAATAGCTGACTAAGTGATCTGGTGCAGAGTGAAGCGAAGCGCACTGCTCACCAGAAGAAGCCCCCAACTTGGCCCTTCTTAAGACGGGGGATGTCGACGTGCCCAAGAGTGGGTGTGTTGAGATCGAAGGCTGAGACGTTGTTGGCATAGACCGACCGGGCGAATTCAGGAAGGTCTAAGAATGCGCGCTCAGAGACCAGTCTGCCACCAGTGACATGGGTTGATTACCTATATGACCATCCTACACTCCGTCCGACGACGTTAAAACCGTTGTCGCTCCTGAGTACTATGGTAGACGTACAATGACAGGGGCTGACTGCAGTAATCTGTGTGCAGCCTTTGCCGGGTCCTTTGGCAGCGCGCCTGCAAATCGTCCAATCTTGTCCCACAAGAAGAACATCGACAACAGGGCAGCAAAGAACACAACGGTCAGGGTGCCGTGGGTCACTACTCGAATGACAGCAGCGCGCCGTTCAGCAGCGCGTTTCGCGGCATGCTCGCCAATATCGGCGTCGCGGGCAAAGTTGGGCTCGCCAGGAGGCCCGAGAAGGGGATCCCGCTCGCCGTTCGTCGCCATCGGTGTGTTGGGCGTCGTAGACAAGGTGGAAGAGACACCGAGACGTTTGGGAAACACTGACAGAACCTCAGGCGCTGTGGCGGGTCGGCAGCGACGCGTAGCCTGAGACCGTCGGGAGCACGCGTCAACGCGTCACTTGCACGTGCTTTGACGCGTCGCGTCTGGCGGCTCCTCCGACCTCCTTTCTTTCCTGACTCTCACTTAGGTCGAGATGGTTCACAAGTCCTCTACTATTGCCTGGATCTTACAGTATTGTGCCGGTCGAGCTTTCATACGAGTCGCCTTCAATCGCCATCCATTGAGTTCCCGCTTATGGCTCCTACTTTACCGCGATCCAGACTTTTCCCAGACCCTCACCTTCGCTATGTCCTCCTTCACTAAAGCAACATCGCTACGCTGTGCACCTTCATGGCTGGCATCCGGCTGGCATTTCAAGTATGACTACCACCTCACGAGACATTAACGCACGCCCCCATTGATGAAGAGGTCTCCTTCCCCACTCAGAGCGGTCGCTTTAGGGTCTGCCTAGGGAAGACTACTTTAGCGCGAGCGCGTCTATCATATCCGTGCGATCTTGACGACAAGAGATAGTTCGTGCCATGCTTCCTTGCTCTCATGTGAAGACACGTATACAGATACCCATTCGACATATGCTCTCAAAGCACCAGCTTCATCGTCAACCATCTATCCTCACCCTCTGTACCTGCAGCCTCTCTTCCCTCCCTGACCATGTCCTCCACGTCCCAACTGCACGAGATATACCTATCGGGGACAAGGAATGCAGAATAAGCGGGTGTTCTTGACTCCCACGCCAGATTGTTCCACTCACTTTCCCCTGAAGACATCTGTATCCACATACTTCCCAGGAGCAGTGAGAAAGACGCAAAAACCGCCCGCCAGCTCCGGCTTGTCGATCAGGAGGGTATTGTGTGTCTCCGGGGGCATGCCATACTCAGCCAGCTTGGTCAAGACGCCACCTATGAGAGTGAAGTGTGTCACATCGGAAAGATAGTCAGATGTGGATCCAACAAGACCAACCTGGATGGTACGCGAACGCACGCACACCCTTCTCTCCGTATTCGGCGTGCAGGAATTCGGCGAAGCGGTTGATTGCGGTTTTGGTGGTCTGGTAACCACTAAAGCCCGGGCGCGTACGTAAACCGCCTACTGACCTGCGTGACAAGGGTTAAGCAAGCAATATATAGAACACCGAGGAACGTACGATGTGCAGATTATGGTTATCGGTGTCGGCGCGGTGGTGTTTGTAGTAAACACGGACTTCAAGAGGTAGTGCGTCGGGAGGAACGTCCCTTTGATATTGACCTCCCACGTCTTCCACCATTCTGAGGGATCAGCAGCATGGACCGGGACAGTCTTCTCCAGGTAACCTAAGGCCAGTTTTGTGATCTTGTTTTGACTGAGACACTGACTGGAACTCACCAGCATTATTCACGAGGACATCGATGTGGACACCCTCTCTTGCTAGCACATCGAAGAGCGCTTTAACGGAGTCCTCGGAGGTGACGTCCGTTACCTGGACGAGGACCTTGGGAGGCGCACTAAGCTGGGGCGCTGAGAGGATGTCATCGCGAGCAGACTCCAGCTCAGATTGCGAACGGGCGGTAAGAACGATGTTGGAAGCACCCGCGAGCGCGAATGCAACTGCGATGGCCTTGACGCTCTAAACACGCACTCTACGCAGAGTAGAGGTCCGAGCGTACCTTTCCGATTCCGCGCCCTGCGCCGGTGACAAGCACCGACTTTCCTTGACAAGAGTCCTTTAAGACACCTCGCGGGTCAATCTAACTCCGTCAGTTACATCCAGAATGTACGCAAGAACGGGGAAACGGCGCACTGCTGAGTACACATCGTGATGAAGGTTATCCGTGATGTTGAACGGGTTGCTCATGCCTTCAGTGAGGAAAACGGAATGGACACTGAAAGCGTGTCAAGCATTCCCCAGGTCTTATACTGGCCCCTGATATCGTCCCAGCCGGAGGGAGTCACACCCGGGAATACTGTGGTGGCGATATGGCTGCCTTATGGCCCCATGCCTAAGTCCGAGGCGGTCGCGGTCCCATGCTCCACTACTGAAATCAAAGTTCGCCGACTGAACCAATCTCTGCTGACATCTTACATAGCAAGACAGACGGAAATGCTCACTGGATAACGATACACGCGCCGACAAGATAAGCAACTACTGTCTCACATTGTCAGTGGTTACTCGTTAGCAGCTTTGCCAAGACTCATTGCACGGTTCAGGATGCAGCGAAGACGTGGCTGATCTGAGTCCGTGCCAGATTGCCATTGACACAAGGTGGTCCACTTGAAGAACCATCGTTGTCACTGCAGCTGCACTGCTTTGTGGGCCGTAATATTTGAGGATGATAAGGCTATCCACATGATGGCAGAGTGTGGTTCCTCTTTCCAGGCTCAGCGGTTTGTTTAAACCTAAGCGGGGAGTGTATTATCAACAGCAGTCGTGCGTATGCCTATACATGCCGACCATTTCGATAGCTCAGTGCTTTGGGAGCACGAGCTCAATCATCCTCCTCTACGTCGCCCAACTCAACATGCCCGCCCGATCCCGCTTCGCGGTAGCGACGGCCTGCTGCAGTCCCTTGACCACACTGGGGTAAGCAGACAGGTACTTGCAAGTCTTGCGGTCGATGGTAGCAAGACCTTCGCGGATCAGGTCCGCGTTGATGGATACACTGGGGTCGCTCTGGGCTGCGGCGTCGTTGGGGTCAAACAGGCGTAGATGCAAGAGCGAGCCTTCCCGGTGGTCAATGTTTGCGATCAGCTTGCGGCCCTCTCCGAGCTGGCGAAATCGGTCGATAGCCTCTGCATGGTACTCGCTCTCTGGCCCGACAAGCTTGATGAAACTGGGAGACTCAGTCAGCTATCTGCAGATGCTTGGCGTGCAATGAAAAGGTACCTCAGTCGTGCATCATGAGCTTGGCCGGGCAGGGAGCGGAATTTGGGATCCAAAGGCCGGATGTTCGCGAAGCTGACCGTGTCTTGGTTTCCGTAGTCAATGAAGGTCACCTCTGCTTCCCTCTTCACTGGCGATGCACGTCGGACCCTCGCTCGGTACCATGACCCATCGGAAAACTTCGCTGACACTAGATCGCCACCCCTCGGAATGAAGCTCGCCGCAGGCGCTGCGCCTTGGTGATGCAGCGAGAAGTCGTGCATGAGCTTCTCAAGGGATGCGATGCCTGAGAACGTCGTCAGGAGACAGCCATCGGAGGTACCTGGGAAGATATGATACCTTCTGTGTTGAGGATCTGGATGGAGAAAGCGAAGCCATTCTTAGTTCGGACGTCGCTGACAATAACATCGAGGTATTCCGGCTTGAGAGCATCACCATTGGTGTCCTGCGGTACGGGTTCCTGCTCCGCTTCCTCGTCATAGTCTTTCCAAATCTGGGTCATCGTCAGCTTCGACGATCTATACTGTTCAGGCGAAACTATTACATTACGCTTCTCGCGCTTGGCTTCTTCCTGATAGGTGTGGGCTTTAGGTACACCATGCAGACGTTAAAATCGAGTGAAGACTCACCTCCGCATCGTACAACTGGCGCGCCCACGGCAAGCCATCTGCAGAGTACGAATGCACCGTCGCAAGACCCTCGCGAACGAGCGTGATGGCAGCGTTCTCCGTCTTATTGAGGTACAGCGAACCGATGAACCCGCCAGACTTGTCGACCTCGTTAACCTCAATATCCACGTCGCGTTGCATGTATCGCCGTGTCGCGAAGTCCGATGCCTCCGGCCCGTACGGCTCGCTCTTCTCCGATGGGTTACGCGCGGTGCGCGGTGCGCGGACGCCTGTATATAACACTCAGAACCGTTGTATGAGCGCTCAGAAGAATCACCTACCACTGAGAACAAGAGTCAAGACTTGGTTGTCTTTGGGCAAGAAAACCCTGAAGGTACACGAGAGTCAGGGGACGACCGAGACTAAGCACACGGTCTACATACTTGAAGCGGGAGCCAGCGGCGACGTAATCAACGACCGCGGGGATCTTGCCTAACCGCTTGAAGCTGTTCAGGAAGGGTGCGGCGCGGCCATGAGACTGGTGTGCAAATGAATGAGCCAAGTTCGCAACGTATGTACCCAAGCTCGTACCTCGGAGATGTTCAGTGGCTGCTTCGGAGATGGCTGGTCCTTGCCGGAGTGAATCCCTCTCGATTCTGCGGCGGCACTGTGATGCTGGTGAGCGCATGCAAGAGAGACAACCACAGACTCCTACGCTTGTTCGGCAGCCATGAGTTTGTCATAGTCTGGTGACCGGTCCTCATCATCGCGTTTGTGACGCAGCGCGGTGGCAAGCCCCTTCTCGATGAGCTGCTCAGCGATGTTCCTGCCAAACGCTGTCAGTATGGACCACCATCTTAGAGTGGTGTCACTCACGTGTTCTGGTTGCCGTACCGTACAGTAGCGCATTCCCGCTCCTCGAACTCGCCTTCCTTCGGGCGAATGAAGTCGATCTGCACCTTCACATGCTTACCAATGAGACGTTTACGCAGGAACTCGCGCGCCTCTTGGGCATAATACGCCTGCTTGGGGTCCGACATCCTACGAAAGATGCCTATCAACCAAATGCAATTCTAGCCTATACAGATCGAGTTACCTTGGAGCCCTCGTCGAGCTAAGCTGCAAGCGGCGCTCCTTACCGGTATTCCTGTCGGTCACGGAGATCTGGTCTCCACTCCACACCCGTATAACGGTAGCATCGAAGGTCCGAGAGCCCCCGTTCACAGCGGTTCCGTTCGTCTTGGCTGAGGGCGCAGCGGCGTTCGCGTACAGATACAGCCGCTTCTCCTTCGCCGTCCTCTCCGCTGCACGGAGGCGTTCCATCCCTCCGCTGCTGGCGAGCATACCAGCATGCCAGTCGACGACCCGTGCAAGACAGGATGCAACGAGCAACTCAGCAATATTGCCGGCAGGATGCAAGACTGAGGGCAATAGCTCCGCATCAGTGATGTCAATTGACGGACGCAACATAGCGGGACATACTAGTGCCAATAAAGATCGTAGCAGGAGGAGGAGCGGTGTTAGCCCCAACCTGGAACGGCGTTGCCGTAGCGTTCGGTAGCGACAGGAGTACGACGCGCACAGGCCTCTGCAGCAAACGCATCTCGGTGAAGAACTTGGCCTAACAGACACCATTCTTCGTTCGTAAACATGAACAGATGTGCCCTGTGCAGAGCATTGGGACGACGACAACTCACCTCTTCACCCCAAGGCTCGGACGTCTCGCCCGGCTTACTGGCGACACGTGCACAGCGCACGCCAGCCATGGCGATGTTGGCAAATTGATGATCACCTTCCGGCATGAGCAGGCGGACACGCACTGTCGAACCGTCCTTGACTTGCTCGAGGATTGCTGCATGTGTGGTCAGTCAAGATGAATGGCATGAGCAACGGCTGCTCGCGCATACCGTCGATGGGACGACCCTTCCACTCCGAGATGAACCCCTGCGAGTCAGTGGGCATCATGTAGTGTACTGTGCGCGCTTTCGGCCCGTGCGGGTTCCAGACACCCTTCCCGGCGGCCTTCGCCTCGCTCTCGAGCTCGCGCCTCTGGAGGTCGTCCTCCGCTGGTTCCCGCTTCATGTCCTTGAGCTTTGCCCAGCCGTTGCGGAGAAGCTCGGATGCGAGGTCCACGTCGCCGATCTGCGCGACGCCGATGTCACGCGGAACGTCCTCGTTAGGCGGGAGCGAGTGCGAGACGGTGAAGGTCACTGGCTTGCCGACTGCGAAGGCGCGCAGGAATTCGCGAGACTCGAAGGCCCATGGCTACATCGCCACGTCAAGTACTAAGATGAGCTACATGTGTCGGAAGACATACCTCGTCCTCCCTGCTCTGAGTGCCGAGCCTGGGCGCTGCAATGTCTGCAAGGTGGAGGACACTGCGATGTACGTCACTTCACGCGAAGCTTGGTAGTGTGTGTTACGTACCGCTCCTTGGGAAGTTGTCCTTGAGGCCCCGGGTTTCCGCGCAAGACTAGAGAATCGCCAGAGATCACAGCTGGATACTCGACAATGTTCAGGGCATGTTACGGCTGCCAGGTGATTTAGATATGCGTACATTTCACTACCTGGGCGTATGCGTCAACCGAGCACGCTACGAAATGAATGTCATACACACTGCCTTCATCGCCATGTCTGGAGCGAGCTGTAAGCTTTGATATAACAAGGAGAATAAAAGGAGGGAAGGTAGGAGATGATGAGCTGGTCGTGTGGACGCGGTGTGCAACGTATTTTAATGGCTTCCACGTGGCCGCGCTACACCTTCCAAAACGGTCTGCCACTTTCAGACTCGCTGCCGACGTTCACGACGGCGACGGTGTCCCTTTCGACGCTTCACTCAGGGCAACTCGTGAGACCCATCCAGCATGCCGTTCTATCAGATGCTATGTATCACGGCGCATTACAACGAATATGTAGGCACACTATCACACTCGCGGAGACCCATGTATGCTAACAAGTCGGCGACAGAGACCCATAAAGGAGCTCGTGCAACGCACGGTGCAACAAGTCTGGGATAGGGGAGGAGTTGTGCGCAGGCTGAATTCGTGGGGGACGAAAACGTTGCCGCAGCGCATGCGCCGACACAAGCAATACCACCAGATTGGCGAGTAAGTACACCTTCGCTGGCTCGGTCCCCAGTGTCTGAGCATCTCGCCTCCAGCTACTGGACCATGGATTTCGACGCATCTCCTCGCACGCTCCGTACGCTCAACAATCTCATGCGGGCTGACCCAAGTGTTGTACGGTGGACAGTTCTCAAGCTCGGGGACAAGGTCGAGAACATCGTCACCCCCCCGTCAAAAACTACGCCACGGTGATCGATTCCGGCCGACTGTCGACGCTCGGGGCAGGTTTCCTTTGCTTCATATCTGTACTCATACTCATAGAACCATAATCCTCTTTGAATCATAATCCTCATTGCATGCATCTTTCCCTGGTTTCCGAGGACTATCTCATATGATCTTCCTGATTCTCACAAAAGGCGTTCGCAAGCTGTGCCAAAATGGCTCGTGGCGGCTCATACGTCCTGGCTGGCCTGCACAGCAGCCGATGGGTAGATGTTGTGTTCTACCCTCCTGATGTCTGTCGCGATACTCCAGACACTCCCACCCACGGTTAGTCCACGCCTTGCTATGTCCGCATTTTTGCAGCATCTTCGTTACTAGTGTGATTGTCCCCGCCTTTGAGAGTTCCTCGTGACTGAGACTGGGAGGACTAGATGAGGAAGCAGAAAAGGTGCAAAACATCGCAACGGCGGTGCCCTGGAGCCAGAAGAGAGCGAGGTGCGCATGCGCTCTCTGCAGTCACTCTGTTAGTCTCGAATCGATGAGTTCTGAATCGAGCGAATGGATCTGAAGTAAGTATGTTCTCCTTAGGAATAAATACAGCCCAAATCAGATTGACCTGCGAGGAGCGTTGAAGGATTCATGTCAATTTCACTAGCATCAATATCGACTCGGCCCACCTTGACGGAAGCGGTCCATATCAACTCCAGACCAGTAGAGGCCAACGGTGATATGGAGCTGAGGGACTCGGAGGCTGCGAAGGATGATGAGGGAAAAGCGGGACGACGAGCGGTCAGCGGTCGGCGCACAGAACGGGGAAAAACAGCACATATTCTATTCATCTCGACCCCATTGTCTACTCTACTTAACTATGTATACCTGCTTGGACCTTCGGCGGACGGCTATGCTATACGACATCGGCCAGCAGCAGCTACGAAGAGACCCAGAGCATGTAATGTCTATATAGGGCTCCGCCCTCAGTGACAATATTAATAAGGGACTCTACTACTATTACTATCATACTACTACATACTACTACTACTACTACTACTACTACTACTACTAGAGGTCAAGGTGAGATACATGCATAAGCCTATTCGAAAATGTCCGCCTCAAGCTCAGTCCAGATCTCGTCGTGTAACAGTACTACATCCGTAGCTTGCTCGGGGCCCTTGCGATCTCGCTGACGCCTCTTCCTTCTCTCCGATGTGATCCAATACACCCGTGCCCACTTCTGATCGCCCCAGACGTCCTTGTTCGCTTTAACATCTACCAAGTTGGGGAAGACGCGCTCGAAGAACAACGCGACGGCGTGCGGGTCCGTGATCAGTGAGTTGCCCACTTGCAGCGTCTTGAGCTTGCACGAGCTCGAGACGTGTGTGAAGTCTTGCTTCGCGATGGACATCGTGTGGAAGACTAGCCTGAGGTGCTGGAGGTTAGGACAATGTAACGCGAGGGACGCAAGGCCTTTGAGGCTGATGCTAATTCTCGCCCACACCCATGCACGCCACCCAAGACGTAGGCTTCGGAGGTCAGGCCAAGACAGCGCCATCTTGAGCATGTCCCCATCGTCGAATTCGAACGCGCAGGGGAGGCATAGGTGCAACTGCTGCAGATGCTTCAGGCCGCAGAGCGATTTGACCGTCAGCATGTCCACAACTTTCGGCCTGTCTTCATGTTGAGGAGGCACTAGCGCGCGGATGATGACTGTCCTCAGGCGGCGTAGCCGGTTTCCCCCACAGGCAGCGAGGAAGTTCGCCAGGGCGGTGTAGCTTGGCTGCGTCGCGTCCTGATCATTCCAATTGCCGGTGTATACGACTTTGACGTACTCCAGAGGTGCCCAAGCTGCGGCACGCATAACAGCTAGCCCACTCTCCAGGTCGTAGGGATACATGCAGAGGTTCTTCAAAGCAGGAAACTTATCCGGAGTGGCGGCGATGTCCACTTCCGCAAGGCCCCAGTTCCTCCCGCCGTTGAAGAGGATCAGGTCCTTCAGCTCCGGAAGCCACGCCAGAGTATGCATCATGGCTCGTGGCCGCACTGCGAGGAGCGGTAGATACATACGGATTTCTTTTAGTCCCCAAAGAGAAGTAATAGAGAGGATGTCGGGGTGGGGCGGGAGACCGCAGAAGACAGCGAGTCCTGGCACGTCCTCGCCAACGCAGCAGGACATATCGACCGCGTCTTCGATGCACTTTTGGTAGGTATAACGGTCCGCGACGATGTGTAGGCGTTCGATCGAAGGTGAAAGGCAGAGTTGTAAAAACTCGTACGTCGCTCCCGGCTGAAGCCTGCAGTCGAGCCACTTGAGATTTGGTAGTAGGGGCCGTCGACTGTAGCGCCTTTGAAGAATGGGGAGGCATTTGTCGAGATCGAGGCGTACCATTGGTACACTGTGTTCTCGCTGCCATTCCACGTCCAGACAAAGCCCCTTGATTCGTTTGGCGGCTGTGTCCATTCTCTCCCATTCATCTCCGATGGGTCGTCTCGTGATCGTCTGGGCGGGTAGTAGTGCTCAAGGGATGAGGACTCGCGGTGCACAGAAGCCACAAGACTCACCAAAATACCGTTACGGATACCACCGGCCTCTCGTGTCGGCTTGCGCGGGTACTTGACCACCCAGGTTTCCTTCGGTAGACACTTGAGCAAGGGCGCAAGGTGGCTCTGGTATTGCCATAAGAGATCGTTCGTATGCTGATGGAAGGCACGACAGGTCCGCGCTAGTGATGCAGCATTTCGCGGCCTTCTAGCATCGTCTTCATTGCCATAGACAAGTCGTGCTATGTTGTCCACGATCCTGGGGACGTCCAAGCATTTATCCATCGTATGGACCGAGTAACGAAAGTAGGTGCGCAACTTAAGGGAGACGAAGAGACCCGGTCAGAGGGTCCAGCTATTTAAGCCCGTGAGCCCTAGCAGGCTCGATGTTGCACCATGTTTCCATTGTCCAATGTTCATGCCTATTGTCGCACCCATCACTAGCCAAATTAGTCAATTTTCCAACCTTCGAGTGCACAATGTAGCCGTTGCCTTGGGAGGTGTGGTAACCATGCCGTACTTGGACACATGAGTCGAATACGTCCGTCACTTTTCCTCGTATCTCGATGGCGCGCAACATTGACACTCGCAAAGGTTTCCCAGAGTAGCTGATGCAAAGACTTTTCTCCGAGAACCGTAATGCGTAGAGTGTAGTCGTCGATGAGTAGAACTTGGAGCGAGCGGCGGGTCGACGCGTGGCAGGGTGCGCGAAGCATGAACTCACGTGATCGTTCCCAGCTGAAATTTCATGCATCCGCAACGCGCGCTGCCGACGAATTCGGTCGTCGACAACTCTTCCCTCTGCCTTCGACAGGTCGCCCACCTTCACCCTCGCCGCGGTCTGAGCGACCGCTCTCTCTGTTGCTGCTTGCTGTCCTGCTATATTCTCTGCCTCTGACCATACCATCCTAACCTCGCTTGTCGTTTATCACTGCGCCTCTTGCCGGCACTTCTCAACCGAACATACTTTAATCGTTGTATAACTTATAACTCCTAGTGTTCTATCACCTTGCTTGCGGAAATGCTCAAAAAGCGGTGTGCAAAGTGGCATCATGTAGTGCGCCCGTATCGCCTGCAAGCCGGAGCCTCCTGGCTGCATGTGAGTGCCGTGTATGCTACCGGCGAGGGTCGCATACTGAACGGCAACTTTACCTGCTATTAGTCAAATCACATATCTCGTCATCCCACTCGAAAACATGGCAATGCTGCTACTCTACCCATGCCATGACGGCGCTGCGCACACCCGCCCCTGGCACGAGACGACCTCAGCAGCGCGACCCGTCCAACAGCCTCGGTCTGTCCATGGAGGATCTCAAGGCGGAGCTTGCGCTGAGAGACGCTGTACAGATGCTCAAGACCCCGCGCCAGCTCCGGATGTTCTTCGTTCACTTGCTCGTCAATGAGTCTGTCCGCTCGCCGGTGACGACGTGGGAGACCTTCCGGGACGCGTTCGCGCAAGACTACATCCAGGAAAGCGATAATGTCAACATCGGCGTCAACCAGGCGCTAGAGGAGATCGGCCGCGCGCTGGAGGAGCACGGCAAGTCCCTTGGTGTGTACGGTCTTCCGAGTCCTTCCTTCCACAGCCGTGAGGTCGAGGTTGAACTTGCTCAGTGGAGGAACCGGGAGATTTTGGCTTCGCGCGCTGGCAAGGCCGCAGCCAAGCTCAACGCCGAACAGTACGAGATCTACAGCGAGATTCTGCAGGCTGTTGAGGAGGAGCGACCACTCTACGCGTTCGTGGACGGAAAGGCTGGTCGAGGGAAGACATTCCTCGTTCATTCCATATGCAACAGGCTACGGTCTCAGGGACGCGTCGTGTTGGCTACGGCGACGTCCGGATTCGCGGCCCAGCTATATCCTGGAGGCAGAACGACACACTCCACGTTCAAAGTACGACACTGCGTCTCCTAAACTCTGTATGACCGCTCATGCAGCATGCAGATTCCACTGGAAGAAGAGAAGGACGGGCTAGTATCTCCTATCGAGCCCCATGACCCTCGTGGTGAGCTCATCCAAGAAGCTTCAGTCATCATATGGGATGAAGCGCCAATGGCGAAGAACGCGGTCCTCAAGTGCGTCGACGAGACGTGCAGACGCGTCATGCGCAACGACCTACCCTTCGGCGGCAAAGTCGTCGTCCTTCTCGGTGATTTTCGACAAACATGCCCCGTCATCCGCTTCGGTACACGACGACAGATCGTGGGTGCCTCCATACGTTCGTCGGCCCTTTGGCAGCACTTCGCGGTGCGTCGCCTCACTCAGCCGATCCGTAATGCAGAAGATCTCCCCTTCGCGGACTTCGTGGACTCCATCGGCGACGGTGCGGGGCCTCTCGTACCGCTGGACATACTCCAGAAGGTAGAAGAGCGCGACGAGCTCATCGACTTCGTATACCCACCAGATGCGCTCGCCGACCCGGCGAAGTGCCTCAAGCGCGCCATCCTCGCACCGACGAACGAGCAAGTCGACGAGTACAACAACGAGATCCTCGGCCGTATAGAAGGCCCGCAGCGCACGTACCGCTGCTTCGACACGGTGAAGGAAGACCGCGCGATCGACGGCATCACCCCGCAAGCAGCGCTTGCAGACGTTGCACGTACGCCCCCACCCGGACTTCCGGCGCACGCGCTCACGCTGAAGGTGAATGGCGTCTACCGCTTGATGTGCAACTACGCGCCGGACCAGGGGCTCGTGAAGAACACGCGCGTCGTCGTACGCGCAGTGGGCAAGCGCGTCGTGACCGTGCGGATCCTGCGCGGCGCCGGCGGCGTGAGCGTCGTCGACGCGGAGGACATCCTCATCTCGCGCATCGCGTTCAGCACGCCGCTCGAGTCTGGGCACGCGCTCATCAGGAGGCAGTTCCCCCTCGCCCCTGCGTACGCGACGACGTTCAATAGCTGCCAGGGCCTCACGCTGGACGTTGTCGGCGTGGATCTGACGAAGCCTGTGTTCTCGCATGGCCAGCTGTATACGGCACTCTCGCGCATCCGACACCGGAGCCATGCCAAGGTGCGCCTGCGGCCCGGGCAATCCATGACGAAGAACGTCACCTATCGAGAGATCATACCTTAATCGCTGCGCTGTGCTCTTCTGCATTCCTATCTTATCACCCGCTTTCGTCGCATTCATTGCTGCATTGAGTGCTTCGGTATAATCTACTGCCCTGTAGTACGCGTCTACATCTTGATACCAGGGTTTGCTGCGCGCATGCCACAGGCCCCGTCTGAGTCAGGATCCCACTAAGTCGAGTCTGAGACGCTCGACTCGGGATGCGAGGGGGCAGGGAACTGGCAAAGTAAGCTAGGTACAGGCCTGAGATATCGGCATTCCTGCGGGTATGTCTGTGACATCATCATGCCAGTCTGGTAAACGGTACTTGTGTCAAGCGTCCACGCTATAAAAGGGGCTCAGCTTTGTCAGGCTCATCCCCGACTCGGTCTCAGTGCGCTACTCGTAGAACTCGACGACCTACCTCCTACCAGATTGCTACCACAATGGCGGCTGCACTGGAAAGCCTGTCCTCGAGCGTCCGGCTCTCGTCTGGTGAGTGCGGATTGATCTACCGGGGCAGATGCGATCTTTCTTTCCTTTCTCGGCGACACAGGTTGTGTACAGGATCTATCCCAACTCTATCCCGAAGGAGCATATGGGTAGCCAAGTGCCGACCAGTTCTCCTCTCGAGGTCTTCTTGAGAACAAGCTCAAGGTTCATCATGATGAGAAGCGGCTCATATATAGTACGCAGGCTACACTATTCCCGTCCTCGGCTTCGGCGTCGCCTTCGGGTTCGACAAGGCTGGCAGGGATCCACGAACTCTAACTAAGCCTGCCGTTCTGGAGGCCCTGAAGGTTGGGCTTCGGTGGGTGTTCTCCCTCTCGGAAAGCCGCGGCCGCTCACCGTCCTCGGCAGCCACTTCGACACTGCCCGGATGTACAACAATGAAGACCACCTAGGCGAGGTCATCAAGGAAAGCGGCATCCCGCGCGAAGAGCTCTTCATCAGTGAGGCTCCCCGCCAGATCTGGCGACGCCGCTCCCCCTGATAGACTGTGTGTCTCGATCGCAGCGACGAAGGTGGACGGAGACTTCCACGGCTACGACAAGACAGTAGCCAGCGTCAACGACTCCCTGAAGAGGCTCGACCTCGGTGCGCAGCCTCTTCGAAGCCCCGGGATCATTGGGACGTCTGACAGGACTTCTTGCGTGCAGATTTTGCGGACCTCATCCTTCTCCACGATGCGCGCGCGGGGAAGAGGCGTCGTTTGGAGGCGTACAAGGCACTGCTGGACCTGAAGGCACAAGGCAAGGTCCGCAGCGCGGGCGTGTCGAACTAGTAAGACCTCCCTAACCGACTTGCTTGCGCATCGGAGACTGAAGGCGATCGTTAGTGGTGTCAAGCATCTCGAGGAGATCGCCGCTGCGGGCTACGAAGTCCCATCCGTGAACCAGCTCGAGGTACGTTCCGTGCAGACACACTGTACCTGATGCGTCCGCATGACACCTCCTCCCACCGGCAGATCCACCCGTTCTGCCAACAGCGTCCCATCGTCGAGTACTGCAAAGCACACAACATCACCGTCGAAGCATACTGCCCCCTCGTCCGGGGCAGGGTTGACAACCCCGTCGTCGGAAAGATCGCAAGTCGGGTACGTCACTCGCCTCAGGCTGTAGTCAACTCGTTGGCGTCCATCGGCTGACGAAGTTCAACCCTCCAGCTCGGCAAAGACCCGGCACAAGTCCTCATCCGGTGGTCCCTCCAACGCGGGTTTGTCGAGCTTGCCACTTGCAGATACGGTCTCCATTCTCATTCTTACCATCATTGTCTCTAGGTTCATCCCTCTGCCGATGTCGTCCTCGCCAGCCCGTATCAAATCCAACGCGGATGTCTTCAACTTCAGCCTCCCTGAGAGCGACATGGCCGGGCTCGATGCTCTCGACCAAGGTGGTGCCGGGGCTATCAGCTGGAACCCAGTGGATGTCGAGTAGATAGACGGTGTAGATGTAATACTAGCAGATGTAACACTAGGTGACGTTTAGAGTCGTATGACTGGAAGATAAAACAGTCCACCGTGAACGTGTCGCTGTGATAGTGGCGAAGCAAATCAGATATATGCAGGACTCGCCAGGCACCGACTCACTAGGCATCTGCGAGCACCACGAAAGAACCGCGGCAAGCATTCAGATCGGTAGCATGACTACATTTATAGAGGCGATTACAAATTGCATTTGCGAGGTTACACATAGCGTACGCATCTTCCGAAACCCACTAAAATCTACAGTATACAGACTCTACAGTGCGATGAGGGACAGTGTCCGAGACGACAACGACGAGATTCGCGGCCTGACATAATGCAGCGCCGCCGGTGCAGGGTGAGGGTGAGTAACATCGACACAAGGTCAGCGACAGAGCGATGTGCGATCGACTAACAGAACAGTTAACAGCTTGCGGAAATTGGCGACGAAATGAAGGAATGATCAGTCCGAGATTGATACAGTAAATGAAAGGCGAAACGCAGTGCGCGACGAAAGAAGACGTGGAACATGCCATAAACCGACCCGACCGCGCTGCAGCGGGTGCAAGTGCATTTTCCACCGCGGCGCGACAAGAACATTGTCCGGCGCAAGACGCCGCTGTCAGGGACCGACGGTTTGCTGGTATCCGGTCGAGGGAATGCGGCGAGCGCAGCGAAAATCGCAATTAAAGCGAGATATCTGCGAGCAATTTATTCGAGGCTTGTTGGGGTATCGATGAGCACAGGTGTTACAGCCTTCCGAGCGAAGAGCTTTCTTCAGTAGTAGAGCGCGAGCAGCGAGAGTTGACTTGCAAAGCAGTAGACAGCGAGCGGGAAAGAATGTTAATGCAGTGTCGTTCTAGCGTTGGGCCATACGCGGAGGCCCCGGCCTGTGGTGATAGAGAGTCGAGCCGCCGCCGCCACCACCAGTATTACCGTCGCGCCTCTCGTGCCGGTAGTTGGCCCCAGGGACGAATAGAGCGCCGCGGTTATGCGAGCTTCTCTCCTTCCTGCGGAGATGCGTCGGCGCCGGGAAGGGCTCAGGGAGGCCTTGGTTCGGGCCGTCAGAATAGAAGATCTTGGGGCGCCAGGACTCGCGTTCGTCCATTATGCAAGAGTTCTTGAACTTCTCAACGAGCGCCTCTTTGCCCCTATTGCAAGGTAAGCGATTAGAACGAGTGGAAATCGACAACGACGTACTGGTAGGTCGCGTAGCACATCTGGAGGACCTTCTCACTCGAGTACATGTTCCTGCGTATGCCCATAAGCCTACACGAAAATACGGAACGGAATAACGTGCAGACTGACCACTTGACACCCAACTGGGTCTTTGCGAAGTGCAACAAGTCTCCAACGGTGATGAAGTTGACAAACGCATATCCAACGTTGCACCCTAGGCTCCTCATGAGCTCAACGAACCCTCCGACGACCCGCGGAACACACGCACCGTTTTGGAAGTCCATCCGCAGGTACAAGAAATCAATGCGCCTCGAACAGACCCTTGCGATGAACGTCAAAAGGTCCCTGTCGCTCATCTTGTTCGGGATGTTCTTGATCATCACCGTCGTCCGCATGTCCTTGCCCAACTCGATCGCTTCGATGTTTAGCTGGTTCTTCTCACTGATATTGTTGTTCAGGTTCATGTTCGCGGACATACGGCCGTCCATGGCGCAAGGCTCGTACGTCGATCCGCGGGGTATATGGGGACGCGTTGAAGACGACGGCGGGTAGCGAGGGAACACATCCGCGTCGATTGGGCTGAGGTCGGGTCGCTGGGCGTTCCGCTGTGGTCTCCTTGGGCTGGGAGGCGGCGCAGTGGACAAGTTGTGTCCGCTCCTAGGAGACGGAGGAAGATAATACTCCACGTTCGCAGCCGGCGGGGCGCCGCGCGCCCAGTGGTCTCCAGCACCGCCGTTAAAGTTCGGGCCCAGATACTGCTGAGGCATGTACTGGTAACCGTAAGTCGGCGCTGGTCCTCCGTGCTGAGCGGCGGCGGTTTCGGGGTGGAGATATAGCGAGGGATCGTAGGTCTGAATCGTACGCGGTTGCCGTGTCATGTCGTCCGCGTCAGGTCCAATGCTGATGCTCCTCGGCCTCAAGGGGGTCTGCGGGGTGGCGGGAACCTGTTCAATGGGTTCATGAACCTGTATATGGGGAGTGAAGTGACATACCTTGCCAACAGCATCAAAGAACAGGTCATTCGACGACCGCCTGTTGTGCTCCTGCGGAGACTCCCTTCCTCTCAACCTGCGGACCGCGTCAGGGGCGCCCATGTTCTCGCTCGCGCTGACGCTGCGCGGACGAACGCGGCCTATGAAGCGATCGTCAGTCGCATCATCAGCTGTCAAATGACCGACGCACCTTCGGTCCATCGCATCTCTATGTCGATCTGCACTGAGCTAGGAGAAGTCTCGGCGGGCGGGAAGACCTGCGAGTATGCGGCCGGCCTGGACGGAGAATGGGACTGGTACGGCGAAGAAGGCTGGAGCGGCGACTCCAGTTGGATCGACGTCTTATAGAGCCGGAGACGCACGCCCATGAAGGTGCGTTCGTTGAGGGCTCTGTAGGCATTCGCAGCATCACGAACGTCATAGAATTCTACATGATAGACCTGTATTTGGGCAGGCTGTGTTAAACGGGCCCGAAGAATGATTCGCACTGCTTACCTGATCTTGAGGCTCGGTCGCCTCGAAAGATAGCAATTCGCCGAACGAAGAAAGGACGTTTTGCAGAGAAGACGGCTCGAAACGTCTGTCTTCGAAAGAGACGTATAGCGTCCCGTCGGTCTCGTCGACGAACGAAGATTTTCCGGTGATCTATAAAGCGGTCACGGCCAACAAAACCAGAAGATGGGAACAGACGCGACGAAAGGTAGTTAGCGGCTCATCTCGAAGGCGCAGTTAGTCTGTACTCACAGTCTCTAACCTCTCGGGAGTGATGAACATCGCCTCCAGACGCACTTCTTCCAGGCCGTGTAGAGTTTGACTCGAGATCTGGCGCCTAGCTCGTACAGCATGACGGATGTTGTAGTACGCCAAAACGACAATGCCGTGTGTTTCCTGGTACCGCACCCATATGCCTTTGATATCGCCCGTCGACGCGAATACATCCCGGAGCTTAGCCGACGGGGCGGAAGGCGGAACGTTACGGACCTATCGGCATACAGTGAGTATATGCGTTCGTATGCAAAGGAGACATCCCAAAGGATCGCTCACCAGCAGAAACCGGCTGGAATGCGTCTCCTCACGAGTCTCACAAAATCAAACGACGGCGTCTGTGGTGTGGCGGCATCGCCAGCGATGATAGGGGTCTCCAAGACCGCCTTTCTCTCGTCGCGCGGAGTAATGTCGACGCTGGAGAGACCCGCCTCTAAAGCAGATACAGCCTCCTGACCAATGCTCGCCGGCGACTTTGCATATCCCGAATCGGACGACATAGACTGCGAGCGGGTGCTTGTCGGCGTGAGGTAGCCACCGTGCGGGAGAGATGTATGCCCCTTCATCGCCGTTGGAGAGTCGGGCATGTTGTGGACCCAGCGAAGTGGCGAGTTGGCCTCCGGAGGAGTCGAGGGTCCGTCACAGGGATTGGAGTTGAAGGAAGACGACGGCGTCAACGGAGGAGTGAGCAGCGCGGTAGGGCGGCAGGGCGAGCCTGAGGTGCTGCGCTTGCTCGGGAAGGGTACTTGCTTTTCGTCGGCGTCATCGGCGTCGCGGCGAGGTCGAGAGGGCGGAGATGAGGTCGGTAGCGCGCCTGCAGTCTCTGTGCGAGATGCGGAGGAGCAGAGCCATGTTCAGTCGGCACCCTGTAGTAGGTATATTAGAGCGCGGTGAAATGCACCAGAGGCGCATATATGCGCTGAAGCGACGTACCAGATGTTTGGGAGGGACGGAGAGGAGTGGATGCGTGTGTTGGCGGGGCGTGCGTTAGTATTTTGGCTCTGGTGAAGTGCGGATGAACGAGATGTCAGCTGCATCCACATGTACGATGGGATATATGCGCGTACCTCTTCAGCCTGAAGAGACAAGGTCGGGAAAGGGACGGGAGAGCGGTCCATTAGTACAGCAAGCGGGGTGAGTAGCAGCTAGCGGGAACAAAGTCGCTTGCGGGCCGAGAAAGGCAAGGCGAGTGGGTAACGGCGAGGCGCGCGGTACAAGGGGATTTTGCAATACACTTCCAATTTGACAAAACAAAACGAGGGGCGGCGAGACGCAAGAGGGGGTGGCGGGCGAAAGCAAGGACGGCGGGTGGCAGCGAGCGAGCAGCGGGGATATATATACGGTCGGGGCGGACGGGAGGGATGGTGTCATGCGTCGGGGGCGGGACGAGACGTGCAGCGAGAGAAGAGGGAAGCCCTGCGGGGGCAGGAGATCGCACAGATCCGGGCGAAGTGGCAGGCGACCGCGCACGGGCTGCCGTCTGCTCTTTTGAGCGGTGGATCCCGCCGCGACGTTGTGCGCTCGATGGCAACTCGCCGTCCCCACGCGAGGGCTGCGTTCATGGGACAGCCTCGACAGCTCGGTCCCAGTTGCACGCGCGCGCCACAGTTTCCGGAACACGCTCTCGGCCAGTCCTTGCGAGCGCTCGCTCCAGACGTATTATTTGCCTAGCATTTCCTCGGCTGCCGCTCCACCAGCGCGAACCTACCGTTTGCGGCCGCGCTCCGTGTCATTTGGAGACGACACCGTCGAACTCGACTGCGGCTTCTCCGCCACGGCCAGGCGGGTGCACACCACCACAACGTGCGCGCATCGACGCCTTGTATTTCATCACAAGCCCAGCCGTGCACAAGCAACTGCCGGCCAACCGTCCTGCAGCAAAAGGTACAGCTTCCGCGTTTGGTCAGATTGTTTCCGTCGACTGCAGGGAAGCTCGTCCTGACACACATCTTGCAAGCCTATCCATGAGAGCCCGTGGGGTCCTGGGTATGTCACGGCGCGTTGATCCAGCTCTAGACTTGGCCCGGGGAATCTGCACCCCAGAACGCAGACCTCTGCAAGGAAGCCCGGACCCAACAAGCAGAGAGGTTCGAGATCTGGGTGACATCAACGGCGCGATGTCATGCCTGGCTGGGACAGGCAGTACCGTCGGCACAGGGCTGCATCAGCCAATGACAGGACGTGCCTTCACGCACAAGAAGATCAGGCGTCAAGATGGGGCCAGCGAGGAACAGATCGCACGCACCAGCCTCCGCCCGCACAAGGTTCAATGAAACGTTCGAAATGACAGCACCTTCCAAAGCCGGGAGCATCCCTAGACACCTCCCACGCCACAAGCGCGTATTTCTCCTCGCGACGGGAGTACATAAATCGCGCACAGCCCGACGCCTCTGTCGCTACAGCACTAGTGATCGCCCCCGTTTCAGCAGAGATTACAAGACCTTTTTTGATCCTGAGGCGAACAAGGGAAGGTGACCTTTGCGGTGAAGGTTCATGTTTCAATCAATAGGCATCTCTTGATCTGGTCCGCGCGTTGTGGCGCACTTCTCATGACTTCTTTGCTCTTCTTTGTCGAATGCAGGACTTCGATCTTGTCACAGTGTCAAGTTGCCGTCATGAGCGGTTCGGCTTCTGTCACTGTATCGTCCGGAGACTGCACTGGCACAACCACGTCAAACCGCCGGCGGGAAGGCCGAGGTGCCCATGGTTGACAGTTATTTGCCGACACCAGCCAGACACTACTCGGCCGCCGATCGCAAAGGTCCAACGTTCCTCGCCGTTGCAACCTGTCGCAAAGTATTGCACTTCTAGTTAGAAGTAATTATCACCAAGGAAACTTGCCCAGAAGCCTCAATTCATGTATATTCCTGTCAGAAAGGTCGTGACGACATGTGCAAGAAATCAGTACGAGTTGAAGTGTGTCGAGCCTTACCTTCTGAACGAGCATTCCGAATCTGAATCTTGCAGTTGATCTACAGGATGGCCACGTCTAATTTTTGAGCTGTTCATGCGAGCTTCGCAGTGACATGACATACGACTGAAATTCTTCGAGAAGACTCGGCGGCCCCCTGAGGACTCATCAGAGTAGACGGGGGTAGTTCAAGTAGGGAGAGCTCGGCGAAGACACGCACCATGACGACCACGTCTCATTTCGCTCTCGAAGAGCTTGTGATACCAAAGCGACGTGCTTACGACTTGCGGGGATGCATATATGCGTACCTAGTGAACTTCTAGGGTCTGTGTCTGCCAACCGGACACCGTGGGGTGAGGTCGGATTGCATACAACTTCTCTCCCGAGTTTCACAGTCATGAGTGGAATCGATGGCATTGATGCTATGTTTCTAGTCGAACGAGCAGCCAAGGCTCTCATCTGCGGACTGTGGTCGCCCATGGATCCATACGACATGGAGGAAGAGAGCGAACGTGGTTCAAACTCCGCACGCGCGTCGAGGCTTAGGTGGACGCGACAAGATCACGGGATCGTAACGAAACGCCACAAACCGCACATAAAAGGCAAGTACAGGCTAGACGCCGGCGACTTGGAAATGCACGATCGAGCGACCGAGCAGTGACGACATATGCGTTGTCCCCTCTAGAATCCGTGAGGGGCCCCATCCACAAGGACTTTAGTGATCTTGAACGTGTGTAGCGTTTCGAGATCATGGCCATCCGCGCGGTGCTCTTCGACGCGCTCTTCACGCTCGTCGCGCCCCGCCTGCCCATCTACGTCCAATACTCGCAGACGTTCGAGCCCTATCTCGGCGTTCTCGAGCCCGACCTGCTCAAGAAGTCCTTCAAGACAGGTGCGCAAGCCCATCCGTCATCTCCTTCTCCCAACCTTAACAACCTTCATCCAATGATCCCGCTATACCTGTCATCGGCGCACGCACCGCGTGCTCGCATGATCCTGCCGCGCGGCACCTGGCAGCGCTGAAGCAGGTCCAGAAGGAGAAGCCCGCCTACCAGAGCGGCGCCGAGGGCTGGTGGGGCGAGGTCATCAAGCGCACCGCGGTTGGGGCGGGCGCGGACCCTCAGGGTGCGTGCCAAATCCGAGTGCCAGTGGCGGCGGTGGGTCCGAGGCGGGGCGCGAGCGAATAGATCCCTGCCCCTGCTCGCCCGAGCGTGCGGCCGCTGTGTATGTACGTTATCAGTGCGTCAGCTCTGACCCGCTTGTGCTTCTAGCTGTCGACCGCTCGCTCGACGAAATTGTCCCCCGGCTCCTCCACCGCTTCTCCTCGAGGGAGGGCTACAAGCTGTATGATGACTCGATACCGACGCGTGCGTATCTGCGATACCTGCGGATGGGGCGACTTGTAATGCGATCTTCGGTGCGACATCGTTGCCGTCGTTCCAGTGCAGCGCTCCGCTCAGCCAACATCCTCACTGGCGTGATTAGCAACACCGATGCGCGCATGCGTGAGCCTCGATCCATTCCCTAGCGAAGCGCATCGAGCTCACTTCGCGATGGGCTGTCATAATTGTATCTCTGAAACCGTTGGACTGGCTGGTTGCCGCCATGCACGGGACGGACAATGTGCCATGGACGCGCGACGTCTGGATATCTATAGGCGCGGCACTTGACGACCTCGGCGCGACGCCTCACCTGATACGATCTCCTCAGCTCTGAGAGGGCACCGAGAACCGCTCGGGAGATGTTCCTCCGGGCGTGCGCACGGCTAGGCGTCCAGCCGTCGGAGGCAGTACACGTCGGGGATGAGCTACCAGCGTGCGTGCTTTCTTCAAGATACTCGACATCAACACTGACACCTTGATCTCGGGTCTCACGATGTGCGGATTCACATGTACGTATGAACAGAGATTACTACGGTGCAGAAGAGAGTGGGCTGGACGCGCTACTGGTGAGGCGACCAGGAACGGATGGAGAAGGCGAGGCAAAGGAGCCGGATGAAGATTTGAGCGGCGTCGCTGTCGTGTCTGGCCTAGCGCAAGTAGTAGATTGGGTGCACCATAAGAACGCTCCCAGTGAGAATGGCAAGCCATGTACGTCGCGTTGCCGGTCTTCAGTTGCTTGCCTTGTTCATCGCGGATTCTCAGACTGATGATTCAGTTCCCAGCCCGTGTATAATAATGAAGCAGCGTACAGAATCCCAATCAGTACTAGCGTCAGGTAGCGAATGGTCAGAGACGAGAACAGTCGTGCTAAGTAAGTTGTTTGATGCTGTATTACTTACGTAATAACGGAGAGCGGGTGTGGTTCCTTGTCATACTTACTCGTGACCGGCTCGTACTGGCAGGTCTCTGACTCTGAGTCTTACACCGTCTCGTACCAACACTGACCAGCACAAATATCCAGCTACGCGCATTTGCCATCAGAGGTGAAGTGTTTCAAGTTCGCGTGAAGTTGAAGAGAACTCCGGGTCGCCTTCAAGTTGAACGTTGACAGTGGTCACAGAATTACCAGTGCTACCGACGGCGGCAGGATCAAGTCTCTTCGGATTCACTCGCTCTAATGGATGACTCTGTCCGGTATCACCCAACCCAAGCGTCCCGGACACAGAGCGCAATATGCCGGTAGTCGTCTGCCCACCGCGGAGTCCCAGCTGGGGCACCGCGTGCGCATTCCAACTGACGACCTCGACAATTCCGAGAAGATGTCTTCCTACCTGGTCGGCTCTTCTGCCACGGGCCCCCGACGTCTGGCTCTGGAAAGCTCACGCGTGTGTTCTCTGCTGTACCTGTGGACCTGCAGTTCTCTAGGCAACGTCCTCTCGTGAAGATGGTCTCTCTGGTGTACTGTTTCCTGAGCTGCGTCGTATTCTCTGTGGCTGTCTACCAGCAGTCTTTGGCAACACACTGCGCTTATGAGTGAGCGACTACGTGAGTATATGCGCATGGATTCACCGAAACCCGACCGGTGATGCCGTTACCTCTTGTCCCAGCTCGAGACAGAAATCCTCTTGAAAGTCTGCCTGTTGATCACTATTCTCGAAAGTCACTTCTCTTATCCTGTCCCCAAAGCGCTGGACCCGTATGTGCTCAAGGCGCCGTGGATCCCGCAGGCATAACGGCTTGCCTCTGGTCAGCAGATCAAGATATACACTCGATAATTCCTGGGCGACACGTGGACAGGTAACTCAAAAGCACACGTTATAGACTTCATTTTCTCAAAGAGTCCAGGGCCCGTCTCTCTCTTAGTGACCACCACAGTCGAGCCCGCTTCCCCAGAACACGAAGCGCTCCTGCGCAAACTCTCCGACCTCCACCACCGGAGCACCCTCCTCAACACCACCCTCTCCGCGCACCTCGTCCACCTCGCGCCCTCCACGCCGCCCAACCCCAACGCCCTCCTCAACTCGCGCGCCTCCTCGCCCAAACCCCGCGCGTCGTCCTCTTCCCCGGCAACCTTTCCACCACCCCGCCCAAGCTTCTCTACCCCTCCCTCCTCGCGCAGGACAGCCCCCGCCCGTCGTCCGCCGCCCTCGCGCCCTCGTCCGCCCCCGCGAGGCGCCGCCCGTGGTGCTCACCACGCGCGGGCAGACGGGCTTCCCGTTCTCGCCGCTCGCGCCCGTGCTCGTCGGCCGCGACGACCCGCTCTGGTGCACGGAGCGCTTCTTCGTCCCGGCGGGGCGCGCGCCCGACTGGGAGGAGTGTCTCTGGCAGCTCTGGCTCGAGAACTTTGGCGACGTCGAGGTGCGGCAGACGCGCGGGTGGCTGCATGATGCGTTGCCGGGGACGACGTCGTCCGCGGAATCCCCAGCTATGGTGGGTCCGTTTGCCGGCTGCCTATGGTATGATGCTCATCGGTTCGTTGTTGACCAGGCGAAGTTGCGGCGAAGACTGGTTGCAAAGTACAGAAGCGAAACCTGCGTGCTCGCTACCAGGCAGCTCGCCGCCCTGCGCAGCGCAGACAGGGCACTCGACGCAAAGAAGACACGGTGGCTCAAGCGTGTGTGCCGCGTATGGACGAACGGACCGCAAGCCTGATGCACAAAAGCATTCGCAAGCTCGACCAGAAGAAACGCATACAAGCATACAAATAAGTGAACCGCGAGCAAGTGTACAGTACAAAGCCTGGGCTGGATGGAGCATGTTGTGTGTATAGTAAGCATGTACATAGGGAGTCCGTTTCAGTCCCGCATACATTAAGTCCCCAATGTCGATATGTCGTCGCGTCAAACCTCGATCGACGCGGGCGGTGCTGATTGCGCGCCTCCTCTTCCTCGTCATCGACCTCATGCACCCTACCCCCGCTCGCCTTCTGCGGCTCCTCATCGCCCACCTGGAAAGCGGACCACACCATCTCCAGGAGGGGCGGCTCGACGAATGTCTCAAGCAGCGCCCGAGACAAGTCTACTCGCAACATCAGTGAGTCATGAACAAAACGGCAGGCGACAGACAGTACCTAGAGCTTGGTCTAGCAGGTTCTTCATGTCTTCTGTCGCCTCTAGCGGAGGGTCCGCCCAGCTCAACCGGCCGAGGGTGACGACGGCACGTCGTACATCGACGGGACGTCCCGCGGTGAAACCTCCGAGTTGTGGTACAGGGTGAAGGAGTTGTCTGCCGCAAATACGAGCGTGTACAGGACAGAGACGCTCCGGACGGACCGCGTCACGGTGCTGTCGTGCGGCGTCAGTGTAAACATCTGGTTAGACTCTAGACCCGGTGCGAGCTTACGCTTCGAGCTGGTCGGGCGCGTCTAAGAGCTCCGGGTCCTCCTCGAAGAGCGGAGTGGTGATGGTGGAGAGGAAGACGATCATAGAGGGGATGAGCATATGCGATTGCTGGAGGATCGTCACGGCGTCCGTGTGCGCCATGCAGATAGTCGCCACGAAGGTCATGATGGCGTCTCGGAGGAGGTCCGCCTGCGGCCAGTGTCAGTGCATACGCTGCACGGCTGCTGTGCGGCCTACCTCTGCCCCTGTCCGGGTGGTGTCTCTGAGGTAGGAAGCCATCTGCTCGATATGAGGAATCTTGGAGAAGTCTTTCGCTGGTGCTGGCGCTGCATCGTCCACATCCATATTTGTTTGTGCATCCGGTATGGATAATAAGCTCCGGAATATGCTATGATCTAAGCAGAACTCTTTAGCAAGGAGCGAGGCCAGCGAAGGAGCGAACCGACGAGACGCGATCAAGACCAGGACTCGGACAGAATGGTGGAGGAACCAAGTCGGGTGGGCAGGGGCGAGCAGGTTGTTCATCACATCCTGCTGAGTTGGCACAGTTGCTAGACTGTACAGTACCTGTGGTCAACGCATCATTGCAAGAAGGCTCACAGCGCGAGACTTACCGGGTCGTGTATTCCTCGGGTATGACCCACGCGATGTCCTCCAATAGCTCCAGCGTCTCCTTCGCTAACGCCTCGAAGTCCGCCGATCTCTCTCCCTCAATAGGAGCGAGATGGTTGCATATGATCTTGGATACGACCCCGAAGATCACATCGCCCGCATCCTCTGCACCCTCTGGCCGCGCAAACATCAAACGAGAGAATTTGGGCAGCCACAGAACGAGCACACGGAGCAGACCGAGGAGACTGATCAATGGGGCCACCACTGAGCACGCCTGGAGGACGTCGGCCATCCGGACAAGGATGTCGAGTACCGTCCGTATGGCATGGTCTTCATCTACTAGATCTGAGAGCATGACGCCCAAATTTTCTAGCAGCGACTTGCTCAGTCGATGAAAGGCGTCGCGGTGTTCTTGAGATGCCGTATCCGGGAGAGTTGCACCCATGAGGACTTGCATCGTCAGTTGCGTTGAGGAAGGGCTCTTGTGCGTGAGGATGATGCGGTGTACCTACGCACGGTTACGGTCAACTCCAAGGCGTCATAGCATCTAGAGTGAGGAAGCAAACCTCAGCTGCCCAGTCTGTGACGGAGAGATCTTCGATCCCCTCAGCTGAATGTTCTCCTTCGGCGCGTCGGGCATCTCGACATCGACATCAACGGGACGCGGCGTCGGTTCCTGCACTCGCACCTGCGTTGCATTATCTCTGACACCTAGCTGGATTTGGCCTTGGTTCCTCCTGGCTTGCTTGAGACCGAGAGGACTACTCGGAGGACTAGGAGAAGACGAACGCGGCTGCGTTGCCCATACATGTGTGATGGAGGTTGTGTGAAGAAGTTGTCAGATGTTTCGGTGGTCATGCCATCACGCACGCCCTCGGGCGGCCTGACTTTGCTCCTGGCATCTTGTGAGGGGCGCGGCGGAGTGGAGTCAAACGCATTGACGAAACCGGGTATCACTTTATCTGCGACGACCTCGATCCTCTGTTGCCTGGGTTCGTGAGCTCTCCTGGCACCATTTGCTTGCTGTGTGGAGGTGGCCACGTCGTTGAAGCTGATGAGACCGGCAGAATCGTCTATGCCGAGTGGATTCCATTCACGCATCTGGGAAGGTACGCGGCCAGGCGTCGAGGGCACTTGTCTACTGATCTTGCGAGGACGAGTACTCCAGGGTGAGCCACGACCGGACGTCTCCAGTTCATGTTGCTGTATTCAATGCGCTGTATGATGTTACCGTGAATGACTACTGAGCGGTATAAAGGACGAACCTTGAAAGTGTACTGAGTCTTTAGACGGTCGATCTCTTCCTTCTTCTCATTCTGTATCTTCAATTGCATGGCTTCTGCAGCCTCCTTCGCAGTCTTGATCTTGGCCATCTCTGCTGCATGCTCTTGCGCAGTCTACATGCCTTCTTATAGATGCGCGGAATTGGTAAGACGCCATGGACGCACCTTTTGCATACCCTTCCTCAAAATACTAACTTCGCCCTCCTTGGCCATGCGCATATCTTCGGCTCGTCTCAAGGTTTCTTGTAGCTGAGCCTGCTCGTGCTTGAGCTGGAGAGCAGTCACGATATGCGTAGAAGGTGACCATAACACTCATCATCTTACCGCTTCCATCTGAGCACGCATCTCCTCCAGCTCCTTCTGTAGCTTGTCATCGAGGGCAGTTGATGTCTCTCGCAACCCCGACGGCTGCCGATGAACATTTGCAGGACGGGGAGTAGACGTTGTAGGAACTCGTTGCACGGGAGTTGGCCGTGGAACTGGTGGTGTAGCCTCCCGCCTAGGTGCAACTTGCGGAGAAGCGGAGGGAGTGCGGGCACGGGAAGTGGGCATCGCTCTGGGGGCTGGAGGCGTAAAGCCCCGCTGGGCAACGACAGGTCTAACTATCGGCGGCGCAGGTGGCCGCTGGGCCGGCATGGGCCTGGCGACTTGGGGAACAGGTGCTCGATGAGCCTGAAAAGTGTTATGATTGTTATTGCGCACTACACTAGAATGCTGAGCGCTGTCAGTGGTTGATGTAGCAGACCAGAAAGGGTCGACTGCGCGAGAACCTACGTGTTGGCACGCGGAGGTTGCGATGTCTGATTCGCAACGACACGGCCCTGTGGAATCGGATTTGGTCTTTCATTCCTATTGAAGTGCACATCCGCTTTGAAGTATCCATTCGCGAGGGGAACCTCTGGTAGGATCGCGGCTGCTAAAGACGAAGTCCGTGCCAGTCGACCAGTTGGATCGTTTCCTCCGTGCATAGAGCACCCCGTCGCCGCTCCATTTGGGCCGTTCCAGACATGCCCCACCTTCTGTCGTTTTGCAGGAGGCTGTTCTGACTCGGAGGGCTCACGCTGAAGAGCTTGCTGCGAGCGTTGAGACTCGATGTACTTGTTTTCCACCTCCTCAACGACGGCTAGATCTGCCTCGGTGAGCTCGTCGAAGTAGTCATAGTCGTCAGAGTCTTGCATTCGTCAGGGGCCACAGCGCATGGGCGGTGTGTGAGTCTGAGTTGACAAAGCGGATGAGAGGGGCGAATCAACGCCACAGACGCGTGCAATTCGCGTCGCGTCACGCATGTCACAGACGCGTTGCATCGCCAAATTCGACAACAATACTTTGCTTTATGAGGGCAATAGGTACTTATGAGGATAACAGGAATATACGTAAGATTTCTACTTGACCACTTAATCTACAGGGTGCTTGTCTCTCGAAATGCTACAATGTATCGTGAATCCGTGATGCTGTAGTCTCGGCGAGCTAGGACGCGACGGCGTGAGGCTGGACTGGCAACGTCCGCGGTCGTCGACGTTGATCGCGGGTCAAGGTCTCCCAGCCGCATTAGGCAGAGCATTGACGAACCCAGCATGCAGACTTCGGACATCGATAAAGGTACGCCAGGTCGAGGAGCTAATGCCAAGCAAGATAGGATGTGGGGCTTTCGCCGGCCGGCAGCCCGTGCATGACCTCGACGAGGTCGGAACCCGGGCAGTCAAGCCAAACAGTGGGTAGCCTGGAGCAACATCGGCAGGACTTGCAGAGTCAGTGACAGAGCAGACTTTACAGCCTGGGTTATCCGCCGTATCGTATCTTGACGGCCCCGTTACGAGTGCGAGCTTCCAGAGCTGACCAGTGGAATAAGCATCAAACAAGGCGTCACAGATAAAACTTACCTTTCATCTCATCCGTTTCCTCGCGCTGTTCATATTGAAGGACGAGCCTCTTCAAGTGTTGCTGTTCAACCTTGTCCTGCATCTGGGCTGCACGAGTCTGTGCGGCCAGAGTGGACTCTGCAGGGATAGCGAGCTGCCGGGCCTGGTGTCTCTTCAGCATCGCACGAAACGATAGCCGGTAATAGACGCTACCTGAGGCTTGTTTCCACGCTTCGTGAAAAGGGTGAACGTCATAGTCCCCGGTTGGTCAGCCGCGTTAGTCGCAAGGTTGTCCTCCTCCTCGAGGTCCTCATTGCGCTTCTTCCGCAAGACAGGCGGAGGAAGACTGGAGTCCCACATGGCTAGGGCAGTCTTCTTGTCAACCTTCCTCCCGTCCGAGGAGGTTTCAATCTCCATCTTCGCTAACTCTCTAGCGAACTCCGCGTCATCTTCCTCCGAGGGTCCGACATTCTCCTGGGAGGCCTTAAGGACGACAGCTTCAGGAGACGGGGCGCGCTCGTCAACCTAGGTGATGGTCAGTTAAAACCAGAAGCGAGGTCTCACAGGTCTCACCGGAGAGACAGCTTGAGCCTGGTCTTCGTCTTCATCTTCACCGCCATCACGCCTGTCCCCTTCACCGTCTTCTCTGTCACTATCGTCACCACTGTCCTCGGCTGTAGATACTGATCCTGATCGTTAGCATCAGTATACTTTCATCACGTGCTGTACCACGTACGACCAGCATTCTGGTAAGCCGTATTGAACATCTCGTCCACAGCCAGAGCAACTTCTTCGAAAGTCTTGAACATGGTCAACTTCGGTCTCACCGCCTATAACAGACGTGCACTTCAGACAAAGATATCGAGGCGCAGAACCAGCCACTCACCTCGAGGGAATCTGTCAACATGAATTCCACATCCATGGGAAGAGGCGCCTTGCACAACACATACAACTGACAAGCGCTATGAGTGCGCTCGGCGGAGATGCGTAAGATATGCCCACCTGGAAGAAACTCAAGAAATTGTCTAACTTCTTCTGCTGAGTCCCTCGGTCGAAGCACATGCCGACAGTATCGAGGATGACACAGACAAGCCGAACGCGGAAGAAGTCATCAGGCATGTCGACAGGGCATGGCTGGCCGGGTAGAGGTCTGCCCTCGGCTACAAGAGATCGGTCAGCATTGTAGTCGCATGCCACAAACAGCATGTAGCACGTACGATGGCCGAACGTCACGAACGTCCACAGCGTATCGAAGATAATGCCCGAGCTAATTAAGCGATAGATGTACAGCTCGCCAAGGTACTTCGCGGTAGCGACACGCCGCTGGTTGATACTATAGACGTTCTGCTCCAACCCACGCCGGATATCCTCCAGCACCTGATCCACGACGGCGACGGCGAAGGCCGGGTGGTACCGTTGCAAGTCGTACGTCAGCATCGCGAGGAGTGCGACGTTGCCGAACTTGACTTTCCACGGCTTCGTGAAGACCTTGTGCAGGGTACGGAGCACAGCTTCGTCGTTCCAGTCGAGCTTGCGAATAAGTTTCAGGACCTTGTCGATGGTCTTCTTCGTGAGCACGTCATAGATGAGGTGCCGGATGAAGAGCTCCATAGGCGTACGCTCTTTGTCTTGCCTTGCTGTGCGCTCCGGCGGATTGCACTGGGAATGATAATCAGACAGGTCGACTGTACAGTCTCGGGAGGGTTACCTGGTAGTATGCGTTTTCCAAAAGAAGCAGCTGCCTCTGATCAAAGTGCTGCATGCTTTGCTTCCTGCGCATGAGCTCCAGCTGTCATGGCAGCCGTTAGATTGTTAGGTGGCAGCAGACCCGGGAGGATGTACTCACCATCTTGCTGAACGGTTCCCTCGTCTCATCGCTTCGCAGCAGGAAGCGTCCACAGCCTTCCAGCAGGATGGCAAAGTTGTCTACATTTGTGCCGTGGAAATCGTCCAAGCACACCTTGAACATGTGCAGGATGACATGGGGAGGTATGACCCGAAACTTCGTCAATGTGGAGATGAAGGTTAGGTTCTGCAGTGGGTCCAATGCATCAACAGTGAGTAGCAGAGTCGCATACGGGCATAGCAGCGTACCTTCAGCCGAACTTCAGCGAGCTCGATGACAACCTTCTTCTTCCGCTGAAGGTACCTGAACTCTTCATCAAGCTGCGCAGGCGCTCTCAGTGACGGCGTGCCGCACAATCAATTGGAAGAACTCACCCAAGCGATAACGTCTTGACCGATATCTGGCATGTACTTGTTCAAAGTCGCGATGAGCCGTGAATAGTGGGGTAGGAGATCTGTGCGACTCTTCGGAACCTGGGACATGAACTGTAGAGATCATCGCGCTAACTTCAACGAGTGAGCCAGAGAGGGAAGCATTGGGGACGGACCTTCACCATCCGCTTCCGAGCCGCCTTCGAATTCAGGAACGCGAACTCGACTGCAGCTTGATCGATCATGGTTCGGTTGGTCGCGTCGGGAAGACGCGCGAGTAATGTGGTTAGCATCTGAGAAGGGCCCTGAGGCGCGAGCTGGGGAGTGGAGGGGGGTGAAGTCTTCGGCGTGCCTGCGGTAGGTGTGGGCGCGCTAAGAGAGATGTCAATATATTGAGAAGTCTTCGATGAGCGAGGAACGCTCACTCGTCTTCGTCATCATCCTCTTCACTTTTCGGATTGACGTCATCCTGAGCGGTGAGCGCAACCCCGTTGGCCTGCCCTTCATCATTGACCTTCAAACCAGCGAGCTCTTCCTCCAGCTTCCTCACTTCCTCTTGCACCCGCTCTTGATCCTTCTTCTCCTTCTCCTTGTTCCCCACATCCGCCGTCTCGTCAGCCTCACCCTCCAGACCGAGGACGCTCCTAGGCACATAGTCTTTCAGATCCGGAATGTCCTCGAAAAACCGCCGCTCCTCTTCGTCTTCCCACTTTCCGCCGGTCACAGACTCGACATCTCCCCCAGGCACGGAGATGCCTGTGTTCGCCCCGATCAGGATGGATTCTGTCCTCTGGGAGGCTGTCTTGAGCGCAGGCATGGGTAGGTACAGGAGCTCAGATAAGCTGAACAGCCAAATGTGTGAGTTCCTACGCATGCGTGAGGTAGGAATATCTCACGTCTGACAACTTGCTAGTAGCTTCTCGTAGCTCTTGGTCATCTTCTCGTATGCTTGCTGCCTGTCCTCAAAGATCTCTCCTGAGCGGATGTATGCTTCGTGATTGCGTTTGTCTTGATCTTGCAACCGCTGCGAACAAGGTATAAGTCTGCAATGCAGCTATTCAAGAGATAATACGAACGTTGTGCTCTTGCACCAGTTTTTTCGATACATTCTCGAAGTAGCCCTCACACATCTTCTTGAATCTGTCTCGGATCTCCTTCTCGACCAATTCTTCCTCTTCCTTCACGAGCGCCGGGAACGCGCCGTTGACCTTCGCGTTCGCTTCGTCCGTGGCGGCAGAGGAGAGTGTGCCTGGTTCCGAAGAAGCCGAGATCTGCTTGGCGGTCGAAGGAGGTGTGATGCCCAAGTAAGGACGAGCAAAGGACTTCAAAAACGTCGACAGAAGCGGCAGAGAAGACAGAGTAGGATCGTTCGACAACTATGCCGAGATGTCAGCTAGGTCACACATGGCATACGTCTGTGCAACTCACCAGGTCCTTAATGGCCTTGATCATCCACTCGCCACCACTTCTTTCAGGAGCGTCTCTGATGATCCCAACCAGCGCAAGCTCTGCGCATACTCGTAGTACAGGCCGTTGGCGTGTGACTCGCGCCGTATCTTCCTTCTCTCGCTGTTCCGCAGCGAGCGCCGCCAGTGCAGCTCGGTTTGGCGGAGCCAATGCCGCAGACAGCGTAGAAACGAGCTCGGGAGTGAAAGCCTTGGAAACCGGCGATGTAGCAGAGAAATGATCTATTGGGTCGCATATATGCGCGATGTTAGGTCTATGGGAACTGTGTTCGGCAGTGGTCGAACGATGCGCACCTCCGCCGCATTCCATACGTCCTTCTCTGTCTTGCAGCGCGCTATACCCTCCAGAGCAGCACCAGCAAGCTCATCCACATACTTCTCCAACGACAACGTCTCTATGTCTTTGATTATTTGATCGCGATTCTCGACGCCGACCGACTGGCGAATTCGCTTGATCAACGCGGTGTGCCGTTTGAGAGAAGAGTCCAAGGCCTTGGCCGGCGCTGCGGCATTAAACCAGAGACATTGAGTCGTGAGCCATAACACAGATTCACGGGATGCAGACCTTGGCCGGCTTGGGTCTCGTTGAGCTCCTTTAGCTGCGCACGCCGCAGCCGCCTGGTTTGTTCATCGTCTACTTTGGGCGGCACAGACCCATTCAGGGCGGCCTCCATCGGGTTCCGTTGGCTATTGTACACCGGGATGTCGACGACACGCGTATAAGGACAGGAGGTGGAGGTAGGAATACAAGTAGAGTTCACATAGCCGCACCGGCCAGTTCCCGGAGCCGCACCAAGTCAAGCGCGGCCACAGCACTGAGTCCGCCACATCTGGCTTGACTGCGACCTCTTCGCTTCATCATCTGGCGGTCACTGTTTTTCCATCACACTCAGATCCTGTGGTATTTCTCGTGGTTTTCTTCTTACTATTTTGTCCAGCCTGTGAAGTCCTTGGCCATCAGACTCGCGTTGGCTGCAGCATGCCACTCTCTGGGAAGGCGTGGTGTTTTGGAGTTCTGCCCGGGATGGTTGGATTCGGTCGTATTGCCGGAATGCATTAGTCTCCCCCAGGCAGCCCTAAAGAAGACCTTTGACGGAGGGGAGGACGGTCTTCTAGGAATGCACGTAGCCTAAGTCCTGGCGCAGTCCCCGCGATGCTCATATGATACCAAAGCTCGGTACGTCTGACGTCGTCGAGGCTGGGCAGACGTTCTGATTACACACGCAGGGTTGTGGTTATGATCGAGTTATGACCTCTCATCCGTATCGCTCAACATCAATCAACATGTCGGCGGCGTCGCTGCCGACTTGTGATCACTATGTGCTCCGCTCTACGTGGTTGGGCCCCATTTTTCTACCGACGTGATGCAATAGGTTCTTGGAGTGTTGGTTACACGTCCGCTGGCTGCGCGCTGACAGGAAGATACCAGATGACTGCTCTCGGGCGACCTGCAGATTCTTGACAACTAGATGTGGGCTTACGAGTATCGACTTGCAACTCCGCGACTATGACATTGACTTCCAAGTTCCGGGTCAGCGCTGTTTAGCAGTCAAGCCAGCACGAGCTCGCTGCTCACTTGCTCAGCGAGTAGATTCTTAGCCGGGTTAGCTTGGTTGTACTGGCACTTGCGTAGCAGTTGTTGGCTATAGTACTTGCTGTGCTCCGCGACCAGAGACTGTCGGACTCAAACCCGGAAGGATGCTGGGATTCGAAGTATCCACACCCTTGGGCTTGGTCACGGTGCCTGCGGCAGCCATCCATCAGATCTACCAACCCTCGACTAAAATGCTGTCCTTAGGCTTCGCAGCAGGTGGAGAAGTTTGGTGAAACGGTGCTCTTACCACATTGGAGAGTTTCCGGGACGGTCTGCTAGGTTATCTCGGCTCGGCATTCCGGGCACTTGCCATAGACGCGTCGCGTACACCGTCAACGCGTGTCTTTGCCGAACACGTTGAACACAGACCATGTTCGCTGGCTATATCACCCCGCACGCACGGTGCCTCGAACTAAATAGTCTGCCCACGACGCTGCGGTGTGCTGGCACTCCCGCTACCTGACGCCTCCCAGGACTATGAGCACCATCCATGCCTCACCCGCTCCTACAGCTTCTCTGCTGATGAGCCCCGCGGCGTACGCCCCCTCTCTGGTGTCCGCGACGTCGACCGACACGGAGTAAGCATATTTCGCCCATCATCTCCGCCTCCGACTCACCAGCATACGGACCGCTGGTGGGCACGCCACCTACTGAGCGGTACGACGTGATGCACCAGCTGCGCGAGGCGACGGCTTCACCGACTCCACTGGGTGAATTCCTTCGTGACCCCGCCGTGCTCACGTCCCTCTTAGGCCATAAGAAGCCGCGCCGCGGCTCGACGAGCAGCTCGCACCGGGAGCGGCCGCGCGAGCACAGTCGAGAGCGGAGCCGCGAGCGGGACCGCGAGCATGGCGGCAAGGAGCCGCGGCGGGACAAGAAGTCCAAGGACACGTCCGAGACCTCGAGCATCCTCACGCTCGTCTTAGCGGAGGAGGAGCGCCAGGCGCACCGTCTCAAGGCCGTCCTCCGCTCGACAGGCGAGCGGCTCGACTACGAGATGCGGCGCGCGGACCAGGCGGAGCAGCGCGTGCGCACCGCCGAGGGCCACACGCGCGAGGTGCAGCTGCGCGTCGCTGCGGCGGAGTCTGGTAAGCACCAGGCCGAGTTGGATGCTGCGCGGGCACGCGAGGAGACGAAGCGATATCAGATCGTCGCCGAGACCGCTGAGCGCGAGCTCCGGCGCGTACAGGCCGACTTGCGTCGCATCGAGCAGCTGCGCCAGGAGGCCGAGGACAAGGCCTCCGAAGCCCGTGATATGGCGCGGAGTTCCCAGCAGACACTGCGAGAGTTCCAGGCGCGTCAGGAGGGCCGTGAGGAGGGCCGGAGACTGGAAGCTACGAGGAGATACAACGATGGTCGGGAAGATGGGTTCGAAGATGGTCGGGCTGAGGGCTTTGAGCAGGGCCATGCGGAGGGCTTTGAAGAGGGACGTTCAGAGGGTTATACCGTCGGTCGATCCGAAGGCTACAACTCCGGGCGTCTGTTCGGATTTGAGGAGGGCAGGAAGATCGGGTGGTCTGAAGGCTACACTGAGGGCTTGGAGAAGGGCCGCAAGCAGGAGCGCACGCATGCCCTGGAGGCCTTCGACAAATTCATGGACGCTGAAGTCGGCCGGGATGGAATACGTGACAGCGTCATTACAATGACGACGGTGAGCTCTCATACACTGTGCATCTCTCCAGGCGGTCTGAACGAACGTCTAGGAGGATGAGGATGAGCGCACACAGCGCTGGATCCAAACGACGTCGACCCAGATGAGGGAACCAAGTCCGCTTCCTCTCCCACTGCGACCACCTTCTTCGGACATCAGACCGCCGTCTCCTCAGCCAGTGCGGATACCCAGTCCTGTGCCAGCACCAATACCTTCTCCGCAGCCCGTCCACGCAGTTCCTCCACCTGCGCCAATCCCGTATGGCTGCACCGCCGTGTCAACCCGGTGCCAGACGCGAACGCGAACCCCCTCGTATTTATGCCTGAAGGAGACAGTAGACTGTCTCGGTAGCTATATCCTCGAAATGTGTTGGGAGCGGAAGTCAGAAGAAGTGGAAGCCCAAAGGGCATATATAATGTATGTACAACAACTTGTGTAGCTCACTGATACTGTAATGCAGAACGCAGGCGTCCTCGGTTTCCATTGACCCTATTGTCGAGGTGTATAGACAATCTGTCTCCGTGGACTAGAGCTTTTCCTCCCGAAGGTACTTGTTCGTCTGCTTGCATGACGAGTGTGATCGAGACGAGCCGTCTTGATTGATGTTTGCTACAACACCAGCAAATGCCCTGCATTCCGTGCTCATAAATATGACACAGGTATGTAACAACGAAAGTTCGCATCGTGCAGTGGCTGACTTGAAAGGTGATCGCAAAAATGATCATGGAGATGCGTACAAGAAACATCGACTCCACAGCAGCACTTATCCGCATGGGCATGATCGTTGACAAGGCTGCTACCGTAATGGACTGCATAGCTTCGATTTACACGGCCAACGGTCGCGCAGGCTACCGTAGTCAAGTTTTCGCAGACCGTCTTGGTTGGTCTTGGGCTTTCACCGGCATGGGGATACGTCTGTGAGATAGGATCCAGGTGGTCGAGTGACAGGATCGGCACGGCCAAAATTGATGTCGAGAGTTCATCCCCGGGCTCGATACCGTCAACCACTGATGGTACGAAAGTTCATCAGGTGGACAGCCAACAGGAATAGGAGATCAGTTGCCCATCGCCCCAAGACTTTTTATACTGCCAGCAGTAGTCAGAGCTCTGCATAGGTTGCCAGTGTAATGAACGCTGCGCACCTCAGGAGGTCCTCCAGACAGCCGTGACGCTGTGGTACGGTAGTATGACAGATCGTGATCAGCGAGAGCCTCCGTTGAAACCTGTGTAGACTTGGTCTGATGTTGGCAGTAGATTGTGGGAGTCCGTGCCAACAAGTGCCAACCATCCCTTTGCACAGCCTGCTTGCAGCTTGCTTCAGGGAGGGATGGCGTGGATAGCGGAGCCAGTCAAACGCAGAATGATGATGTTGTGTGGTGTACTGTCCCTGAAACAGATTATCCTCGTTGCAAGAAGTCACTCTCTCTATATCAGAGCAAGGGAGCCCACTGGCCGTGAGCAGGTACAGAGACTTGGAAAGGGACATGTCGGTGCAGGATCAAGAGATGATGCCGCGACGGCCGTCGCTCCTTCGCCGGTGGCTTGATCAAGTGCAGATGCGATCTTGAGCGTCCGCCAGGCTGAGCGAGTATAAGCGTCTGGGCGTAGCGTACCCCCTCCACTATCGCTGCCCATCTTCCAGTTCCTCCTTTCCTCGCCGTTGCACAGAATACCATGGCTCACCTCCTAGAACCACAAACCCCGCTCTCGCCGAGCGTCGGCGCCCGCCGCAAGGGCGCGAAGATCCTCCCTACGCTCCCGCTCTCCGCGTTCACCCCTCCGAACACCGGCACCTCCGATTCCTTCCCGGGCCCACCGAGTCCGAGCACGCTCCAGCCAGAAGAGATCGTCGACGTGTACGCTGGCGGCGATCTGAACAAGTGGAGGCAGGAGGCGGAGCGCGGGATCGGCGCGAAAGGCAAGGGCGTCGTCCTGACGCTGTACGGAAAGCAGTTCGCAGAGGTCGAGAAGGAGCTTGAGAGGTGCGTGTGTTTGCTCGCATGCCAGGCGAGGTACTGATCGTCCGCTGCAGCATCAAGTCCGCAGCGGGGGAGACATCCGTAGTTGCCGTCCTCGTCCCGATCGTGGACCTCAGCGACGAGGGCGCCTTCATCCCGCCGTCCTACCTTGCCACCAGAAGCGCATCGGGGCCGGCCCTCGTGCCTACCGTAGTGTTCACGAAGAGCGATCCGAAGGTGAAGAAGGCCCTGCACTGGGCGCTGCTCGAGGGCTACACGATCAACATCGATGTCCAGTGCGACATCCGCGCGACCGAGGGCGGCTGGGACACGCTGGAGGACCTCCTCTCCAGCCTCGAAGATCCCACGAGCCCCAAGAAGCACAACGCGAACATCATCGTCTGTGCGTACCCCGTTTCTCATGCTCGTACCGTCCCTCACGTGCCGTGACCGCCAGCGAACATCCTCCCGCCGCCCGACGACCTCTCCCTCCCGATCGTCAAGCTCCTCACGCACCCGTCCTACCGCAACTACCAGGCGCACACCGCCGCGCTCTCCCTCTACGCGAACGTCTTTGTTGCCTACCTCCCGCCCGCCTGGGGCCTCCCCACGCCCATCCAAAGTGCGCCGAAGGATCGCACAGAATGGAAGAAGCGCATCAAGATGTACAGTGCGTCTCTTCCTCATCCCGCTTCCATCTCGAGGATACTGACCGCCATAACAGTCAGCCCCGCGGTAGAGGCGTTCGGCTTCGAGCGCATCGTCTTTGGATCCTCGCCCTCTGCAGCCGCGCAGACGACGTCGAACGCGAGCGACTGGTACGAGCTCGCGCGCGAGTCGTTCGCGGAGCTCGGGATCGAGCAGGAGGCGATCGACGCCGTTTTCTCTGTGAACGCCAGGCACATCTTCTCATGACCTCGAGGATCTCTGTGAAAAGGACAATAACGCGCGGTGCGGATGGGATATGGCTTGATATAAATAGTGTCGTTGTATACTACCCTTGTGCTTCTGTCAGTGTTAAGTTATACGCGCAACTTGAATGCAATTTGAAGTAGGTGTCGAAGAGGAGACGTGCGTGGGACGACAACACCACACACCTGCTCAGCCTGATGCAGGGAGGTCGAGTGGTCGAGGATGGACCTACGGGCTTGGCGAAGGACGACGGTGGTGGTCTACAAAGAGTAGTTAGGCCGCCGAAGCTAATGAAACACTTACTGATATCGAAACGCGGCTCGACGCGCTCTGCTCGACTAGCTACTCGACTTGTCTGTGCACGCGAACCGTCTCGTCGCGCAGAAGTGCCGGAGTCGAAGACGCGAGAGGAGAGAACTCGAGGAGAGGGAATTCGATAGAGAGACGGGCGATGCGGCCCAGTACAAATACACATGTGAGCTTCTGTAAATACAGCAGGGCGAGAGAGATTCATAAAAATTAGAAGCCGAGGAGAGGGACGTCGACGAGTTTGCGATGGTTCGACAGAAACGTGACGCGTGAAAGACGAAGGGACAGGTGACAGATCGGGAAGGAATGATACCAAATAAGGAAACTATTGTACAGCAGCACATGAACACCCTTCTGGGCGACGGACGAGGTGGACGTCCCTTGATTCCCCTTCCGACTTTCAACGGCAGACCGTAGTCTCGGGCCCTCGATTCTGCGGCGCTCGTCTCGATCGAGCTACCGATAGTCTGCGTCTCCGCCTTCCAGTTCGTCGCAGGCGCGCCGGTAGAGTCGAGAGTACCGTAGGGGATCGTACCGTAAGAGTCTGTCAAGACGCACAATCAGCGGAGACGAGCGAGAAAAGAAAAAGAGACGAGTTTGTGATTGCGATGACCCCCGGAAACGCTGAGTCCGACGTGCGACGGAGTTCCTTTCCACAGTAGGTGAGGACGGAGAAGAGATATTGTTATATGCAGGCGCAATGGTTATGAGATCGTAATAAAGACGGAGAGGATCAGTCTGTAAACTGAGATGCGAGAGAGTGATCGGACACGAAGATGACAGGCACTGGGAACACTCGACTGAGGAAGTCGTGCACAGGGAAGCGGCTCACAGCGATGAACCGGCGACTGCACCTAGACATTTTGGCCACGAAGCTACGATATGGCCAATTGTCAATAAAGACGGACCTGGTGATAGCAACGTGGTCGGAGTAATAGGTGACGAGCTCGCGCTGTACGAAGATTGGACTAAGATCCCTAGGTATTGACCCGTACTATATATCGCACGCAAGCTTCGCCTGATCGACGGCTGGGTCTATGTGGCTGACCGATTGTCAGTTGCCTCGAACCGGAAAGCCATCAAAACAAACAAAAAGACGGAGAGGATACCTTGGTCTACGCATTGACAGGTGCAATGAGACCATAACCATTGAGTCCCCGAGATGCAAGCCTCTAATAGAAGTCAAAGATACAAATCCGATCAACAGGACGTACTGCATTTTACGGATCACATACGATCACGACACCCAATAGATACCAGTCCTGTCGGACACCCGCAAGACAGACCCATCCGCTCACCGCCGACTAGCGCTCACTGCTTCTTGGCTTCGCGCTCGAGCTTCCTCAGGTAGCGCTTGCGGATGCTTTTGTGGAGGCTGTGCGTATACCGGATGAAGAGCATTTTCCAGCCAACGAGGTTCTGCGTAACGGGTGAGGGCGTATCCAAGGAGAAGGGGAGACAAGAGACGGACCATGGCGTAGTCGATGATCGCGTGGCTCCAGTAGGGTGTGCTGACATTGGGGCGGCCTGTCCAGAGCGCTCCGCATGAGAGCCCGATCTGTGTGGATGCTCATCAAGAGTGGATTAGGTCGAGGTGAGGGTGACGGACTTTGTTCAAAACCGAGCGCACGTAGTCCTTCGGCGTCGGCGTCGTGATGTTCGCACGGCGGATCTTCGACATGTTCGAAACCTGCAGCAGAACCGCAAATGGGCGGCAATATAATCGCGAATGAGAGGACACGCACGACGAAGTAGGTGTTCAAGCACTGCACGTCCACGCCTTTGTCCTTGACCTCCGCCGCAAGCGACGCGGTGAACGCCGACAAGAACGCCTTCGTGCCCGCGTAGGTCGCGAGCATGGGCGAGGGGATGCCCGTGCCCGAGAACGAGCCCATGTTCAGGATCAGGCCGCGACGCCTGTTCCAAAGGCGGTCAGACAACATGGCACGATGAGATGGTAATAGCATGTACCGTTCGACCATGCGAGGCAGGATGAACTTTGTCACTCGGACGTTGGCATTGACGTTAATCCGGAGTATGTCCTCAACTTCTTGGTCGGCGGCCTCGGCGAAGTAGACTGGGGCGGTGTGTGACTTGCCGACATTATTGACTGGCGTTCGTCATGAGAAAAGAGGACGGGTGCACGAAATAGGTTAAGTGAGACTTACCGAGGACACCAATGTCCAGACCCTCAAGCGCCGCGGCGAAGGCCCTCCACTTCTCAGCGTCCTCTAAGCTCGAGAAGTCCATCACGACTGCTTTCGCCTGCACCTTATTGTTCGGTGGGCTGCTCGACTCTGCAAAGTACATGCTCAGGCTCCTGCACAAACGCATGTGCTACATGAGGGTGCCTCACCGATCTCCGCTACGAGTGCGTCCAACGCAGCTGCGTTTCTCGCTGAGACGAGGACATTGAAGCCCTTTTTCGCGAGCTGGAGAGAAAACTCCTTGCCGATACCCTCAGAGGCACCGGTCACCACTGGCGCAAAGGTCAATAATTCCTTGACTTCGTGCACGAACCGAATGCGCACCTGCCCAGGCGCCCTTGCCGGCACCGTACTTCTTGAGCTACAATTCGCAGAGATCAACTTTCCGGGATCCATGTCGGGTTCGTAGACGGGACGGAAAGCTTACGCTGGTACCGGGAAGCACAAACGTCTGCAACAGCACATTGGCCGCCTTCAGCACGAATTTTGCGCACGAGAGGACGCCGACCGCGAGGCACAGCGCGGCGATTGGGTGTTCCGAGATTTTGAACAACGCTGACATGGCTGCGTCTGTCCGGCGTTGACTCGAGCTGGCGTCAGGACCACCCAGCAATATCCGTGCCTTCCGAGTGTCAGTGGCACTCTGATACGCGCTCACTAGCGCGACGCTAAGGGATGTCCGACGACCGACGAGGAGGAGGAGGAGGAGGAGGTTCTAATTGCCTACGCGGTGACGCGCCAGTAGTGAGTGGTAGATATCATATATCACGTGCTTGCGAATACGGCGTCGGCGCTTGCGCTGCATCCTGTACTGAGAACTTACCAGTCTACGAAGTCCGGCGTACAGTTGTAATAGACTGGCATGTTCTTTGCCGTGACCGGCCGTTATCTCGGCGTATACGGTAGACACAGGAACATCCCTGTGTTTTCGAAACACGCACCATCATCAGACCATCGTTAATTGGATCCGATCTCTTTCCTGGCCAGCTGTCAATTGGACCTAAGGTTAGTAGTATCTGACGACGACTGCTCTGGCCAGATGGAATGGGCGGCCAATGACTCCTGGTACGTGATATGTATACCCTCTTGCCAAAGTCCCAGAGACTGAAGACCGTCGCAATCACGATGGTCAAACGCTCATACGCCATTCTGTGTTTACGGCCCGCGAATTACAGCTCATGCTGTACACTCCTCCGTCCGACTCGGACCCGGAGCGCAGAGCTACCAACCATCCAGCCACTCCATTCCATCGCTTGGCTGTACAGACAGGAACGCGGCACGGCACCTCGCTGATGGCTGTCATGTCGCAACAAATATTCAGAATAGCAGAAACGTGCATTCGCACTGTATTGACAGCGTCTTTGTCCGCAGAGACAGTGAACTTCCGTTGTTCAGACCATATACCGGATGTGTGATCAACACCGCGGCTTTGCGAGTCACGTTCAAGACGAATACAGACTAAGTTTCGCCGGACTGTGGCCGGCGTGGAGTAAGTATGTCACCTCTCAATCTTGCAAGCACTGCAAGCTCACAATAATCATTCGTGCTAGGTAACCATGAGCGGAATCTTATCTTCCAAAGATGAATCAATACGCCGTGTCTTCGATTGGAAGCCGTTCTCGAGTCAATCCGAGTCGCCGCTGTAAGTGGACTCCAGGGCACCCAACGACGCCCATACGGACTTTGCCTTCATTCGGTTCTTCAAGCCACATGAGTGACTGAGATATTCAAGCGTTAGCCTCTCCATAGCAGTTGCAGCCGGACTCACGGAGCGCTCAAGTTACGTCCCGGTGCGCCCGCAGTGTCTCAATAGCTGTGTTGCAAACGGGCATCTGTACTGACGCCAAAATACCGCACCTTGCAGAACTAGCTCGCGTTATGCGTGGCATATGCGGCATATAGGATTCAACGGGGCTGCGATGCGGCACACGAGTTACGGACTTGTGGCCATCTTAGCATACCACGAGCTACAGTGCATCAGAGGTGGCATGCAGCATTGGTCAACTTCTGACAGCTTGTACGTTTCAGTGTCGCGCACACTAACAAGAGTCCAGAGTCACCTCGCCCGCATAGCAAATGTCAAGGCCCACCGCAAATGGGGTTCGTTCCGTCCGCCGACAGTCGCTCATGGTATAAAGACGGTTAGTAGAATTCCGGCGTCCTCACTACCAAGTCGCCTTATAATCCTTCCTTTCACCACCCACACCTCACCTCTTCCCAATGGTTTATTCTTCCTTTGGATCCGCTTTGGCTGCATTGAGCCTCGCGTTTTCCGCCTCAGCTATCTCTACCGAACTTGTCATCGTCAATGCAGAGGTATCTCCTGACGGGTTCGCTCGACAGGGCGTGCTAGCCAACGGCACGTTCCCTGGACCAATTATCAAGGGTCATAAGGTTAGCAGCTCTCTTCCTCTGTTGGTCGCACACATTGATAGCGGCGGTCATAGGGAGATAACTTCCACATCAATGTGAAGAACTACCTCACGAATGCTACGATGGACACGTCAACTACCGTTGTGAGTACCTCCACCCTGAGCCTTGCCCGACGTCGCCGATGTTCGCTCTGGCTCACCTGTCCATGACAGCATTGGCATGGTATAGACCAGCGGCACTCGAATTGGGCGGACGGTGTAGCATGGGTACGCAATGTCCCATCCCTCCGGCGACTCCTTCGAGTACAAGTTCAAGGTCCCCGATCAAGCAGGTACGTCTCATAGCTGTTGCTCCGTCGCCTGTCGGCTAATTACTGTACAGGTACCTTCTGGTATCACAGTCATGAGGGTTTGCAATATTGCGACGGGCTGCGCGGGCCTTTGATTGTGTACGATCCGCACGATCCACACAAGCATCTCTACGACGTGACGATGGTACGCGTCGCGATGCCATTATGATAACTCCGCTCACCACGGTGTATTGTAGAAACGACTGTCATCACGCTCGCTGATTGGTATCATCTGCCTGCAGTCGACCTGCCCGTCCCAGCGTGAGCAGACTGGCTTTCTCCACAAACGCTTTGGCACTAACCCAGACCTTAGGGATCCGAGCTCGATCCTTATCAACGGTCTCGCCCGTCTACCGGGAGAAAACACCCCGGTCTCCGTATGAGGTCGAGCAGGGCAAACGGTAGGTCCTGAATAAACGATTGTTGAATGATCGTCTGATATGCGACTAGATACCGCTTCCGGCTAATCTCCACTTCGTGCCATCCGTACTTCAACTTCACTATCGATGACCACGACAACTTCACCATCATCGAGGCAGACGGCGAGAACACGGAACCGCTACCGGGTATTGACCAGATTCAGATCCACGCCGCACAGCGCTACTCCTTTGTCGTACGTGGATTGTCTATAACGCGCCTCAGCAGTATTTGACACTCTGTGATTGTAGCTGGAAGCGAACCAGCCCAACGCGAGTTACTGGATCCGTGCTACTCCAGAGAAGATCGTCAACGGCACCCCCACTGGTTTCGCCATCCTGCGGTACCGCGGTGCGAATGGTTCGGAGCCGACTGGGAACACTACCATCACTCCCCCGCCGAAGAACCCTCTGTTGGAACCCAACCTGCGGGCGTATAACGCTCGCGTACGTACAGCACTGTCTGGCGTACGTGGTCTTTCTGATGAAGTGATTATTCTTGACAGGTCCCGGCACTTGATCCCGAATGTGAAGACTGCGATATTAGCCTGAACTTCTCATTCGTGAGTGCCTTCTCCGATGCCATTTCATCTGAGTCCTAAGGGATTCGTTGTACAGAATGGCACGAACTTCTTTGTGAACGATACCACGTACTTGAACGCCTCTTACGCCGCCCCGACGGTCCCGGTCTCCTCCAGATCCTCAGCGGAACGTACAACGCACACGACCTCATGCCCAAAAATAGTGTTCAGCCCTTGCCCTTGAACAAGACGGTACAGATCACCATGCACGGAGGCCCTGTTGGCGGACCGCACCCCCTCCATCTGCACGGAGTACGTATCGCTCTGCTCCGGTTACTACCATATTTGACGCTAACCATAAACGACAGCATTCGTTCTTCGTTATCCAGAGTGCTGGTAGCAACGTCACGAACTATGTCAACCCCGTTTTCCGGGACGTGGTCAGCATTGGGACCAGCGCGGCCGACAAGGTCATCATACGCTTCACCGTACGTCCCGCACTTCCTGCTACTCGGTCTACTGAGCAGTAGTACTGACCCGTTCGTTCAGACTGACAACCCGGGTCCCTGGATCATGCATTGCCATATCGACTTCCACTTGGCGGCCGGCTTTGCGCTCGTCATGGCGGAGGCTCCTAAGGAGGTTGCTGGATATATCGCTCCCGTCCCTCGTAAGTCATTTGCTATTGAACACTTCTTCCAGACGTACTAACACATTGGTGACAGCCGCGTGGAGCGAACTGTGCCCTGGGTACGAAGAATCCCGCCCGACGCCCTCGCTGATAGTCCAACAACTCTACCCCTACACTCCGATGTAGCGATCTACGACAACATCAGATTGTGTGCCATATTGCATTCCAACGGTGCCATGTTTTGCTGCAGGAACACCCCACGGACCCCATCCTTTACTACATTGTACTTAATATCCTCATCACGCTCAATGCTTTATAGAAGTACGACCTGATAAAATGGCTGGTAATCAACTGTTTTGAACCACGAAGTGCTGAGAGTCGAACTTGGCCGAATCTGCGTCGAATTGAGTAGCACCCGCAGTCCCGCGGCCGGGGCCGGCGGAATACCGGTTTAGAGGAGAACACCAACGCATACTCTCGGTACGATACAATCTGACTCCTTGCTTCCTCATACTGTATCCCCGACTCTATTACTGGCCCGCCTGCGACACCCCAAATCGCGATGGTAAGTCTCACCGTTCGCTCAGAGTCGCCAGTCTCGCGCCAAGACACCGCAAAGCGCCGTGCCACCCAGGTCCACGGGTACTGCACCCGAGGAACTTTCCTTTTTCGGTATGTTTTCCTTCCCGATCTGTCAGTTTCATACGATCGTTCGCCGCACTAAGCACTTCAAGCTTCAAAGCTTCGCGCGACGTTTCCTTTCCTTGTCCGAGCTTCTGCCTTCCCTCGCCATCGCTCTGTATCTTCTAGTTGATTATCGCTCTCTCGTTATTCTAGAACGTCCTTCTATCGCTGCATGTACTTATAGAGGGTTGCGTCGCCCGTCCTGGACTGAATCCATCCTGCCCCCCCCTCGTCTCGCGAGTTTCGAACGCCGGCACGGACGAGCGATGCGACAGCGACGCGCGCAACTGAAGTCGAGCCCGCAAGGTACTAGAGCGACGTATTGAGTTGCGCATCGCGATTTAACATCATATTCATACCGGGGTTCAGCCTACCCACTCTCCATAGACCACCTTCAATTCGTCCATCGACGCGACAGCTGCCTTCGTTCAGCATCGCTTAGTTCTCTGCCGCGCACAAATTCCTCCGCTGCTGGCCCAGGGACGCCTCGACCTGGATCACTGAGTAACACCGGGCCGCTGTACGCATGACTGCCACGTCTTCATCTTTACGCAATCAATGTCGACGAAGAGGAAGTCGGGCTATACGACGCTTACTGGCGACACTCTTTGGGGTCATCGTCGCCCTGCCAAATACAGTCTCGAGCGGATCTCGTAGGTATGTACGCGACTCGTTGACGGCAGACACCTTGGCGATAGCGGCCAAGAGATACTCTCCAGTACGTGTGCGGCCTCTGAGTCGCAGTACAAGGCCATGCTGAAGCTTGTTCAAGTTAGGGATGACGTCTCCTCGGTGGCTGCATGCGGCGACAATGCTTCTCCGTTTGCGCAGATCGTTATCTCATCTCAGATTCAACGTCACTACGGTCACGGTGCCTCTTGGTGCGACGCCGCTTCCATTGCTGCACCACCCTCTATGTTCTCACATTTCCTTGGTCCTGTCCAGACGATGCTTGCAGCGTGTTTTGGCCTTTCACGTGCGGGACACTGTTGATTATGCATGCATTGCATTGCAATTCAGGCCGCCATTCTCGCGACATGCCTCACTGTGGGAAGTTTAGCGAACGCGCTGGCCTCGTCGTGCGTATGCACTGACGTCGAAAGCCTCCCGGCAGAAACAGTGCGATCGTCGCACAACAGAGCCATAGGAGCACCGACCGGAACGTCTGGAGTCGAAGTGTGCGCAGCTCGTGTATGAGGATAATAGGCGGGTGTCACGTCATCTCTGTGGAGCAGCATTAAACGCTCGCCCAGCAGCTGGTCATCTTCGACTTCCGCGCCGCGCCAAGCAAGCGAGGATGTCGTATGCAAGGCGGTCCTGGCTCAAATCAGGGTGGGGAATGCGCAAGCGAAAAGCGGGGAGCGGTGGTGACGCGCTTGACGGTTTGTGGGACCGTCTCCGTGATATTCGCCCATCGCCCTGGTAAGTGGATCAGAATAGAGAGTTTTGGAAACAACTGTTGAAGTTGAATTGAACGGTGGAGGTGGAGCTGAGGTCTGGTGGTGGTGGGGCTCCGTGGGGCTGGTCGAGAGTGTGACGCCGAGTGACGGGCCGTGACACTCCTACTATTCATGGCAATTCGCTCACGGACGACGCTCGGGAGGGCGGGCTGGCCGGTAACGCCCGTGTCACGCCCACCGCAGATCTGACAGAGATCGGTGGTGTCGGAGCTGTGGTCTGGTGGTGGCGTGAACTTTCACAGTTGCTGCCAAAACTCTCTAATGACGCAGACTCTGTGGCGACGACCCTGGCCTGGCGTTGTGGATACTCCTATCGACAGGCGCGCTCCCCGCCCTATGACGAAACGGATGATGGCCTGCAGCATTATAAAGGCTCGAGGTCTGTGTGCAGGCCCCTCACAACTGCTTACGATTTACGACCCGCTTACGACTTTACACTCAAGCACACTTCATTCTCTGATCTACCAAATTCACGACTCTTACACACACATTTCTCATCATGTCTCTCGCCGCCGCTAAGCAAGACATCCGCGACCGTCCGGCTCTCGACGGGGTCACCGAGCCCGTCAACCGCGACCAGAAGAACGCCGACATCGATCGCAAGCTCCACCTCTACGGCGTCGCCACCGCCCTCCGCGAGTCGCGTCTCCCCGCCAACGACCAGATCGACGCTGCGCTCGAGTATGCGCTGAACCATTCCCCCGTTGAGACCGACCAGCTCTCCGAGTCCGGTCAGGTCCTCATCCAAGACACCCGCCAGGTCATCGACACCATGCGCGCGATCGTCCGCGAGAAGAATGCGGACGAGCTCTTGCAGAACTTCGTCTGGCACACCCGCCAGACCGACACCGAGCGCGCGAAGAAGGATCCGAACGAGGTGCTCCCTGTCGGCCAGGACAAGGTCCAGAACGACGCGAGCCTAGCTGCCCAGCACCTCCGTACCCTCGCGACGCTGGTCATCACCAACGCCGAGGCGCGCAAGCTGCTCTCCGACTTTGGCGTGATCGGCCGCGATCTCCTCGCGCGCGGTGCGGGCAAGGTCGCCGAGATGTCCCGCCCCGACGAGGACGCGCTTCGTCGCGTCGACGAGCCCGGTCCCGACCACCACTTCGTCACCGAGGGTGGAAGGAACGCTGGCACCGGTGAGACTCCGGTATGTCCATCGTTTGCCGCGTGCACTTCGATTTGCTGACGTGTCTTGCAGGTCCCTGAAGTACAGGTCCCTGGCACTGGTCACCGTGTCGTGCAGGACCCGCGCAACGAGGTCGGCCAAGGCACCGCTATCAAAACTGAGAGCGGCGAGCAATACCGCGGCGACGAAGCTGCAGACATCGCCGCTCAGAGGGCCAACGAGGCCAAGCAACGCGCACGGGCTGAAGCTCAGGCTCAGCGTGACGACGTCCAACAGAATGTCGTCGAGGACGACGCCGATCCTGAAGTTAAGAAGGGTCGTTTCCAGGACAAGTTGTCCGCCGCGAGGGTGAGTCTCGACGTGCATTTTGAAGTGTTCGGATTATTCTGACAAAACTCTGCACAGGACAACGTTCTTGGCCGTGTTCCTCAGGAGCACCGGGACAAGGCGAACGAGCACAAGGACCGCGCCCGTCAGTTCCTAAGCGATGAATACTTCCCGCAAGAGCGCCGCGACCAGCTCATCTACCGGTTGAAGAAGGTCGTGATCGAGTGCCAGAATCACAAGGACTACCAGGACGCGATCCGCTGGCTCCTCGACACGGGCTCCGAGTACGTCGGCCATGGCCGCGTCGTCGCCGACCACGGCAAAGACTCGCACCAGCAGCTCACGTCGGACGACAACCTTCGTCAAGCGTGGTCCGAGTTGCGCACGCTCCTGGAGCGCTTCGCCAACGGCGCGAGCCTCGACATCATTGCGAACGCTGTGCAGGCTCTCTACGAGGACTCGCGTAGTGACGAGGGCCTCCGCCAATGGTTCAACGAGGTGAACGGGTTTGCTCGCCAGGTAAGTTCGTTCATACATGCCACGCTTGTGCACGTATTGATTGTTTTTGCAGTGCCTCATGGAGCCTGGCTACATCCTCGACGACCAGGCGAACAACCGCGGGAACCAATTGCGTGACACTGGTCGACAGTACTACGACGACAAGTACAACGAGCACTTCAACAACCTCTGGAACAGCTTCGCAGACTGGGGCAACGCGTGGACGCAGGACCCGCTCAACCGGCGGTTCGGCCAGGACTGGCAGCGCCTCGCGAAGGACCTCCTGTTCGATAGCGAGGGGAGCCTCAAGTACAAGCCGGAGCTGTGGCGCGATATCCGCAAGGTCATCGTGCCGGGCTTGGTCGCGAACGTCGGGTACGTGCCGATCCCACGCATCGAGTACACGGACGACTCGCTCGACCTCGTGCTCGAGAACTTGGCGCTGTCGGGCAAGAACATCTTCCCGAACGTCATCAGCTTCGAGGCGCACAACTATATGAAGTTCTCGCCGTACGACGCCATCAAGTGAGCAATTTCTTTCTTTGAATGTGGGCAGGTTTTGACCGAGTATCTGCAGCGACGAGCAACACCACGACTTCACGCTCACGCTTGGTCACATCCAAGCCGACTTGCGCGACGTCGCGTTCTACTACCGTCGCAAGAGCGGCTTCCCGAAGATGACCGATCAGGGCCTCGCCGACGTCCTCCTCGGCGGCACCGGTCTCACCGTCACCGCTCGCCTCGCCACTTCGCACGACCCGACATCCGTCTTCACGGTCAAGGACGTGCAGGTGAAGGTCGACACGCTGAAGTTCGCGGTGCGCGACTCTAAGCACGACGCGCTGTACAAGGCCATCGCGCCGCTCGCGACGAACCTCGTCAAGAAGCAGCTGCAGCGCGCGCTCGGCGGCGCCGTGCACACCGCGCTCGAGTACGTCGACGGCGAGCTCGCCGCGGTACGCGACCAGATGCAAGAGGCAAAGGGGAGCGAGGACGGCAACCGGCTGCAGGTTCTTAAAGACCAGGTCGCGCAGAAGAAGCAGGCCGCGCAGGGCAAGGCGGGCGAGGCGGACAAGAAGACGGGAGAGTTCAAGATCGTCGCGCAACCCGGTGCGGAGTTGCTGCCTGAGCATGGCCACCCCGACGGCTGGGTGAAGCGTGCGGGCGAGCGCGTCGCCGCGGCGAAGAGCGGCGAGGAGTGGAGGAGTGATGCGTACACTGTCGTCTAGGTTGGTGAAAGCCTCCCGTCTCCGTTCGTACCTGCCTAGAAAAAGGTTGCCCTCGTATGCTGTTACTCCTCCTTGTACTACATATGCCTTTGTAGCGCTGAGATATCTGTATCGTTACTTTCCTTGATGTAATACGCTTCTAATCGACTGTTCACTCAAAACTTCGATCGCCCGATGCTCAGGCTATGATTTATGCTTCCGTACAATGACTCTTCGTAAGGCCATGTAAGTATTTACATATTTACCTCCATCACATTGCGAGCTGCCAGGCGGATCGTGACTTGATTTGGAAGTTGTACTTCACGCTTTCACTACCAACTTGTCGGCTCTGGTGGCCTGCAACGGCGGAGACTACACTTCACTGCTGTATCATTCCCCGTATGTCGTCCTCCAAACGCAAGGTATCCGACGCCATAGGAGAAGAGGATGCTCGGGAGCGCAGTGCGAAACGTCGAGAAGTCACCCAGGCCGACACCGAACACCCCATACACAAACTCTCCTACCCCTCCACCTCCGCACCAGCTCGCACCGTTCCGTTCCAGCAGCCTGCACCATTGCTGACGTTCTCTTACACATCCGTGCGAGAGCTCGAGTTCACCGACTCCGCGTTGCGATACTATGTCCCGCCACCGAATGGCGCGGAGCTGCGCTACGGCTACGAGCGCTGGGTGAAGAGGCCGGAGGAGAGGGGGCGGCTGGATGGGCTGTTGAGGGCGGTCTCGAAGATGCGTGAACGGATGGACAGAAGCGAGGCGGGGAGCGGGAGGAGGTGGTTGGACGGTGTGGGTGTGGTGGCCTGGAGGGGGGTCATGACCAAGTGAGTCTGCGCGTGTGTGCTTTGATGTCTATTGTCGGGACTGATGTTCGTGCTGCGTGAGGGAGGATACTTACCGCGCCGTACGAGGAGCGGGACGGGTGGGAGATGAACGTGATGGACGTTGGCGGGACATTATATCTGGAAGAACATTTGTCGGACGCGAAGCTCAAGGATAAGTGAGTTCGACCCTTCGCCGGCGATGAAGATACTGAACCGCGCTCAGGGAAGACATGACTCCCCACCATCGCCTGCAGTCCTACTATGGCTACTCGTTCGAGGCATGGTCGACTTCAAGCCGGCCCGGTGTTCGCGAACGACTCGACGGGCACCCTGAAGGGTGGGGAGGCGATGTAGACACTAACGTTCAGTGGTGCTGTGTCGTGAAGACGAAGTTGGGGGACACGCGGCTGGTCATTGGAGGCGAGGTCGATTGTACACGAGGTTGGCAGCCGCGACCGTAAGGATATGACACGCAGTGCTGATCGTCCGCCCATGTAGAGAAGTTCACCGGGAAGACTAATGACTTGGTCGAGTTGAAGACATCTATGGTCATACGTGGTGCCCAAGACGAAGCGAGGTTCGAGAAGTGAGTGCGGCCTCAGGCTTGCCTGCGAGACCATCTGTCTCATACGATCGACTTCGACTGCAAGGAAGCTGCTGAAGTTCTACTTCCAATCGTTCCTCCTCGGCGTACCTGTAAGTGTCCCAGACAACTGCTTCCGTAGCCGTATGTAATGCGATGACGCAGGAAATCGTCGTCGGTTTCCGAACGCCCGCAGGCCAACTCAGCACTCTCCAGTCGTTCAAGACCATGCAGATCCCTCGGCTCGTCCGCGGGAAGCGAGGGGCATGGGACCCGATGGTCTGCTTCGACTGGGGACACCAGTTTCTCGCGTTCCTCAAGTCTGTAGTGCGCGGTGTCGACGCAGACGTACGGGCAGCACCTCATGAAAAGGAAGAGAAGCACGGCACCGGGGACTCGCGCGCAGAAGTGGACGAACAACCCGAGGGTGTTGCGGACCGGCCACGGGTGTGGCGAGTGAGGTTCCAGCCCAAGGTCGGGATCAGCGTCACGTTGCTGGACGACGCTGGAGTGCGTGAAGTTGAGGCGGGCGAGGACAGAGTCGGGTTCCTCCCGAAATGGTACTGCGACGAGCTGATGGACAAGAGCATCGGAGAGAGGCACACAGAGAGCCATGCTGCTGCGAGTAACATCGTCAATGGTGAGGCTGGTGTGAGTCGGGACAATGCCGAACACTCGGACCGTCAAGAGACGGAAGTTCGTACAGTTCATCCAGCTACCACGCCTGCCATCCCACCCGGCTGGGTGACATAAGAGTTCGTGAGTATAGTAGGGTCTCAAGCAGTCGCGATGTCTTCATGATGTGTGTAGATTTCGTGCCACGACGCCTTCTCATTTGTTGGAGACGTGCGATAATTTACCGGCACTGGTAGCTGGCCGAGGTGATCACTGTAAGCTGCTTGCCATTACCATCTATGTCTGCAATTATCATGCTTCGAGAATGCTGACTGGCGTCACGTAGGAGCATATTAGAGACATGTCCATAGGATGCAAGGATTCGACAATATCATGTCGTACGCTGCGCGGCCAGTGCAGGCGAGCCTTTCCAGTGCGGTGAGCCACACCGTTCATCACGTGAGGTTCTAGGCGGAAATAGGACCTCAAGTTACTGCTCTACGGCGTGCCACACGAGAATACACAGAGCATTGCATCCGTGATATCTCGCCGGCAGGATACTCTTCCTTGTATCAATGGACACCAGAAGCCGACAGGCTGTGCAGGTAAGTGAGACATCGTATTCTCAGAAAGCTGTGGTGGCGATCATCCGAGGTATGTAACCCCCAATCTGATGAGCCACATGTTAACTGATACACGTAGTTCGCAAGGGACTAATCCAAAGGCCATTTTCGGGGCATAGGTTTTGCATAGGTTAGTAATGGTCCGCTCGAGACCGGGCATAGCCGTGGCCAACTTCCGGAAAGAGAGCGAGGGAACCACCCGCAAGATGCCGAGCAGCGTGGTTCATAAATGCCTCCGCCGCCTCGCCTCAGAGTGAACCTCCTTCTTCATCCCCCCCCCCCCCCCCCCAAGTCTCCCCTTTCTAGACGCGCCCTCCAACTCAGAGAACGTAGGCGACCGACGGCCTGTGCACCCTATCCATCTCTGACGGTAATCGCTAGATCATATAATGCCTGTCGATCCTAGCTCCGTGGCCCTCGAGAAGGACCGCATACATAACGACAAACGGACCTCAGTGCGGTATAATTGCAAGCGGGCAGTCAAACGGGGTCTTCCGGTCATCGACTTTGTGCGGACGGTATGGAGATTCACTCCCGACATGCTCCCGGAGGGACAGCCATACAGATTGTGGCGTACGACGGTAAATCGATTCCTACAACAAGGCAGCGAGCGTGAATCGTACACACACTTTGCAAGCATCATCACCGATCTGCTTGCACAGCTGTATCCGGATGCATCTGTGTATGGCGCCTCCTCCCCATTGCGCAAGCTCAACACTACGGTCATCAACACCCGGGCCACAAGCAACCGGACGATGATTCGACAGGGCGGCTCGACGCCCGACCTTACATGGTCACAAAGTACATCGGTGACCCAGTGGAGGTTGAACTGGGAGTCGTGTCTGGCCTTTGTCGAGATCAAGCGTCCCTCCGCCCACGGCACTCTCGTCACTGATCTCGTCATCGATGTGAAAGACTTCCCCTATATTGCCGATTGGGAACGTGCGGCTTCAGGTTCTGGCGTGGAATCGGACGTGGACGCGGAGTACGAAGTGGACTCGGAATATGATTCAGACCTCGAAGCATGGAACGTCGACATCAAGCGCAAGAGATCGACATCCATACCAGACATGTATGGCCCCGTAACCAAGCGTGTCTGTCGCGAGGACTCCCTTACGTCTATGACATCCGCAGACCCACCAGAGTACGACACTGAGCCACTGAATAATCAAGAGATGGATGCCGCGCTCTACATCATGGAGATGTTGGAACGCAACCTGCGCTCGTACGCTACAGGCTTCTCTGTCGACCGCACAATGGTGACCCTCTGGTACGGCGACCGAATGGGATTGGTGGCCTCCGAGGCGTTCGACTTTCTGATTGAGCCTCACTTGCTGTTGCTGGTTGTCGCTGCTATGGGGGCTGCGGACGAAGAGCGCTTTGGTATCTGTCCCTACCTCAAGGCTCCAACTTGCGGCGACTATGACAACGCGGAATTCGTGCTTCCCTCGTGGAAGGCACTCAACGCGTATGGCGAGCCCATCAACAAAACGATGCAAATTAAGTTATGTCATGGCGGCCGACTGATGCGCGGCCTGAGCTATGTTGTGGTAAGCGCGGCGACGATGATATTCAATCTACAGGCTACCACAGAGGAGGAAGATGGCGAGGAGCTCGTCGCAAAAGTGTCTTGGCCACTCGAACGCTCGGCAACTGAGACAAGTTCCTTAAGAGCGGTGCTTACCGGGCTGAGGAAGAAGGCAACTCAATACCTCAAGCATGTAACTGAACTCAAGTGTTACATCGAGGAAACCATGGCGGAGCACCGCCTCCCGAGAGCTAACATGCCAGGTCTGAATACTGAGAAACCAAGGCTCTTCGTGCTCATGGTCATGAAGAAATACGAACCGATATACCACGTGGCGAGTGTGACGGAATTCAAAACGCTGTTTGCGGATGTGGTGCGAGGTGAGTCAGATAGATTCGACAGTGCCTACTCATCTACTGACTGATCTGTGGCCAGCGCACTATTGGGTTGCAGAAACGTCCGACGTACTGCACGGCGACATCAGCCTCAACAACATCATGTTCTACCGTGAAAACGGCCGAGTCATTGGGGTCCTCATGGACTGGGACCACTCCGTCCGGCGGAACCGCGAGGAGGAAGACAAGTTCGACCTCGAGCTGCCGTCCAGCGACGACCCGCTCACGATGTGGGTGTATCGCTTCAGTTTCCCGGGTCACTGGTACACCGCGCCCTACCTCGACGTCGCACGACAGAGCGCGCCGAGCGACGAGGTGCCGCCGTACCGCTACGAGCACGACCTCGAGGCGTTCTTCTGGGTGCTCATGCACTTCCTGCAGCAGTTCGACCCGGCGCGGCGGACGATGCTCCCGACGCAGTACTTCAACATGAACAGCAACTACGACATCGTGTCGTGGAAGCAGGACATGCTGGAGGACCTCGACGGCGACGCGTTCCAGGATGCGGCGGCGCGCGTGCACAGGGACTATTTGCCCCTGTGGGACGACTGGGTGCCGGAGCTACTGGAGATCGTCGCGACAGCGCACTCGTACAGGATGGACACGATGCAGGAGCGGACCCTCCGGTGTCAGCTCAAGACGGCGTCGGAGGCGGGCGAGCAGGCGAGAGTTGACAGACTCGTGCGGCGGCTGCGGGCGAAGGTTGAGCAGAGGAAGAGTGCGTTCAATTACGAGACCTTCATGGCTGCCATCGACGCGCCTGAAGACATTGACGAGTGAGCTTGTGCAGTTGGGATGACGGATTTATGCTGTTAGTTATATGCGTCGCTTGTTGAACTCCTATGCCATATGAAACACTACGAACTCATGTATTGATCGTTACACCCTAAAGATACATATGATACACCTGCGTATGCCAGAGCAACGGATCTAGTCGTAGAAGACGAGCAAACGGAGCTCGATCGACTCCCTGAGAAGCGCGTCTTTGGGCGTGCTCGGGTCCTGGAACGCAGTGTGAGGCGTCAGGATCGCCGTGTCATCTTCCGTCTTTGAGTCGAAGCTATGCGCATCCATACGTCAGTTCAGTCGCCTCGCACACGGGTGTCCTGAGCAATACTCACCACTTGATGAGGACGAACTCATCTGGCTCCATGCCCCTCAAGTACTTCCACTTGTGGTTCGGGTTGAACTTCACGCTGTTCGTCTCGCCCTTCCTGTCTTCGTACACCAAGTCTGTAGCGACTAGGTCCCCCTTGTAGTCTACGGAGCGGAAGTCGCAGAGGGCGAGCGGCCAGTCGTACGCGGCGTGCGAGATGGGGCGCCAGAGGTTGATGATCTGGAAGCGACGCTGGAGGAGCGCGGGAGCGTCTGTGGGTGGGAGGTGTCGGTGCACGCGCGCGATGGCGGCGGCGGCCGTCTGGTCGACGTGCGCCTGCGGGACGGGCTGCCGCCTCTGCGGCGAATCGTCGGGCTCGCCTGGGCGGCGGCGGCGGATCGCTGGCGGGGAGGGATGCCGGTCAGCGTTGCACTCTGAGCAGTAGAGTTGGTCGGGACTTACTGTGATCGAAGATGACGGCACGACTTGCGCCGGTGAACTTCTTCACGAGCTCGATGCTCTCGGGGTAGTACTCCGCCTCGACCGCTGCGTCGTTGGTGAACGCCTTGTGCGTAGCGGCTTCGCGGCCGAACTGGAAGCCGGCGGTGTCGAGAGTGACGGAGTCCTCCTTACCGCGGAGGTTCTCGATCTCGACGATATGCGACTCTTGCTTGATGTTCGTGCGGCGCTTACCGGTCGCAGGGTCCGAGTTGACGTGGGTGTAGGGCTTGGAGCCGTCCTCGGGGGAGTGAAGTAGAAGACCTCGGCGGTGACGGACTGTGGCTGGTCAGACATGGCGTTAGAGTGAAACAGGCGGGGAGGATGCAGGGAGAATGAAAAGCTATCTAACAAGGACTTGTGGGCAACAGTGGGCTCATGGCCTTGCCTTTATATATCTGTGAGCAAGCCTTCCCAGGGATGGCGTGCTGGGCATGGAGTTAGCTGACAAAGCCTCTTAAACCTCCGTTTCTCACTAAGACGGCTATGTCAGGATACCATGCAATCCCTGTAAAGTCGGAGTCCCGAGTACCGATGGAACTGATGACTTGAAGCTGACAATGCACCGCGCGTCAAGCCGACATTCGGAGGAGGAGGAGGGCGAGTGACTCACCTTGGTCCACAAACATATTCGTCGGACTCGGACCGAGAGAGCGGCAACGGCATTGGTCACATATTCTTCGTCTGGTCCTGGATGACTTGTATGCAGATTTACGAGACAGACCAAAGCTCGATAATCGCCGCAAGTGCTTGAGAATAACAACGCTCTTGTGTTGTGAGGAGAAAAGGCAGAGAGACAGAACAAGACAGTCGGAGACGGTGGCCAGAATTGGCAAGGCGCTGGCGGGTCACCGTCAACCGTGACGTCGCGACAGCCACCGGGCACTGCCGAAGCGCGCTTGATAAGGCTGCGTTACCCCGCCGCGTCGCTCTCTCCTCAACCACCACCATCTCTGCTATCTCCTCTCTACTTGCATCTCTTCCTACACGACGTGAGTATCCGCCGCTCGGAGTGTAAATCGGGTGCGTCGTTCTGACGTCGCACCGCCACAGTATGCAGATCTTTGTGAAGACCCTCACCGGCAAGACCATCACCCTCGAGGTCGAGTCCTCCGACACGATCGACAATGTGAAGGCCAAGATTCAGGACAAGGAGGGGTGAGTATCATTCACGTTGGTTCCAGTCAATCGGATAGCTGACTATGTGAATGATGTCTGTGTTGATCAGTATCCCGCCCGACCAACAGCGTCTTATCTTCGCCGGCAAGCAGCTCGAGGATGGCCGCACTCTTTCTGACTACAACATCCAGAAAGAGAGCACCCTCCACCTTGGTGAGTCGTCCCACCAGCGGTCACTGCCACTGCCACATGATCCTAATCGGCGCCTTCAGTCCTCCGTCTCCGTGGCGGTATGCAGATTTTCGTGAAGACCCTCACTGGCAAGACCATTACGCTTGAAGTGGAGTCCTCGGACACTATTGACAACGTAAAGGCCAAGATCCAGGACAAGGAGGGTATTCCCCCGGATCAGCAGCGCCTCATCTTTGCTGGCAAGCAGCTTGAGGATGGCCGGACGCTCTCTGACTACAACATCCAGAAGGAGAGCACCCTCCACCTTGGTGTGTATTGAGGTGTTCGTCAGTGAATGTCAGGTCTTACGTGCTGCACAGTCCTCCGTCTCCGCGGTGGTATGCAGATCTTTGTGAAGACGCTCACGGGCAAGACCATTACCCTCGAGGTCGAGTCTTCCGACACTATCGACAACGTCAAGGCGAAGATTCAGGACAAGGAGGGTATCCCGCCCGACCAGCAGCGCTTGATCTTTGCCGGCAAGCAGCTCGAGGACGGCCGTACCCTTTCCGACTACAACATCCAGAAGGAGAGTACGCTTCACCTCGGTCAGTATTGCTTCAGTAATCACCGCATACATCGCGATGCTGATCCGTCATTCAGTCCTTCGTCTGCGTGGAGGTATGCAAATCTTCGTCAAGACATTGACGGGGAAGACGATTACTCTGGAGGTGGAGTCTTCGGATACAATCGACAACGTCAAGGCGAAGATCCAAGACAAGGAAGGTATTCCTCCCGACCAGCAGCGTCTCATCTTCGCTGGTAAGCAGCTGGAGGACGGTCGCACACTCTCCGACTACAACATCCAGAAGGAGAGTACTCTGCACCTTGGTGAGTATAACAATTTCGACGTTCGCAAACGGTTTCAATCCTGACTCGATGCGTTAGTCCTTCGTCTCCGTGGCGGTATGCAGATCTTCGTCAAGACGTTGACTGGCAAGACTATCACTCTCGAGGTCGAGTCTTCTGACACGATCGACAATGTGAAGGCGAAGATCCAGGACAAAGAGGGCATCCCGCCTGACCAGCAGCGTTTGATCTTCGCTGGCAAGCAGCTCGAAGACGGGCGTACGCTTTCTGACTACAACATTCAGAAGGAAAGCACGCTGCACCTTGGTGAGCTCTTTCTCTGCTCATGCAGGTTCGCGATGCTCATGTTTGTCGATAGTCCTTCGTCTGCGTGGTGGCATGCAGATCTTTGTTAAGACGTTGACGGGTAAGACGATTACTCTCGAGGTCGAGTCGTCGGACACCATCGACAACGTCAAGGCAAAGATCCAGGACAAGGAGGGCATCCCGCCTGACCAGCAGCGCCTGATTTTCGCTGGGAAGCAGTTGGAGGACGGTCGCACTCTGTCGGACTACAACATCCAGAAGGAGAGCACCCTTCACTTGGTGCTGCGACTCCGTGGCGGCTGCTGAGCGCTGCTCCACCATTCTTGTCTGGTCTCCTGCGGCTGACGCGTGGTCTTGTTGGGAGGATGTCTGGTGTCTTCACCGTTGTATTCTCGTTGTACAGTACACTCTACGTATCATGATGTCATGACATTCGCTATGTCTTTGGTGCTCTTATACTGCGAGTGCAACGTTGGCGCAGTACGATCGAGCGCGACCGAGTTCTTCGACGGCGACAGTCGCTCCTCCATATCTCATGTTGAATGCGTGGTGAGTTCTGATTCGAAGTGTCCTGTACATGCATCGACCAATACAACCTTTGCCAGGTACGGTTGCGATACCGTCTCATCCTCCGGATCCAGTGGCGCGCCACAGTAACCATCCGCGTTAGTCCTCGCCCTCAACGTTGCACAACCCTTCTTCCGTTCCGTGCGTGCGGCGCGAGTGAATGACAGACAGCTCAAAGTAGGCGAGGGGCCGAGGTCATGTGTGACAGGTACGTCGAGCCGAGGGTCAAGGATGGGGCTTCTGTGGACTCTGACAGAGTGCCAGTGACGTGTTGCGGGCGTCGGGTGAGGTCTTGATAGGAGTGTCGGAGAATGTTTGAGGGACGACGTCGGCAGGTCAGGGCGCCGGATGTGAGGGAACTTGGATGAGGGGGCTATGGTGGGTCCGTTGTTCTACGAGGTATTTTCACAAACAAATGAGTTTACTGGTGCTGATGATGTATTCATGGAAGGTGGTCCGTAGTGTTGCCTTTTCTTCAGATGTAGAAAGTATGAGGGAAAGCCGTGGGCACCCGTCGGTGAGTTGACTGTTTGCATGATTGGGCCGCTGACATTTCTGAGCGGGGAAGAATTCCTAGTCCCTGGTACCGAAGGTGCGTGTACAGCTGTGTGCAGGCCTCGAACACTCGTACTGAGTCTGCGCGGGACTTCGTCTCACAAATAGGTCAACAGCACTCGTCCGTGAACCAATCGAAGGCGAGCGCCATGTGCTTATTCCTGACAGGACCTGGGAAGCATGCATCGGAGCGCGGCAGGCCAGGAAAGAAACCGATCCCCTCGGTGATGGGGATGTGACATACTCTGACAGACGATCAGATGTGGAAAGCGGGGCGCAGTGCGGCGGAGGCGACTAGCGATGGCGATTGGCCGGCCGGATTGCACGCGCACACAGGGGCCCACAAGAACGGGAAGGTCACGGTGTTTTTCGTTGTCTGGCTGAATTATTGACAGGCCAGTAATCTAGGTGCGCTGCGAATGACTTGCCTGGGTCTGGGTTGAACGTTGAGGGAGCCCTCCAGGAGACGTGGTTGGTCGACTGGAGCCGATCTTCTGGAGGGAACGGTTCGGATTGGAATCGAGGGGCGACGCCACTGACGGACGGGCGAACATTTCGCCCTCCTCCTCCCCCGTGGGGCCCCTTTCAGTCACCTTTGCAAAAGGATTCCCCCGCTTCCATTTGTGGGGGGAGGGGTTCGCGATGGGAGTTGGGACGCGTTTTCTGTGAATTGGCGGGGATCCGCGCGGCTTGCATTGAAAAACAGACAAATGTCTGAATCCAAATGCCTCGGACGAGCTGGCGCACTTGTCCTTCGTTACTCGCGGACCGCCTCGGTCCCGCAACATCGATGATCAGTGCCCACGGCGGCCGCTCGGCGCGCATGCCCCTATTTTCCGCTCGGAACCAATCATCCAGTGGCCACTCTGCGTTTGGTTGCCGTGGCATGGCTGGCACGCTGGTTAGCCCCGCGCTCGTTCTGCCATGATACGTGGAAGCGACGGTAGCGTCGATCCGCCATCAACTTGAAGCACTCGCACAATCACCCGTACTTCCGTTCGCAACGGGCGAAGAGTGAATTCCCCTTCGATGGTAGAAAATTACCGTACCCAGCTAGGTCGGTCGAAACCCAAATGCTATGTCACCCCCCGATGCTGAGTCGCAGCTTCGAAGTTCAGATGCGATCACCATAGCGGCAGGAACGACGCGACGGAACCCGTGTCTTGCGTCTGTCCGCTTGGTGATCGAAAGCCGCCCGCATAAACATGGCCCGATCCAGATCCAGATCTTACGTGCTCTCAGGTCTTCTAAGGTCCTGACCCCGTAGAGCCGTTCCCGTTGCGTCTTAAATCTGCCTGCGCGCCGGCGTTGTCGAATCCGCCGTGTTTTTCTCCCCTCTGCGCGTCCCCCCTACTGCTCCCCGGTGTATGTAGAACACTATGGTGTATGGCTTCGAGACCTCCCTGGTGACTGTTACGAGCCAGAACCTCCACACGAGCCTGGGGTCTCTTATCATCGGAGGCTTGGCGGCCACCGCGTGCGTTGTCTACATTTCGCAGTCATGGGATGAAATCTCTAATGTTAATTGGTGTAGACTCTCCGGTATTGTGTGCATGCAAACGGTGCTATATGCCCGTCTGTTTGAAAACGACTCCGGCATTCTGAAGTCGGTGGTGAGTGGCTCTACATCTCGATGCTTCCGCGACCGAGATTGATGCTCTATGAAGGTTGCGCTTGTGTTGTGGGTGCACTGCGTTGATCCGCACTGAGCATGTCTCACATTCCGCCTCTAGCTTCCTGGATGTTCTCCATACATGCATGGTGTGGGTGGCCGACTGGCAGTACTTCGTGAGCAGCTTCGGTGACCCGAATATCACGGACCATGTGTTCTGGAGTGCCGGGGTACGCCGACTTCGCTGCATTTCTCGTGTTTTTGGGCTCATATGGTTGTTGCTTCACAGCTCACGATTGCTCTGACTGCAATCACGACCGTCACCGTACACCTGTACGTAACCTGCCTCTCCCTGGCTGCAAGCTGTGAGGTTGACATATTTGCTTCAAAGATTCTTTACCTATCGGCTGTACCGATTGAGCAAGGGCAATTGGTTCGTTATTGGACCTATGATGATCCTCTCTTTGGCCCGAGTCGGTACGCCACCAGCTCAGACTTCTCTGCTCTGCGACTGATCTTGGAGGACTTCTAGTGTCCGCCATCGGTATGTCCCCTCGCTTCATATACTTCCGCCGTACTAATATCAGCATATCATCAAGCCACATCCGCAGAGCTGTGCGTCGATCCCAACTAATCTGTCCGTCATTCACTGACAGTCATGTTCAGCATTCGCCTGGGGAGCTTCTATGAATTCTATGTACACTACCGCGTAAGAGTCCGTTAGTCTCCTGTCTATGCGTCGGGCTCAACATGCTCTGTCGGCAGTGGATGTTCACGCTCGGTTTGGTCTTGTCGACAGCGCTGGACGTAATGATTACGAGTGGGCTGTGTCTATATCTCAGAAAAAGCCGGCACGGTGGCAGCGGGCGGTGCGCAAAATTCACTCATTTGTACAGGCCGTGCGTACTCATGGACTGCTATCCAGACTTGATCACATCCTCAACTCCGTGACGCTATACACCGTCGAAAACGGCATGATTACAGCGTGCGTCCACCCTCGGATGATGGAGCATACAGTGAATCTAATCTCCACAGCATTGCCACGGTCTTGTCATTGATCTTTGTAAGTTTCGTTGCCACTGTGTCGGCTGTGGGATCGCTCACGAGTTTGTCTAGTGGCTGGCGAAACCGCATGCTCTGGTTTACCTCGGACTTCACTTCGCCATCAGCAAACGTACGTCGCTGCCTTCTACGTAATCATATGGCGTAGCCACGGCTGACGCCCCACCCAGTCTATGCGAACTCGTTCCTTGCATCGTACGTATCCAAGCCAGGGCTATATCCTACATTCTGACAATATATGTACAGTATGAACGCACGCAAGATGCTGAGAGTACAAAACTCACAAAGCTCAGGATCAGGTCATCGGCTGCCTGTCATCTTCGCCCACCACTTCACACGCGGCGACCGGCGCTCATCGGTGCGTACCTGTCCCTACGACATCCCCGCACGAGATCGACGTCTGACACAGATGATGCCTACTCAGCCTGACGCCGTCGATCTGACTGGCACCAAGGTGACCCTTCTCCTCCTACCTTTCATTGAGAGATTACGCTGACACGGTGCATCGTGATGATATAGCTGCAGATAACCGTGGACAAGACGGTCGATTACGTCACGGACGACGTACCCGTGTCGAGGCACGACCCGGGCGAGGGCAAGGCAGACATAACCATGGGCAACGCGGTATGACCTCCGCGTCAGTGATGCCTTGCGCAACCTCCGTAAATAGGTGTGGCCACGGCTAGAGATTTCCGTGCTGCTGAACTCATGGGAGTCGCCTTGTAACTGAGTACGATGCCGCCCGACGGAGTGCTGTTGTTGTAACCACCGCTGTTTCGCTTGTCTGTCTGCACACGCTACGATACCACTGCCCCGCTTACTTTAGTTACAAACGAATATGGATCAGGTTGGACTGGACTAGATTGGGTTCCGCTTTACCGGATCATGGAGTGGATCGAAGTGGACCTGCGTCCGACGGCCTGAGAGCGCGGTGTCTTCCTGCTTGCGGTGTGCGTCGTACGGGAGCCATACTACTAATTGTGTGCCTTCTGTGAAGGAGGAACCTGCATGTACTGGCACCCATGCTCCGAACTCGTGTGTTGCACGTTCAGCGCAGACTTGCCTCGAGCCTTACTAACATGGTCGAACGGTATGTAAGATCCATTCTGGTACCAGCGCGTGTCAGAAGTACCACACGCACGACATGCCCTTGTCCATAGACAAGAACTCATATGCTGATACTCGAAAAACTCAGCACCGTATACTCGCAAGTGTCCTTCGACATAATGACATCGGGTTAAGTGCTCGGGTGTCAACGGACCACGTACGGTCGAAGGTCCGCGAGAACAAAGTTTTAGACTGGACATGAAGCAGGAGGATGGTTGAAGCACTGCGAAGGCGTCCATTTCCGGCACGAGGAGGCAAGGAGGCAGATAGCTGGCTAAGGCGCAGGCCAACATGCCCGCAGGGCCTTAAGGCCTTATCATCAGTAACTGAGGCCGAGCAGCAAGCTCTCCATAGCGGAGTATATGAGCTTCCATGTCTGCCGAACCCGCGCATTGACACGAACCCACCTCCGCGATTCAGTTGGCTACGGCATAGTAGGAATCGAAGGCATCACAGGACTCACTCCATTGCAGTCTTCCGCATACCATGAAACGCAGCGCAGCCATACCAGACTTCATCTATGAGTTCCCCGCGTACTGGACGATCCCTGTATATGAGGACACCCTGGGGATGGGCGGCGTCTTCGCGCCCCCTCATCCCTTCCTGCCGCTGAAGACCACGTACCATTCAAGTCCTGGCCCCCGCTCACCACCTTCGCGACCACGACCGCGGCGCTCGCATACGATGAACGTCCCACCAAGCACCCACCCCGAACATCCGCCCTGGGCGCACGTCGCACAGACATACGCCTGGGTGCTCGATCAGAGCTTCGCGGAGATGGCGCGCAAGAACGAGGAGACCGTCCGCTGGATCATGGAGCAGCAGCGCCGCGACGTGCTCCGCGCGGTGGAAGCTACGCGCGAAGCCATGGCGTTCGTACACAGCGTCGCTGCGGGTGTGCAGGCTGAGGCGGATGCCGCGGCGGCTGAGTACCGCTTCAGGAGATCTGGACAGCACCGGTAGACGCGAGGTGGAGACGCGAGGCGGAGGACTCCGTACAAGAGGAGCTGAGACGCCTCCAGCAGGCACGGCAGAACACGGAACGATGCCGGAAGTCGTACGAAAGGCGGAAGGCTGAGGAGGCGGACATGGAGAGGAGACGCGGCGAGGTACTGCGAAGGTCAAAGGAGAAGCGGAAGCAGGCAGAGAAACAGCTATGGGCGACATACGAGTCTCGTTGGGCATTAATCGCAGGTCCATCGTCGCCGAAGAAACGTACGGAGCCGCTGACATTCCGGTCGATCCCATGGCCCATGTTCGTACAACCGGAGACCGTGGAGGACATAACTCCAGCACGCATAACGTTGTTTGTACTGTCACCCTCCCATTCAGAGGGTCAGTCACGAAAGGAGAGGATCAAGGCAGCGCTGAGACGATGGCATCCCGATCGATTCGGGCGATGGATTGCGCGGGTAGACGAGTGCGACAGACGGAAGGTGGAGGAGGGCGCTGGCATTGTCGTCCGTTGTTTGAACGACCTGCTGGAGAGGGACGATGACCAGGTCTAGGCGACTTTGACGTTTCGCTGCGAGCTTTTCTTGATGTAAAAAGTTATGGCCACCTCGGTAGCGTCAGGCACGCAAGCTGCATACAGGGGTCGCATTCTATGCGTCCATGATACCCTATGGATGCAGTTCTCACGTTCTATGTCATCTGTAGAATAGTACGTTAGCGTTGTACATACGAAATTGCCGTACACGTACCAGAAGGTACAGAACCGCTGCAATTTACTTACTGAGATGCCACTGAACTCAGAACTCGGCGCTCAGTGCAGCCAAGTGAGTCCTTTTCAGCAGGAATGTCACCAGCAATTATGTCCAAACAAAGCCTCCATTTTGTTTTGACTACATTGGAGACAGTGTTTAAGTGGACACGGTGGTCAAGAAGAAAGGAGTGATAAGGACGAGACACGCGGTTAGTGAACGCGGCAAGCAGGATCGCGTGACCGCGTCACTTGACCCTTGCGCCCGACGGCCTCGAGAAGGTTGCGCACGACGTCGACGGCGGCCCTCCGACGCCCGCGCACACTTCAGAATGGCTGCCAGGTACACACGCCAGCTTCTCTACTCCCATCATATCGCTGTCGTCGTAGTGCGCTCGGAGCGGAGATACCGTCAACACTTGTTGCTTCGGTATACGTGCATCCAAGAGAGATATGTCCACTAACGGGGAGAACTCGCAATATGTCCTGAAGTTCGCTGGTGCGGCTATCAGCAGTGAGTGGAATGGCTTGCAATTTTGTGAATGTGCGCTGAGCTTGATGGTGCGGTACAGACATGGCTGCGTCGGCGGCTACCAATCCGTTGGATATGTGAGTCTCAAGTTACTCACACCAGATGGCCTCTACAAACGAAGCCTTTTATGCCACCGCAGCGTCAAGGTCAGACAACAGCTGCGCACACAAACACCGGGAGCGCGCACCAATGCTTTCTGGACCGTGGGCGTCGAGATGGCACGCACCGAGGGCGTCCTGAGCCTTATGAAGGGCTTCTCGGCGAGTATGCTTCGCGAGCTCGTCTACTCAGGCATGCGGCTGGGTTCCTACGAGTACTTCAAGGACGTGTGCGTATACAGCTCCCTACTATTGTTTCATGAACTGAGATGCTACTGCGAACCTGCGACTTAAGGCTGTATGAGCGATCGCGGGGCTCGCTGAGTAGAGAGGGGATTGGGCTGAAGGTAGCTGCTGCAACAATCGCGTCCGCCCTTGGATCGTGAGTCTCAATCTGACGTTAGGTCATTCACATACTGAGGACGTCCCAGAGCCATTGCGAACCCGACAGACTTGGTCAAAGGTCCGTCTATCGCTCGACATGTCATTGCGCCCTTGGTCATGCTTCGTGTCAGTGCGCATGCAGGCCTACTATCCTTCCGGGAGCCCATACAGGAATATGCGCCACGCGTTCGCAATGATATGGAAGGAGGGTGTGGCACCAGCCGCATCTACGGGTCTAGGGTCCGTGTCAGACGGTCTCCGTGCGCTCTATCGTGGTTCGACTCCGACGACCGTGCGCGGGATCGTGTTGTCAGTATCGCAAATATGCTCGTATGATCAGGCGAAGCAGGTGCTCAAGCGGCGGGAGCTCATGCAGGAGGGGGTGGGGTTGCATTTCGTAGCGAGCATGTTTGCAGGGTGGGTGTTCATTGCGGGTTGAGACTAGTGCGAAGGCGGATTTCTGATACAACGAACCGTGCAGGCTTGTCTGCTCGATCACGTCGAATCCTGTGGGTGAGTCGCGCGCTGAACTTTAGTGATCGGCGATATGATGAGGACTAATGATGTATTCTACTGACTCTAGATGTCGTGAAGGTGCGGCTCATGAACGATAGCGGCCGGGAGTATCAGGGCGTATCCGACTGTGTGCGGAACATCATGGCGAAGGAAGGACCCCTCGCATTTTACAAGGGCTTTGGCATGTGCTGGGCACGTGTGAGTCGGAAATATCTGCATGTGCTGCGCGTGGATGTCGCTGACGATCCTCCCTCTTGCTCAGCTAGGACTGCACACGGTGCTGACATTCGTCGTCTTCGAGCGATTACGACTTCTATTTGGGGTTGGTGCACTGTGAATGAGGCTACGTTGTATGACTGAGTTATGTCGTCTGTATTCTTACTACAAGTTCTTGTAAGCTGTGTGCCATTCTATCCGAGACTTTGAGAAGTCTCAGCACCAGCCTGGGATCGAGAGAGGGGGCTCGACAGAACGCAGAGGATGCTGCATTCATTTTCGAGCGCATCTTGTTGGCATACCGGTCCCGAGCCACTCACTACATTGCTGTACATCACGGTGGCGTGCCGGTCATGGTACCAGCCTGAGTACTTGGCTAAGTGCAAAAAAAAATCTGATAGAGCATCTCTCCCTTCGTGCAACTCTACGGTAGCTATCCCATAGAAACATGCTGCTACCAGTGATCTTGTCCTGGTTACTTTGCGCTCGACAGTGAGCGCGTATCAGCTTGTCTGTTCAGGATGACTTGTAAGTACTATAGTCCGATTGTGGCGCCTTGCGGCCCTTGCCGAGTCACACGCGAAGAACGCGACGCGTGTTCTTTCACGTGACCGCGATGTTCGGCGTGCCTCATTGTTCACTCATTCGGGATTACAAGCAGATTGCTTCTCGCATCGCATCCACCACTAGCAACGTCGACCACTCGTCCCTTCTGGCTGTGTCTATCTGCATATACCCATATAATCTTCCGATAGCCAGCAGATCAGCAACCTAAACTCATATCCGCCCCATCAAGGTATCGTTCAACTTGAAGTTGACCTGGCCCATCTAGTCTGCCCGTAGTTTTGGTCTAATTTATTGGTATCCGTGATATCTGGGCTGTCGCTCTTTTGAACAGGAAGTGACATGAGCAGTGATTCATCGTGAGTACTTTACTTATGGGAGAGTAGGGAAGGGTGCGACATAGCAGCTGTGCGCTATCCACAGCCTCTGCTGCTATTCCGTTCATTTCGCTCCGGTTTGCTTGCTCGACTAACGTGCTTGTCTCACACCAGAAGAGACAACTCTCCTGTAAGTCGACGAGGGTGCACATCTCGCTCCGTGCAAGAAGACTCACTGTCTTCACCATTAGAGACTGTACCGTCGTCCTGCATCCCCTGGTTCGGATGATGAATTATTCGACGCAGCCAGATCTCTCTCGTCCTTTCGTGCAACGCCGCGCTCTGCACAGCAAGAGCATTATACCACCGCTTACCCACAGCATGGCAGTGCGCACCGCCCGTCAAGCTCCTACCAGAGTGCTGGGGCACCGGCTACGTCGTACCATCAGGCTGGGCCGTCGTCTACATCATATCAGAGCGCTGGAACGACATCTACGTCGTATGCGAGTGCTAGACCATTGTCTACGACCTATCACAGTTCTTCTGGACAACCGACTACATCTTACCCATCTGCTCATCCGTCATCTATCTCTACTTCTCAGACTCTTGCACCTCCCTCATCTCAGCATCCATCCATAGCCAACTACAATGCTCCTACCACTATCCCTTACTCGTCTTCACGCCCTTCACACGCAGCACCATCGATGCAGCAAGCGCCTACCAACTATAATGAGCCCCAACCAGAAAAAAGCTCTAAGAAGAAGAGCTCCGGTTCCAAGGGAAAAGAGAAGGAGAAGGAACGACATAAGTCGAGTTCAAGCTCGTCCAAGAAGCACAAAGACCGGGACACAACGCGGGCGCAGAACCCGTATCCTGCCGCAACTGCGCCCGATTCGGGTCCGCCCCCTGCGCCCCAGTATCCGATGCCCCAACCCCCCATTCCTGGAACGCAAACCGCATTCCGAGTGGAAAGCTACGTGAACGATCCGCGGGCGGGGCCCTCGCCGGCGCCGCAATCGAGGGGACCGTACTCGTCGGACTTCCGAGTGACGCCTCCAGCACGGTCAGGTAACTCGGCGAACATGTCGACGCATCGTACCTCTACACATGGTGTGCCTGGGCTGATGAACGGCGGCCCAGCGAGGTAGCTCCGGCCCCAGTGCTGCCAGCCAGGAAGAACAGAAACGCTCTTATTATCGAACCGATTACGAGAAACAGCGCCAGTCGGCACCAGCGCACCGCCGACATACAAACAGCAGCGGTAGCACTATTACACGCCGAGAATCTCCTGCATACGCACATCCTTCCAGTCATCATTCCTCTGCACCACCCCCCACTTCGGCTGCATACTCGTATCCCGAACCAGACCCTCATCATTCCGGTAGCCACGCATATGTCCCTCCTGCCAGCTACCGCCCGCCAAGCCCTGTGCCCGATTATGCGGACTATGAGCCGCCCAGTCTCCAAACCGAGTCTTGGCGGGCACCTTCACCGTCCCGGCTACTAGCAACAGGCATAACTCTCCGGAGCGTCACCATCGCTCTCGGTCCCATAGACACGAGCAAGATACCAACTCTTACCGTGACAACCCTCCTCCATCCTACCATCGCTCCAGCCCTCCACCCCCCGAGCTGAGGTACATGCTCCGCGTCCTGAGCCAGCCTACAATAGGGCACCGCCCCTGCCCGCTCCCTCCGCATCCCAGCCACTACACGTCGGCTCCCTTGACATTGGCCGAGCGCCCGCAGGCGCGCGAGTCCTGAGGACGTTGACATTGCTCATAGATGACCAACGTACTTGCGTTGGTGGCTCGAGTGCGCAGCCCGTGAGCATGCTTGCAGAGGTGCGCGTGCCGCTCAAACAGGCGGACAATTCTGAGGATGGGTACTGGGCGGATGCAAAAGAAGTGTCGGACGAGCTGCAGGCGGGACCATCGAGGATAGACGGTGAGTAATTCTATCGTACGAAGATTGCGGTCCTGCTGGTCATGCAAATTGATGGGTTCTGGTCGGACTGGGCAGGTCGCGGAAAAATATATGCCATGCGAGGTCATTACCGCCAGTACTTTGTGCGGATCACTCCCGAGAGCGGTCTGGAGTATACTTCTGCGAACTTGAAGGTATCCCAAGAGCGGACACTCGAGCTTTACGTCGAAGACGTTAGTGATATGTTTCGTTCCGTGGCCGTCCTCAATACTGACTGATCGAACATAGTTACCACCAGTGTCGAAGGGCCCGCAAGTACAGAGTCAACTCCAGACGCAAAGCCAAGCATATCCGTATGCGTCCCCTCGTTATGAACGTCGGCCCTTAACACCTATGGGGGATTCCATGACTGCGCCTCTATCTATACCGCCGCCGGCGAGGATGGCTACACCCCTTCAGCCACCACCTCCGCCCGTTCGTCAAACATATCCTGCTATGACATCGGAGATACCCAGTTCAGTACCCCGGTATCACTATGATAGCGATCCGCCTCCGCGAAAGCCGAAGAAGAGGCATCGGTCACCGCGTTCCTCGATTGTCAACTACCCTCCGCCACCAGCAGACACCTCGTATCCTGCGACGGCGATGCCATACGAGCGTCCATACGAGCGTCCGCATCAACGATACGAGTCACCGCCGTCGGGATACGAGTCGGGTGCGCCCATGTCTGTGGCGCCGACCCCGCCGATGTCCCGGTACTCGCCCATGTCCTATTCGCGGTCACCGCCGCCAGTGTTCTCCCCCGCCTCAGCTCCCGCCATCAATGTAATGCCGCCGCCTGGACACTCCTCCCCTTCACCTGCGCCTCCTACTTCGTACCACAGTGCCGAATATCATGGTTATCATAGCGACACGACTCCGCTACCGGGGCCTTCTTCTCCGAAGAAAGCAAGACATACTAGCAGGCGTGCGGAGGAGGGCTCGTCTAGTGCGATCGATTTGTCCTCCAGCCACCGCAGAACCCCGCCCGTGCAGGGCGCGGCGTCCAGCTCATCGTATTCCATGACGGCACCCGCACCGCCGCCTGGAACATCATACGCTCCTAGGCCAGCTCCCGCGCTTGCTCCTGCGCCCGCGCGTGCACCTAGCCGACCTACCGCTCAATCTCCTCCAGGAGCAACGTCGTTGGCTCCATCTACCGCAACAATGTACAATCCGCCAGCGACTCAACAACCGGTCGCGACGCTGCCCTCCGCAAGCAATGCATCCGATGGTTCGTCTCAAGAACCCACGGTAGAGTACAGCGAGGAGGTCAATATGGCCGTGGGCATGCACCTCCGCGGTATCATATCGAAGGAGCCGGGCTGGGACGCTTTCGTGAAGGGGAGGAACAGTCGTCTGAAGATGGCGCAACAGCTGGAGCAGTACCGTTACGTGAAGAGCAAGTTTGACGAATACGTGGGCACGAAGACGCCTGCGGACTTGACGGGTGCCGCAGGGGTGGTGATCACCAAGGTGCGCAGATCGTTCGTGTCGTCTCCTCGGCAGAGGACTGACTGTTGTCGTTGATGGTAGGCGCAAGTGATGAAGGCGTTCAACTTGCCCGTGACGTGGGCTGAGGAAGGACTCGAGGTGCTGGCGCTGACTGGGATGTACGGTCCCAACGGAAAACGGTCCGAAGACCCGAGAGTAGTCACGATGCTCGATGAAGTGCCGCCGACAACAACTGGTATTCAGCTCAAGAAGTACCTCGTGCTATTGAGGAGATACACAGTCGCTGGACGATTGAACATCCGGATTTCTAAATAGATAGTCAGGGGATATCAAGCAATCATCGCATTCTCGCATTTTGGACTTCTGTGGTTGCATGTGATACGAGTAATATTCCGTCGAATCTTGCTAACTTTATGAATCTGAGGACCTGGTGATACGATCCAACAACATAACTGTATTCAAAGCATTGTCATCTATCCGTGTGTTACATCTTACCGAGACTACGATGCTGAACGGGGACCTGAGCGACCCGGCGCACTCTAGTCGTAGAACGCGAGCAGCCTGAGCTCGATGGACTCTCTGAGCGGAGCATCCTTCGGCGTCGTGGGATCCTGGAACGCGGTATGCGGCGTCAAGATGGCAGTGTTATCCTCGGACTTGGAGTCGTAGCTGTACCACAACTTCAGTTTCAAGCCGACCATTCGTAATCCGTCAGACCTACCACTTGATCAAGACATACTCCTCCGGGGTCATGCCCCGCAAGTACTTCCACTTGTGGTTCGGGTTGAAGCGCACGCTGTTCGTCTCTCCGACCCTGTCCTCGTAGATGAGGTCGGTCGGGACGAGGTCGCCGTTCGGGTCGACGCTGCGATAGTCGCACAGCGCGAGCGGCCAGTCGTACGCGGGACGCCCGATGGGGCGCCAGAGGTTGATGATCTGGAAGCGACGCTCGAGGAGCGCAGGCACTTCCTCCGCCGGGAGGTGTCGGTGCACGCGCGCGACGGCCGACGCGGTCGTCTGGTCGACGTGCACCTGCGGCACGGGCTGACGCTTCTCGGGGGAGTCGTCAGCTTCGCCGGGGCGACGGCGACGGATGGCTAGCACGGCGGAAGTCAGCGCTACGCGTCTGCGGATGGTGGTCTTTCACTTACTGTGGTCGAAGGGCACGACGCGGCTGGCGCCGGTGATCTTCTTCAAGAGCTCGATGCTCTCGGGGTAGTATTCGGCCTTGATGGCCTCGTCGCTGGTGAAGTCCTTGTGAGCGGGTGGGCTGCGACCGTACTGGAACCCAGCGGTGTCGAGCGTGACCGAGTCCTCCTTGCTGCGCAGGTTCTCGATCTGGACGGTGTGCTCCTGCGGCACCCAGTTGACGCGACGTTTACCGGGAGGGGGTCGTTGTTGATGTGCGTGGTGGGCTTGGACCCGTCCGTGGGAGGAGAGAAGTAGATGAGGAGGCCGTTCGCGAACTGCGGTTCAGCGGACATGACGGAGTATGCGCGAAAGTTGCTCGAGACAGAAAGGAGGCTCTGGAGTATGTGAGTACGATGCGAGAGCTTGAGCATAGCAATCACTTGCAGAGCGTATATATATTGCTATGTCGCGCCCCTGTATTAAGCAGACTCGGACTGGGTACTGAGGATTTCGCTGAGTGACGTGCCCTCGGATAGTAGAGCGCTGACAAACCTTATACATTGGCTCACTAAGGCTCTTGTCGCGCTGACAGACGGCCAATCCATGAGAAAGGAAGACGGCAACGGCGACAGACGTACTCCGGGAGGAACGTACAAGAAGTTCGTCTTGCAGGACTGATCCAGACCATGAGCCACTGTATCCTGAGCGGTCTAGCCTATAGGCTCTCCGTAGTACAGTTGGCCTGTAACTCAGCCCCACACCTCGGCTTGACGCTGCGAAGTTCAATGGGGCCAAATTGCGTTTTGAGAATACCTTGCTGCGTCATTGACTGAGGAGCACACCTACAAGGAATCTCTATCGTCGCAGCCGCGCTATGATCCTGTTGATGCAAGTCGATCTCACTGAGTATTAGCAGTAGAGGTAGATTACATAAGATTGGTACGTACATGTACCGTCGCAGTGACACCTCGGCACCACGTGGTCCGTTATCTCAGATGCCGGTGGACAGGGCCGGGCCACCTGGTGGCGGCGACGGCTTCGACAGCGCTTTGACAATGCAAACCACAGGGGGGATGGTTGGTTTAATAAGGTTGAAACACAGCCCGGCCTTGCCATGGCACCAGGTGCATATAAAAGCACGGGTCCCAATGTATCGGCCTTTGTTACTCCTGCACACAGATCTGGTGGCAGTCCAGGGTTCCGAACGGTCGGCGGGCGACAACGGAGTCTGTCCCATTTGAGAATTGTTCGTCGAGCAACACAGCGAAAGTGAGTACCGAGACGTTCTGCGCGAGATTAATTTACTGACGCGTATTGTAGAGAACCTGTTTTCGAGAAAGTGATGCCTCGCATCAAGAACGCCACCGAAGTGCCGTTTAGAATCGAGAAGGACTACGTTGCTCCTCACAGAGCGGAGACCATATGGACGACGTGCGCGCAGGAGGTCAAGCGTGGTCTTGATGTGGCCGACTTTGTGCGGTCGGTATGGGCTTTCACACCGGACATGATCCCTCGGCCACAAGGCATGCGACCCTACAAGCTCCGGTACGACCTGCTGCGTACATTTGCTTACGGCGACGAGTGTGCATCTTTCACGGCTCTTGCGCACTTGATGGAGGACCTGCTCTGCCAACTCTCGAAGGAGAACAAAGGCTACCTGCGCAGGCTGGACGCCAAGGTCGTCAATGCACGCGCCACTCGCGATTGGTCCATGGAAGGGGAAGGCGGCACCAGGCCTGACTTGTCGTGGACGATGTGCTCGCAAGAATCTATGCGTTCGTGGAGGGACGTCTGGGAGAACTGTCTGGCGTTCGTGCAGATCAAGAAGTCGCCCATCAGCCTCAGGAGAACAAAGGACGTCGAGATTGGACTCTCAGCCTTTTCCGTGGCCGCAGGAACAAGTCCAGAGCCGACAACTCCTGTGCGCAGAGGGACGAAAAAGCGCAAGCGTGAGGACGACATTCTGCAATCTGTCGACGTTCCATCCAAGCGGCGACGCGGCTTGCACGTCACATTCCAGGAAGTTGGCAATGCGACTCGGCTGCAGGACGACGAGTTCCATGCCGCGTTGTACATCACGGAGATGTTGTCACGTCATGTCCGTTCGTTCGCCTCCGGCTTCTCCGTACAAAAGTCAACCATCACACTTTGGTACGGTGATCGCATGGGACTCGTGGCCTCGGAACCGTTTGACTTCCTGAAAGAGCCTGACAAGTTCTTGCTAGTTGTCGCTGCGCTCGGGTCTGCTGGCATGCACGAATTTGGCTTTCCTCCCTTCTTTGAAGGTACGAAGGTGATGTTTCCGTCAGGAACTGCTCGTGCCCTCGACGGCACGCTCCTCAGCGAGGATCTGGCTTTCGAGGTACAGACCAACCTGCCTACGTACAGGCGGTACGAAGCTGTTGGGAAGGGCACCATGGTCATCCCCGTGCGGGCGACGGGAAACGCGAAGAGCAAGTTTGGCGACGGAGTCCTCGTCGCGAAGCGGACGTGGTCGATGCGGTCCTCGATGAACGAGGCACGAGCTCTCACAATGATTCTCACGGCGCTGAAAACTCGCGCGCCACGCTATCTCAAGTACGTCGCGGATCTCAAGTGCTACGTCGAGCAGACGGCTTCCGAGCACGACCTTCCGAGGGTATTAATGCCAGGCCTTATGGGGAAAGAACGGTGCTACCGTCTTATGGTGTCGACAAGATATGAACCGCTGCAGAAGCTGACATGCGCAGCAGAGTTCAGGAAGGTGTTTGCCGATACAGTCCGTGGTGAGTATTCTCGTGTCGTCTCTCGCAATGGCTGTGGCTCACACGCACATACAGCCCACAGATGGGTAGCGGAAGTGGCGAACTTCTTGCATGGCGACATCAGCCGGAACAACCTCATGTTCTACCGCCGCGGTAAGGAGGTGATTGGCGTCCTCTGCGACTGGGACGCCGCGCATGCCAGGGACCGAGTGGACGAAGGCATCTACGACCTCAGCCCACCCGACGACCTCTTCCGGTCAGGCGCCGCCTGGTGGCTATACGACTACGAGGACAGGCAGTACATGGGTACCCCGGCCTTCATGGACATCGAACGGCAGACCGGCATGGCGCCGCATCGGTACGAGCACGACCTGGAGTCGTTCTTCTGGGTGCTGTCGACTTCCTCAAGCACTTCGACCCCGGCGACGCCATGTTCATCGACGATCGGCTCACGGGCTCATGGGACCACGAAGACCGGGCTGTGTGGAAGGTGCAGTTCCTCTGGACAACACGGCCTTCTCCCGGGTGAGGGCGTGCGTGCACGCGGACTTCCTGCGGGTGTTCGAGAGTGGGTGCCTAGGCTGCGCGCCATCTTCCTGCGCGCCTTCCGTACGAGGACGGACAACCCGAGCGAGACGATGCTCAGGCAGCGCCTTGAGCGAGCCACCCGTGCGGGAGACGACGCGGCGCAGCTCGCGATCATCTCCCGGCTGGAGTGCAAGATTCAGACGAGGAAGGAGATCCTGTCTTACCAGACTTTCATGCATGCCCTGCGGGCTCCGCTTGACGTCCCCAACTATTAGATGGCGACATACCGACGATCACTTGGCTTTCAATCCCCGCAATATGTTTCTATGTATCCCGCAAGTCCATTGGACAGAGCTTGAAATCCGAAGCAGCGCGAGTGATTAGCAGTTACCTGACGATGGTGTTTGCTTGTACCCGACCCAGATTCTAAGGCGCCTCCGCTCGAGTTCACAAACATGCAAAGCAAAGTCATACATCATCGATACATCCAAGCGAACTATCGCTACCAAATGTCCCTGGCCATAGATCTAGCGGCCTCCAATCCACACGACACGATAGAAGTCCGTGACAAACCTGAGATACATGCTTGAAGGCGACGAGGTACGGGCAGCAATGGGCACCACGCCTAGAGACCAAGGACCGCTTGACCAAGGTGTCCGCGCAACACGGGGAGACCGTCAAGTGCGAACTATTGCGATAGTCAGCTAAGAGGAAATGGATGATGAAGAGAGGACCCACGTCTTGGCAACCGCTCTCGCAGCCATCTTTCGCAGAATGCCTCCGATGCCCTCGCCCTCGCACGACCCCAATTCCGGTGCAAAGCTGAAGTGCCCATGGTCATCCGGAATACGGAAGATCGGCCCCGACTGCTGTGGCTATCGACCACGGCCGGTTCAGGTTCCGCTCGACCGACTTGAAAGAAGGATGCACATACACAGACATCCGACCGCAGCGTGCGCATCTCGCAGAGCGTCCCGTTCTTGCACGCGCCTACACACGGCCGCCTCACAAACTCCCGCCCGCGGTGCTTGTGGGCGATGTACGTCTGGAACGCGGTGTCATTCTTGTAGAAGACCTCCGTCAGGTTGTGCCAGAACGCAGGGCTGAGCGAGGCATTGGGAGGCAGGAGGGTACGAGTGGAACATAGTCTGACGGGCGCTGTAGAGGAGTTGCCAGGTCGCTGTAGTGAGGTTAGGGTTGGGTCAGGAGGGCATGAAAGGACGTCTACGAACGATTGAGTTGGTAGTTGGGGTCAGATATGTTCGCTGGCAGACATCAACTTCATATCCAGATCGGAAGAAGTGGGACGTACTGTAATAACTCCGGACATCCATGATCTCATAGGAGTCAGGATCGATATCGTACATCTTGAACGCCGGGTTCCCACCTGCACCAACCATCAGCATCCTCAACCTCAGCCCTCTTCCCCGTCCGAAGACTCACTCATCGGCGTCATCGCCGGCCCAATCATCGCCACGCTCACCGCGTTCTCCGCCGTCCGCGCGCTGTAGTCCGCATACCCGATCGCGAACTCGTCCGCGTGGGTGTGCCCGTAGAACTGGCCCGCGATCGTGCCTTGTAGCGCTGCACGACCTGGTCGAAGTACGCAGACTGGTCGCGCACGACGTCGCCGCGCCCGGGCGGCATGTGCGCGATGATCCACGCGCGCTGCCGGCGTCCTCCGCGGCTTGCAGCTGTTCCACGAGGAAGGCGATGATCCCGTTCGGGTCTGGCCTGCAGGGCTATTAGCGTGCGAGCATGGCTACGGAGGGACATGTGCGTACTGGTGCTCGTCGCTGTCGTAGAGCCAGAAGCTGGATGAATCTCATGAGCTCGCTCCTACAGACCCGCGGGCGGAGGCTTACTTCTGCTTGTACCAGTACTGTGTGTTCACTGAGATGACACTGTGTTTCGTCACTTACCCCATGCGTACGACATGGGATGTGAATGAACATACCGGAGGTCCATGCCAGGCGCCAAGACGGCGTAGCTACCTGAGTGGTGCTGGATTGTGCTGTCGCGTTCTCACCTATCCATTGCTGCACGCCATGAAAATGAGCCTATGCGATTCAATAATAACGATCACATACCTCCAGCCTTGCATCTGTGCATCGAACACAAAGTCTGCGGTGATCTCGTGCTCGGTGGTATCTCGAGGGAAGCTATTTGTCGGCGCAGACTCGCTGAGAAGCGACCATTCAGCGCGGCGCGCCACATGTCAAACCAGCACGACTCACTGATTACCTACGAGGCGAGATCGTCAGCCGATCGTTCTCGCCGCAGCTGCAGGCGTCCGAGACGCACCTAGGGCAGGGAAGAGAGGCGCGCTCAGCTTCTGCGCAAACTGGTCCGTGAACTCCAGCATGTTCTTCGGTACATTCCTACATCGCCGAGTGAGCCCCGAGAACCGCCACATCCCACAGATACGTACTCTTCGTCCACATCCCACACTGCGTGGTCGATCACGTCCCCCGTGAAGATGGAGAACCGCGCATGCGCGCCGAACTTCTGTGTTGCGTCGAGCATCGAGTCTGCAAGCCTACCTGGCGCGTCGCACGTCCGCATACCGAGCGGTAGTGCGGCAATTGAACGTGCTTCGGGCGCTCGCCGAAATCCCTGCAGCAGATGGGCTTCGTGCACTTCGCTTCGGCATTGGTCTGTTGTAAGCAAATGAGGACTGGCGCTGCGACGCTCAGCGATCTGGGCACTCGCCGTATACTCTCTGTCGATATGCACGTCGCTGAAGTGCATGACCTTCACCGGCTCGCGCCCCCTGCTCCTCCACACCCTTTCCACGTCCGGCTTCTCCTTCGGGAACGGCACGCGCCACGGGGTGACCGGCGGGAGGTCGCACATGCCAAAGACGGCATCGCAGAACTTGGTCGCGGTGTCGCCGAAGAGGGAGAAGTGGCGGAGGTCGTGGGCGAGGATGGGGCCCTGCGTGCGGATCGCGCCCTCGCACACGTCCGCGTCCTCGATCTGTCCGAGCGCCGGGTCTGCGCGGGGTCGGGCAACGGAGGCGGGGCGGGGGCGTACCTTCAGGTCTGTGCACGCCGCTGCGATCGTCTGCACGAACCGCGCGTCGCCGAGGGCGGCGAGGGCCTTGAACGTCGGCAGCGCGGAGTGGCACGTCGCGCAGTCTACGACGCCAGCTACCGTGCGCTCGATCGTGTCTACGAGCCCGCCGGCGGCCAGCGTCGGGAGCAGCAGCGCTGCTGGGAGGGCGGGGCGCATCTTCGGAATCGGTAGAGCACTGTCGAAATGGCTGCCTTGCGTCGTCTGGGGTCGTCAAGGAAGCTGGAGAAGAGTGCCGATGGCAGTAGTGGGCGTCCGCGGTTGGTGGCAACTGTCCCGTCTGTCGATGGCGTTGCACAATGCACAGCCTGTGGGGTGGGCTCGCAGACCGCAGCGGGTGTGGGATAGCGAGGGTAGGCGGCTGTAAGTAGTGTTGCAGGAAGCCATGCCTCGGTAGGCGTTGTACAGTAAGCTCCCGGGTGAAGGGTAAGCAGAGCGATAAGTACTAGCGTCTCGGAGTACATGATAGCCAGTCTTCTCACGGAGACTCCCTCGAGCACGCACGAGGAACAGGGAAGGTCGCCATTCGCACTGCGGAACGCAAAAACGGCTCGTTCTCACTGCGTTCACGCCGACGGTCGCCTGCTCGCTCCGGCTGCAGACCTCCGTTGCCGCGGCACCGTGCATCGCGCCCCGAGCACTGCGCCCGCCGTGTCCAAGTGGAGCGATGCATTGCCCACGACCTGTCACCCGGCGTCTACTCGCTCGCCAACGCATGGCGGCGCGCGCAGCGCGCCGTCTCCCTGCGCTCTCGTCCGTCCACCAGTGTTGCGCACTCGACGCTCCCTGCCCCATTCGCTCCTCCGGCGTGAGGGTATCCGCTCGTCGTCTTCTGCGGCATGCACAGCGGGGAGCGTCCTTGCCAGTGACCGCCCTCGAAATCGTCCAGACGCGCAACACCGGGCTGCTCGCAGCAGACGCACTCACAAGCGTCGCGCATCGACTCTTGGTATGTCCACGCGTCTCGCGCACTCCGACATCAGGGATCGTCGCCCGTCGTCTCCGCGCGACGCGCTGTGCTCACCCAAGGCCGCTTCCCGGGCCGTCTCTCACTCGACTCAGTGGACCCGACGCTCATCTGCTGCAGCTCCCAACTCCACCCCTCGAACACGTCGGGCTCTCCCCGCATGTCTCGTTCTCCCAATGTCTCTCGAAGTGGAGAGCACTGGCCCGCCTCGCGCGCTGTCTACGCACCCGCACGGCTCTTCGTACCCCACTACACCATTCAGCGCGCCCGGGATGACTTACATCCCGTCGCGCATCGCCGCGCAAAGCGGTCCATGGTCACGACGGATTCGACAGCGACGAAGGCTCTGCGGCGCAATCGCCGTTCGCATGCGGAACGCTTGTGAGCGTCGGTGGAGACAGACACGAAGAGGTACGTACCTTCTACTAATGCCCATACGCGAAGACTCATTGCGCAGGCTACATTACATGAGGTCGAACCAAATGCAGCTGCGTACCGGCTGCGTTCCGCGCTGGCCGGCGTGTTCTCGCCAACGCAATCATGCACCGGGAGGACGACGTCAGCTGTGCACAAGAATGTCGCAGCAGGGCACGTACCACACGAAGCGGACTCGCGAGAGCGCACCGCCGCACGTCCGCATCCCCGGGGCCCACGATTGGCGTGGTCCACACGTACCACACGCCCCGCGCGCGTGAGCTGTGCTCCGAGGGCGGACAAGACACGGAGGACGTACCATGAAGAGCGCGGACGATTGCACTCGCAACGGACGGTCCTCTCTGCGCAGCGTACGCCCCGTTCATTCGCTGGAGACCAACGCCAACGGTGCACTGGACGAATGAAGCACCATTCGTCAGCGGGGCACGGACGAACGAGGGACGAGGTACTCACCACACCGACGCGACTAGCTCGCACCGACCGCCACCCGCCCTGTCGAGTATGCCACGATGAGCACACAAGGCGGGTGTCGTTGAAGACAGGTCAGGACGATGCAACGTGCACACGAGAAGTGAGGGACTTGCTTACCACGGGAGCGCACGCTGACCACGACCTGTCTCCTCCACGCGACCGGGGTGGGACGAGTGCGGGACGGATGGGACGGATGGGGCAGAGATGAGGAAGAAGCGGATAGCAGGCTCGCCTCACCTGCGATCCGGTGCGGGAGGTGGGCGGTTTGCTGGGAGGGACCGGCGTGGACGAACGACGACGACGAAGGGAAGTCGGCAGGCGGATGTGGAGAGCGAATGCAGGGCCGACTCTCGCGCCGCCGTAGATCAGCGACGTGACGTGACGGTGCACTCGCACGACGACGGCGAGGCGGCGGGTCGAGGGGACACGGTACGACGGACGCGACCGGCTAGCGGACAGTGACGTGGCGCACTGGTACGCGCGGGGCGAGTGGCAGGTGCCGTAGACGGTTCAGTGGACGACGTAGCGGAGGCGGAGAAGGACGAAGAGCACGACGGGGACGCGTCGGTGGCGGCGACAGGTAACGACGAGCGAGGGAAAGTTGACGTTGCGTGTTGTCAGGCTCACGCTCGGCGCGGACGCGCCGAGTGCGGTGTGTCAAGACCAGGGCGCGCTGGCCGATCAACCAATACCAGGACACCGCAAGTCCTTTCGGGGAAGACACGGCGACGTCGAGGGCGGGATCGCTCGATGGAGGCGAGGAGGCGCGCGGCAGCATACGGAGGCAGCGTCAGACGACGCAAAGACAGGCTCGCCGTCTATCTTCTATGACTGGCCCTCAAGCGGTCACGTACGCTTATGAGCGTGTGCGGAGGTCTCCTGTGAGACCGGACTGGCTCGCCCACTTCACGATGCGACTCGCTGGAGCCGCAACAGCCCGGCGACCAGCGCAGTCGTTGCAATGCTCACGGGGCTCTTGCGCAAAGGTCTCCCGGACCCGGTTCCCTGCGTACACGACGGACGGCTCTGTCCGTTTCATGTGCGGTGCGTTCTCTCTCATTACTCATAGTCTGACGCGGCCCACTGGATTTGACCAAGGCTGCGTCTTGCCAGTCGCTCTGAAGGACGGACGTAGCGAGGTGACGGGTGGGACTGGAGACGCGACGGGACGAGCTGGACACAAGTCAGACGACACCGGAGCGGCCTCTGTCGCCGCGTTTGGCGGTGGGTCGACGGCATGACAGACCACACCTTGAGCGTCCGGGCGATGGAGGACACGGCACAACGGGTTGTGCCGGGCACACGTACGGCGGGCTACGTTGGGACGCGAGAGCCTGCCCCGCGGTGTCTCGAGATCTCTCGAGATGGTGCGCGCGAGCCCCTGGTCCCTGCCCATACGGTCGACTAGGCCGTCGTCACGTCGGACAGTCCAGACTGGGGCGTTGTAAACTACTGTACACTACGTCGAGTAAACCGTGAATATATCTTGATTACTGCACTTTGTTAGCGATGAACGCGGACCCGAGGAAAATGAACATACCGCGTTTTACGGTAATGACCGGGCTACGGGACGAGAATGGTTAGTACTCGCATGTGAAGACGGCTCGGTTGTCTCGCCTTGCAATGCAGACCGCAGTGGCCAAGTAACGGGTTGAGCGAGTGTTCCGTAGCAACGTGAATACTACACCTGGAATAGCAGAGATGTACAAGTCACATTATAGCCAATGCTCCGAGACGCGTACTAATGCTTACCAGCGGACTGTTGCGTTGAGCGCGTCACCTCGACGCAAAACCGAGAGCCTGTGAGAAATATTAATAGTCAGCTGATGTCATAGCTAGCATTCAAACCGGACGTAATGTCCCTGTGATGCTTACCGGGATGTATTGACAGTGGACCCGAAGTGACACTGTAACTTGAAGCAAATCAGTAAACGAGAAGCTATGTGTTGCATGGGCTTACCGGACATCTGACGTGCGCACTCGCTACAAAAATGGGACCGCTTGACCGGTCGTCAAGCTCAAGCTGGATGCTGGAGAGGAGAGGAAGAGAGCGACGGCGGGATGCTGTTCCGGCACCAACAGGCCCTGCTATTATACGGATTCTCGCCAGCCGACAGCTTACGTGCGATGGTCCGTGCGCTGGCCGCGGACATCACATCACGTAGCCGTGATATATCCGCGCGGGCCCTGATGCCCGCAACTCATCCGTCTTAGCGTCGCTTCGCATTTCCCGCTGACTTGGTGCAATTGCGATGGCGAGCTGCCGGTCGAACATTCTCCGGTCGCTCTATGGCAACGAAGATGCGCTGACTGATGGTATACGTACAAGCGCTATCATAGGCGCTGTTCCGGCGTTTCATGCAGACATCGCCGTCACTGCGAAGATACCTTTTGCGTTTGCATGAACATCCGCACAACGAACCCGGAGTGCCTTTGGATTGCCTGCAGGGAGGCAATCCTGTCATTCACATACATGAGTATTTTCAGTCACTGCATCACGTGTCAACGAGTGGGGAGCATCGAGAGCACCAGGGTGCACCAGGCATGGAGGACGGAGAAACAGGATCGAGGACGAGGATGGAATAGACGCCCAGCGCTGTAGTCGAGTATCCTCGTGTTCAGAGATCGATCTGGCGATCTCACGCCCATCTGCGCCATTCCCTGCACCCGGACGCTGCTTGCACCGTCTCGCAGCTTCGTCGACCGTCCTGTCATGTCGAAAACAATGCCTCTACACTACCTATGCGATCCCAGGTGCGCTCCCAATGTCTGCATGTCCGGAACGCGCGACGGAGCTGAAGCGCGCTGCATTGCCCGATTAGGTATTGCTCAACTGACTGTTCGAGCGATGTACCGACTCGCCGAGCGATCCGTGATTCAAATTTCTACCGTGCACGCTGACATGATCAATATTCGTGCTTCGTACTCTCGTCGCATCGAGTCTGATCTGCCAGTCCGAGCTCGATGTGCCATTTTCTTACTGACTAGTAGTGGTTTGACATTGTTCAATACGGAAAACGGAATGGTCGCGAAACCTGTCTAGGCAAAGTATGGATGGCTTGGAATTGTACAGTACATTACAAGAATGGTGGTCTATACAGCAGAATGGATACCTACTTACAGTGCAGTGTAGGGCCTTGTCTCCCCAAGGGTATGAGCTAGTTTCGGGGGCCCCGGAATTAGCTGACAGCCTTGGGCAGACAAAGCCCCGCTTGTCAGGGTGCCGGCGCCCGAGCGGAGATCACTCCGGTTGTGGCCGGAAATTGGAGTTCGCGTATTTTGAATT